GATGGATCTTGCACTTCCGACGTAAGTCCCGACCACTCTGCTCATCCCCTGAGGTCCTTGCTGACAATTCGCAGCCTTGCTGGTACAATGTTGGCCTCGCCAATCTCACCCACACTGAAGCCGTCATCATTGAGTGCAACACCGAGAAGTCGTGCAAGAACTTCCAGACCAGAGACATCAAGGTTCACCCGCAGAGCAAGAGCGAGTCCAAGCTCATCTGCATGAATGCGATGCCTGATCTGAACCCCCAGCTGGGCTTTGACTGCAAGAACGGCACGTTTGCTCCTACACTCTGAATAGTGCTACGTAGAGCAGCGGATAATTGAATCACACTTTGAGCATATCCGTGGTTCCACTGTAATGCAAACTCCTGCTCGCAAGTTCGACCACCTGTCTTTCCTGTCCAACCCGATTCAAAGTCCATACTGTCCGCTCAAGCGGTGCTCGGCACCCTCTTCTTCAACTTGCAAACCACCCCCTGAGTCCTGTAAAACCACCGCGAGCTCGTCCACCACTTCTCATTCGGGTCCACCAGCTCAATCTCGAACCTCGCAATCAGCGACGGGACAACCTTGTAAATCTCCATCAGACTTAGATTCCTGCCCAGGCAGATGCGCGACCCGCCGCCGAATACAATGTCCGTCGCGTTCCACTGTCTCATGCGGAGCTTATACGCCTCATCGTCCTCCTCGTCCTGCTGCAGCCACCGTTCCGGGCGGTACTCGTCCGCATCAGCCCCGTAGACGTCCTTATTGCGACCCACGATATAGGGGTTCATGCCAATTAAAGAACCGCCGGGCACGACGGAGCCGTCTGGGAGGGCGAGGCCGGTTTGCGGGACGATGCGCTCCATGGTCATGGAGACGGCGGGGTGGAAGCGGAGCGTCTCGCGGCAGACGGCTTCGAGGTAGGGCAGGGCGCGGGCGGCGGCATGAGGGGCGGGTTTGTCGGCGGGGATGTTGGTGACGACTTCTTCCTCGAGGCGTTTCCAGATGCGAGGGTTCTTGAGGCAGTAGTAGAAGAGGGCACGCATTGTGATTGCCGTAGTGTCGGCTCCAGCGATGACTGTTTGTAGGATACATCAACAAAGTAGCTCGGATATATGTTCAAAGTGTCTGCTTACGGTTCAGTAGGAGGTATCCGATGATTGTTCCCTCATCCACGATATCGGGATGGGTGCCCTTCGAGTCGACGAAGTACTGCAGGAAGTCGGGCTTTTCGGGAACAAAATTCTTGTCCTCACCCTTAAGCCGGGCGGTCAAATGCTCCACGGCGATTCTTGTGACGTTCGATAGATTAGGAGGCCCGAGAGGGTAAACGGGGTTCTTGTCTAGGCAGTAGTCCATCCAAGGCATCTGCCCGCAGAGGCCGAGATAGTCAATGGACTGGTCTCCCACCGCAAGCGTGCCGTCAAAGTCGCGACCTGCGTCCATGTATCCAAACTTCTTGCTGAACGTGACGGCACCGAGGAAGTCCCATGCGACTAGAAGAGTAAGCCATGGGCCACGACTCACACAAGAAGGTTTACAATATTGAGATGTCTTACAGAAAGCCAACCAGTCGCCAAAAACGCAAGCTTCGCCGGTGTTGACGAAGCGCTTTTGCAGGTGGTCGCAGAATTCATCAATACACCTGTCCATATGCGGCTCCATGGCGAGGACACTGGGTACGGAGTAATGCCTCACCACAGGTCTCTTCATTCGCGCATGTTCGACATTGTTTGTCTCCGAGAACATGTGATATGTGATCTTTCCGTTGATGATGGAGCTGCTGTTCTTGTACAAGTCGGACTGATTCATACTTAGCGTGAGCTTCTCAAACAGAGAGCTTGGGAGAAATAAGGCATGTTACCTTAGACCACTTTCCGTCCGTGCCATACACGATCTTGATCAACTCGGGAATGTCGATGTCCAGCAGGTTGGGACCCAGGCGTACAATCGGACCGTACTTGTCATGGAGCTTCTTCATCGTTGGCGCGTAATTGGCGTTGTATGTGTGCCATAAACGCCATAGGTTTGTCCATCCTGAGGTGAAATATAAGTCTTAACTTCCTTTCCACTGGTCGACGGAACATGATGTCGAGGTCTGTATCTCACCTGCAAGAAATGGCCCGGGGTACTTCTTCAAGGGAGATGTTGACCACGAGACAAGGAACCACACAAAGCAGCTCAGAGCTGGAGTTAGAAGAACAATGCTCGTCTTGTGGCTCTGCGCTTCGCCCAGGAGATTTTGCCAGGGAGGGATAGTCCCATTGGCGGGGAAAAAGACTGTGTCCATGGCGATCAGACCTCGTTATACAACAAAACTTGAGTGACACAATGAATTTTAGAGAAAAGAAGGTGAGCAGATACGCCAAACGGCAACTTGAGAACGGGTATCAATCATCTCTTATCATTCCTTGCAAAATCAGGCTCTGGAGGCGGGGCATAGCCGCAGATATGGAGAAGAGCCATCGTCCTATGAATCTCTGGTCGCACAGCAGGAGTTGGTTGCAGCCGCAACGCTGCGATATGGCCCACGTCGTCTGCAGCCTACAGGTGAAGATAGAGGAGATGCGGGGATCCTTGTTGGTGGGCGAGCGGGGATCTGCATGATGCTGTGATGGCACGATGCCTCTGCATCAGCGATACCTGCAATCGGTGATGTTGTTCTTGGGATGACAGTTGACAACGCTGCTTCGCATCGAAATTGCAACGATATGGATCATCTGCCTATTACGATCAACACATTGAATCTGCGGTGTAAGATCTGACTTCATGTTTCTGAGATATCCCAGTTGTTGATTTCACATGCGTTTCCGTGGAGTCAGGCTGTCGCATGCTCCCCATCGCCCGTCACGAAGACAACGTCGCACTGCTTACACGTTGCATTCCCTGCAGGCTGAGCGCCAAGCCCCTGCAAATGTCAAGAATGACATGTCGTTTGAGCCACCCGAGCGGCAAGCCGGGTCCTCCCAAGATGATCTCTACTTTATCTAGACGACATATGCAATAACGAACCCAAATTTGTATGCAAAGAGCCAAACGGGTAAAAGCTCCTTTTTCGTGCTCCACCTCCGTGACTACATACTGGGCGCATGCTCGGACTGGACCTAGCCAAAGGTTTGGCTGACCGGTGGACATGATTATCTGACGGGTGTTGGTAATTGGATGCGATCCGGTTGGCCAGCTCGGCTGCCTTTCCAACGTCGCTGCATAAGATGCGGAAGGGGATGCACATATTCTGTACGTGTTGTGGGTGCCTGTAGATTTTCTGTTCGTGATGGCTCGCAACTTAGGGACGGAGACCCATCTGGCGTCAACATCACGGTAATGACCGTAGAGTCTCTCAAATTGATATTTAGAGGTTTCCAAGGGGTACGTGTGTATTGAGTGACAAAAGGCGAAATAGTGAATGAATTTGCAGTCCAGATATAGTGGATTACCTAGTCTGAGGTTTTCACCTTCAACAGAAGGAGAAGTAATAATCCGACCAACATGTCGACTCACTGGTTAAAATGAGATGCGAAGGAAACAGTTCGAGACGCTTCCTCAACAGCAAGTATAGGTTTTGCCTTCAAAGTGAACTTTCAGGGAGGGGGTACTCAGATTTCTAAATCTCCAGTAACAACTACAGGATGACGCTGCGTAATCTCAATTCTCAGTTCAAAGTTTGCAGGAGATAATTTAGGTACTTAAACTCATGGCATACACCGACAGATGGTGATCGAAATAGCAAAAAGTTATTCTTGCAAGCGATTGGAAGCAATGGATGAGTCTGATGTATACGAAAGAGAATACTTACGTACTGAACTGGAAAACAATTCGAGGAAGGTGCGATGCAGGTCACATACAAAGGGGGCAGGAGCAAAGTGAGAATTCACCTTACTTCACCTCACCTCGCTAGATTCTGCTCGTATCCTTTTTCTTCCCGCGCACAACACCCACTTCGATTGTTCACATCGGAAACAATCGATTCACAGTCAACAGTCTGCCGCAGACTGCCACAGCGAACAACGACGAACAAACCTAAGAGGAGTAAGTTACTTCTTATTCCTATTGTTGCACTGATAAAAGCTGACAGCTGCAAGGTCCCCCAATAGCATTCCGAACTGTCATTCAAGGCTCTGGTCCCGAGAAACACAAGATGGCAGGAAATGCTGAAGACGAGACGATGAAGGATATCAGTAGCCAGCTGCCGCAGGAACTGAGAATGAACGATACATCTGTGGGAGATGTCACAATGAACGATGTCACCCGAGACAGTACCAAGCAAGGCCCATCTGCCCAGAGCAACTCCTCTTACGCAATGCAGTCAACCAATGACACATCAATGGCGGATAATACCATTATGGGCGACTTGACAATGGGTGAGGTTGTTGCAAGTACACCCAAGTGTCGTCAAAAAAGCACCGCCCGGCCCTCGGGAAACTTGGTGCAAGGCAAAGATGTCACTATGGCGGACGGCACGTCGCTCCGAGATGCAACCATGGGTGATATTACGGGCGGCAGTCCCAAGGCTAGAATTGCCGAGAAGAATGAGCCTGTCACTGGCGGCCACAACCTCCGCAATGATGTTTCCAGAATGGAAGCAATCGCAGCTACCTTACGCCCAAGGCCTTTACCTGTCATACCTCCTGCGTCCACAGTCGAGACGACGCCTATTGAAGGGCCAAGACTTGCCGTCTTTGAGTATGTCCCACCAGCATCATCACGGTTACTGTTCAGTTACTAAGATTTCAAAGCTACTTCGGCAGTACTATGGTCGATTTCATCGTCGGCCCTCAGGGAAGAAAAATCTCGATTCATGCGAACATCCTACTTGCCAACCCGGATTGCGCCTGCTTTCGAGAAACGCTCCAGCGCCAAAAGAATGGTCACGGAGCTAAGAAGCTCCGACTTATGGACCATCCTGATGTCGTCGGTCTCATGACACAATTCCTTTACACAGGCAAAGTCCCTTTCATCCCTCGAAGACTGCTCCAAAAGCACTGCGCCCCAGCTGCACGTCACCCTATCACAATGCTGTCGCACACAATTGTCAAAAATGACAGTGTTCGCCTGGAAAATGTGACCCTAGCGGCCGTTCCACCCGAGCAGTTCCAAATGGGGTCTTGGAGCAAAAACACATCTGCAGAGGAGGAAAGACTTCGGGATTACGGCAACTATGAGCTGCAGATGAGTCAGAAAAGCGCAGCAGCGACCGCTCCGACAGCCGACAACGCCGAGGGAAGAAGTCAAACAGTCAGATATTGGCGCGAATGTGTTCAGCCTCATCTCCAGAATGTGGAGAAAATCCCGGTGTTCGGCATGTCGACACTTCGTGTCGAGGCCGAGTTCTACCAATTGAAGCTTGTCCAACTGATGCTCTTCGCGGATAGATACAACATGGCTTGGCTGTTTCACGACACGCTCGCATCGTACTGCAAGGGAGAAGCGCTGTTCCAACGTGACCGCCCTGTGGAGCGACATGTCGAGCTAGCATACCGATGCGCGACGTTCCGTCTGCTCCCAGAGCTCATGGTGGAGTATGGACGTTTCTGTGCTTGGAGGCGAGATAGCGACATTGACATCATGTTTCGTGGGTATCTTTCAGACTTCGTTGCAGATGTCAAGCTCAAGAAGACAGAAGGGAAGCCTATTCCGCCCATCATCGGCCGGTTTTTGAGAGTGCAGATCTGAGCGACAGGAGATGCCTGTGTTACATGATGGTTGGACGCCGAAGGGGTCGTAAGGCTGAAAGGATGTGAATGCGTCATAGGACGCCATAGGGCGTGTGCTACTGTTGGATTGTATTTGTTGGATTGACCAGGGTAGTGATGTAGGAACAATGAAGCAGCAACTTGTATCTGATTTCAATTACTTGAGTGAACGAATGCCGAGCAGCGAACAACTGGGCTGTTCTTCGCAGCCAGCTTGACGACAGTGCACTAGTTGGGATGATGGTCTGCTGCTGACATCCGTGCTGCCAAGTACGGAAACGTATGGAATATTTGACATTACGATCATCGAGTCATGGGCCTGCCCATGGCATGACATCCAAATGTACAGGAAGAATTCGCCTGTAGCACTGGTTGATTCAGAACCCAGTCCGCTTCCTACGCCTCAAAGTTGTACTTCTTACGAGCCCGACCCTCGATGAAAGAAGGCCAGAGAAGGTACAGATACTGCGCGATAGCATACGGCATCTTCGGGAGCACTACGTTGCCCGTCATACCACGGTCGACCGAGTCGATACATCTTTCAGCGACGTAGTCGATCTTCAAACCGTGCTTGTTGGGGTCTTCTTCCCTCACGGGGCCCGAATCCACTGCGGACGCTCGGAAGTTTCCTTCAATGGTGGCGGGCAGGATGAAAGTGAAGGCGATCTTCGGATGCTCGATGGCCAATGACTGGAACAGCAGGAGAGAAGAAGCCTTGGTTGCGGCATAGAGAGCTCTTGTCGGCGCGGGGATGACGGCGGCAACTGATGAGACAAGGAGTATTGAGGGAGATTTTGACGTTCTCGTCAACATGGGAATCTGCGAGTTTGTTAGTCATATAGCCAAGCAAAGCCGGGCGTGGCTCCTTGGACTCTTACAAATGTCAGCGCGGAAGCCAAAGGCCCATCAAAGTTGCCTTTGATAGCACGCCCCGCGATATTGACTGCCGCTTGAATCCCAACGGCCTCGGCATCCTCCTCCGCGGACTTGACACCGGTGAGGGCCATGACGGGTTGCAAAGCTGATACTCCCGCGCAAATGTGTAGCGTATCCAGCCCCTGCCATTCCTTCTCAAGCCGGGTCCTTAGACTGACAAGGTCCTCCACATTGCTGAAGTCTGCGACTTGCCATATGCACTTGTCCCCGCACTCCTTGGCCAGGGTGGTGATCTCGTCTGCGCGGCGAGCGACAACGCAGATCCGTGCTCCGCGGGCGGCATACTGCTTTGCTACGGCGCGACCGACGCCGCTCGAAGCTCCGATGATGAGCACACGCTCATCCGAGTGTGAGAGGCGCTTGTCTCTTTTGCGTGCTTGTGCTGCCAATTGGCGCTGGGCGAGAAGAACCGCGAGGGCGGTGAGCGCCATGCGAAGGACGGGGTATCCCATTGCTGATATTAGTCAAGATCAATCAAAACCTTGGTTTCTGAAGCGACTCAAAGGATGGAATACGGATTCAACATCAAGGTAGGAAGGGAAAGCAAATGTTGGACATAGCTTCAGCTGGGATGCCTCGGCCCATGCCCTTGCCCATGACGCCAGCTCCCTGCAAGGACGTGCAGGAGATGACTAAGCATGGGACAGGGGTCCATGAACAATTAACGCGAACAACGCGTCTGAGACGCGACTTTGAATTACCCAACCCGCCCGCACTCAAGACATCCCGGCAACCCACCACCGGCGACGATTGACGGTTGCAGTTTCGAGCGAGTCGCCAGACACACAAACACACAACCCCAAACTCAGATATGCCTCATTCTGTATCGCCAGAAGCCAATTCCCCCACCGCGGTTCCCGAAGAGACAATGGCCGACTCTCCTGTCCCGCCCAACGCCGGCAGCCAGGCGACCGACGGCGACGTTGCCATGGCTGAGGCTGATGCCCACGCGGTCGCTGCTCCCGAGGCTGCTGGCCCCGACGTTTCTGCCCCCGAGGCCTCTGCTCCGGAGCAAAAGAAGGATATCAAGTTGGAGGATCTGTTCGATGATGCGGACTCAGACGACGAGTTTCCCAGCTCAAAACCGCAAGAAACTCCTGAGAGTTCTCCTGAGATCCTCACGCCCCCCTCTCCAACGTGGGTTCTATAGTCAAAGCTTGGTGACCTCATGCTGACACGCGAGGCAGAGATATTGCACACATGAAGGCTTCCGATCCCGAAATCATGCGCAGTTTCTACCAGCGCTTGTTCCCCTGGCGATACCTCTTCCAGTGGCTCAACCACAGCCCATCCCCGACGAACGACTTTGGCCACAGAGAGTTCGCCTTCACACTGCAGAACGACGCATACCTACGATACCAATCTTTTGCGACACATGACCTGTAAGCGTGGAATTTACTGGCAATGCCGAAGAATTTACCCTAACGTGCTGCAGCCTCCGCAAAGACGTCCTCCGCCTCATGCCCTCCCGTTTCGAAATCGGCCCCGTCTACAGCACCAACCCCCGCGACCGCAAGACCCTCCGAAACGCCAGCGCCTTCAAGCCCCTCGCCAAGGAACTCTGCTTCGATATTGATTTGACGGATTACGACGACATCAGAACGTGCTGCGACAAGGCCAACATTTGCATCAAGTGCTGGCAGTTCATCACTATGGCGATTAAGGTGGTTGACGTTGCCCTGCGGGACGACTTTGGTTTCAAGCACATCATGTGGGTTTACTCTGGACGAAGAGGTGCCCACGCGTGGGTTTGCGACCAGAAGGCCAGAACGATGGGTGACCAGATGAGGCGGTCGATCGCAGGGTACCTCGAGGTCATCAAAGGTGGAGCGCAAAGTGGAAAGAAGGTCAACCTGTGGCGGCCATTACATCCTCATGTCCAGTAAGCATCCCTCACTCTTTATTCCAAGGCGAGGCACTAACCTGGTGCTGCAGACGAAGCTTGGACACTCTCATGCCACACTTCCAAGAAGACGTCCTCGAAAACCAGGACCCCTGGGCCTCCAACGAACGCGCAGAGCGCCTGCTACAGCTCCTTCCGGACAAGACGCTCATCGACAACCTCCGCAAGAAGTGGGACGCCTCCCCCGGCCGGTCTTCCATCAACAAGTGGGCCGACATCGACGCCGTCGCTAAGACGAGCGCTGGCAAGAAGTTTGACGCGAGGGGGCTTCTGGACGCAAAGCAGGACATTCTCCTCGAGTACACGTACCCACGCCTCGATATCGAGGTCAGCAAGAAGCTGAACCATTTGCTCAAGTCGCCGTTCGTCGTGCACCCCGGCACCGGCAGGGTGTGTGTACCCATCGACACGAAGAACCTCGAGGATTTCGACCCCCTTAGCGTGCCAACGGTGCAAGGCTTGTTGGCGGAGATTGATGCGTGGAAGGGAGAGGAGGAGGGCGACGGGGCGCAAAAGAGTGTGCAGGACTGGGAGAAGACGAGCTTGAAGCCGTACGTGGAGCAATTCCGGTCCTTTGTGATTGGCTTGATGAAGGACGAAAGGGACAGCAAGGTCAAGAGGGAGAGGGAAGACGACTCGATGGATTTCTGAGCGCAAATTCGACATGACTTGTATGATGGGCAAACTCGGTACCGGGGTCGGTGTTCTTGTCTTGGCACAGCAACTGGGGTATTATTGGATCTAATTATCACCTGTCAAATGCAGGCTATGATGCACTTTCTGCCGTCTGGGCTTCCTCGCCCTTTGCCTCTGCTGGCTCGGGCACAGCAACGTTCTCCGTGATGGTCTGCTGCTCATCCACGTCTTCGTCGTCTTCCTCTTCGAACCTGCTGTCCTCGACCTCTGCCGTCGGTGTCCCGCTCGCGCTGCCACCCTCGCCCTTGAGATGTGCCTCCTTGCGCTTGGGGATAACGCTCAAGAACGCCTCGGCCCAGTCGCCGGTCTCCAGCCACTTGAGCATGATCTCCACCACATGATTCGTAGCAAGCACCCTTCTACTGGAGATGTTCATGTACTCCCCTATAGGCAGTTTTGCTGTCTTGATCCCCAGCTCTCTCGCGCGGCGGTGGCAGAGACCCTTCTCGCGGTTGCGGTCGACGAGTCCGCCGATAACGTAGCTCACACCAGGCTCAAGGCGGTCGATCGTGTTCGGGGAATCGGCAGAGAGATAGACGATGTTCTTCAACTCGTCCACCGGTTCCGGCTCGTGGTCGGGGGTCGGCGCATTGTCGTACACATCCCTCATAACAGCAGGCTTCTCCTTGCCCTCGCCCTTGAGCACCTCAATTACCTCCCCACCCTTCTGACCTGCCATTAACTCATCCGCATCCTTCGCCGCCTCCACAAAGTTGCTCTCGACGAGCTTCACGCCCTTCCAGCCGTTATGCTGCCCGCCCAGGGTCGTGTCGAACCGCTCTTTGAGCTTGCCACCGTACGAGCTGACGTACAGGTGCACACGGTAGCGCGCCTGGCGGTTGTCGGAGTAGCAGCGCGTGATCTGGCTCGCGAGGCTGACGAGCTCCTTGTCGAGCATGTAGCTCTCAAAGTCGCAGTCGAGGATGAGGGTGACGGGGGTCTGGACGGCGGGGACTTTGGGGGTCTTGCGCTTCGGGGGAATGACGATCTGCGAGCGGTCGAGACCCTTGGCCTCGGCGTCCGCGACGATGGCGGCGATCTGGTCGCGGCGGGCGGCCTGGCGGTCGTGGCGCTTTTCTTTGCGCTTGCGCTTGCGGTCCTCGCGGCCTTCCTCGAAGGCTTGTTTGCGTTTCAGTTTGCGGAGTTGGTTCTTGGAGAGTTTGGGTTCTTCTTCAGCGACGGCGGGGGAGGCGTCGTCGTCGTTCTCCGCGGCGGTTTTGGAGGCGGGTTGAGCTTCGGATTCGGGTGCCCCGCTACTTGATGCTGCGGCACCGTTGTCGCCATTGGCGGTCGCAGGGACGGCGGATGTGGTTTCTTGGTTGCTGTCGGTCATCTCGAGGTCTACGGCCGGCTGGGCGACAGGGTCTGCAGCCGTGGAAGCCATCCTCGTGGTTGTGAGGCTGGTGACGGGTGCAAAGTTTGGGGTGCGAAGTGGGGGACTTTTTGGAAATTTCGGCGATGGTTTGCGATGGCTGACCTGGAGCCGATGCGCAGCTGCACCTTTGGAGAGAGACGCTAAGCCGTTTGTGGAGAAGGGCGGGGCGGGCGACGGTGCTGCACGGAGACACTGAGTTCGTGCTCTGAGGTGCAGCGTTCTGGAGAGCATGCACGCTGATGGGCTTGCGTGACGTTTTTTATGCGAAGTAGATAAAATTGAGCCTGGATTAAAGACGATGAAAAGTGCTGGAGCTGGAATTAAACGCGGCTGTTGAGGTCGATCTGCCTGCACCGTTAGAACGTTGAATAGTCATGAACAATTCTCGAATCTCAAAATCAGCACCAGTAGAGAGCTTTCAACGCTTAACCAGAATGGGACTAGACTACCGCTCAGGATTCCCAGCTGCGGCAGAAATACTGAGGCGGTCAGACATGCCTAGCCAAAGGAGGACTAGCGCGGTCGCGACGCGAAATGGCAATCGAAGACGCGCTCCCGGGAAACCACTTTAACACCCGCGTAAGGTACCTAAAGCAAGCTGCACTCGTGAGGGTGATACTCGCCGGTTACACTCATTTCACCACAACGTTCTTCTCATTCTCACTTGTCTTTTTTGAGCGTTCTACTATATACCAACATGTCTTCCAGGCCAGAATTGAAGGTTTGTACTACAATTGCACATTTCCCCGTTCAATTGGCTAATACGTCACCAGGTCGACGACGAGCACGGCTTCATCCGCTTCTTCAAGTCCCTCCCAACCGTCCATGAAGACACCGTCCGCATTTTCGATCGAGGTGATTGGTACACCGCACACGGCGAAGATGCCAACTTCATTGCCCGCACAGTATGTTGGACCGTACCGTAGCAAGCCGCCTGCAGTACTGACTTTGTGCAGGTATACAAGACCACGTCCGTCGTGAGGACACTCGGCCGAGATGACAAGACCGGACTTGCCTCCGTGACAATGACGGTCACGGTATTCCGACAATTTCTTCGAGAAGCTCTTTTCAAGCTTGGAAAGAGGATAGAGATATGGGAGAGCACCGGCGGCCGCATGAACTGGAAGGTTGTCAAGCAGGCGTCGCCCGGCAACCTGCAGGATGTCGAGGAGGATTTAGGCGGACAGATCGAGAACGCACCCATGATTCTAGCCGTCAAGATCTCTACGAAAGCATCTGAGGCAAGGAGCGTGGGAGTCTGTTTCGCAGACGCAAGCGTGCGAGAGCTGGGCGTCAGCGAGTTCCTCGACAACGATTTATTCTCTAACTTCGAGGCTCTCCTCATCCAGCTAGGTGTCAGGGAGTGCCTGATCCAGACAGACAAGGCCGACAAGGCCAAGGACCCGGATCTGACGAAGCTGAAGCAAATCATTGTTAACTGCGGTGTCGCGATCTCGGAGCGATCCGGCGGCGAGTTTGGCACCAAGGACATTGAGCAGGACTTGGCGCGTCTTCTCAAGGACGAGCGGGCTACTACCCTTCTCCCTCAGACAGACCTCAAGCTGGCGATGGGCTCCGCCGCGGCACTTATCAAGTACCTTGGCGTGCTCCATGACCCTTCCAACTTTGGGCAGTACCAGCTTTACCAGCACGACCTCTCACAGTATATGAAGCTAGATGCGGCGGCTTTGAAGGCTCTCAACCTGATGCCCGGCGCCCGTGATGGTGCCAAGACAATGAGCTTGTACGGCTTGTTGAACCACTGCAAGACTCCTGTCGGTAGCAGACTGCTGTCTCAGTGGCTGAAGCAGCCGCTCATGAGCAAAGAGGAGATTACCAAGCGCCAGCAACTGGTCGAGGCCTTTGTGAACGACACGGAGCTGAGACAGACCATGCAAGAGGAGCACCTTCGTTCCGTTCCCGATCTGTACCGCCTGGCCAAGCGTTTCCAGAGAGGCAAGGCGAACCTCGAGGACGTGGTCCGCGCATACCAGGTGGTCATTCGCCTCCCTGGTTTCCTAGGCACTTTCGAGGGCGTCATGGACGAGCAGTACAAGGACCCTCTCGACGAAGCCTACACAATCCCTCTTCGCGAGCTCTCCGATAGTCTCGTGAAGCTTGCAGAGATGGTTGAGACAACGGTCGACTTGGACGCGTTGGACAACCATGAGTACATCATCAAGCCCGAGTTCGATGACAGCCTTCGCATCATCAGAAAGAAGCTCGACAAGCTTAAGCGCGATATCGACCAGGAATTCTCCGACTCGGCCCGCGACCTGAAGCAAGAGGTCGGCAAGAAGATCTTCCTCGAGAACCACAAAGTCCACGGCTACTGTATGCGTCTTACTAGACAAGAAGCCGGAGCGATCCGCAACAAGTCCGGTTACCAGGAGTGCTCAACCCAGAAGAACGGAGTCTACTTCACCACCAAGACCCTCCAGAGCCTCCGCCGCGAGTTCGATCAGCTTTCGCAAAACTACAACCGCACTCAGAGCAGTCTCGTGAACGAGGTTGTGGGCGTTGCGGCGTCTTACTGTCCTGTTCTGGAGAAACTTGCCGGCGTGCTTGCCAATCTTGATGTGATTGTCTCCTTTGCACACTGCTCCGTTCACGCCCCATCCGAGTACGTCCGTCCCACGATCCATGCCCGTGGACAGGGTCAAACCATCCTCAAGGAAGCCCGTCACCCCTGCCTAGAGATGCAGGATGATGTCCAGTTCATCACCAACGACGTCTCATTAACCAGAGACAAGTCCTCTTTCCTCATCATCACTGGTCCCAACATGGGCGGAAAGTCGACCTACATCCGCCAGATCGGTGTCATTGCACTTATGGCGCAGATCGGGTGCTTTGTGCCGTGCTCCGAAGCTGAACTGACTATCTTCGACTCTATCCTCGCGCGCGTGGGAGCCAGCGATTCACAGCTGAAGGGTGTCTCAACCTTCATGGCTGAGATGTTGGAGACGGCGAACATTCTCAAGTCAGCCACAGCCGAATCTCTCATCATCATTGATGAGTTGGGACGCGGTACATCAACATACGACGGCTTCGGCCTCGCCTGGGCCATTTCAGAGCACATTGTTAAGGAGATTGGATGCTTCGCCATGTTCGCGACGCATTTTCACGAGCTGACGGCGCTGGCTGACGAGCACCCACAAGTACACAACCTTCACGTTGCAGCACACATCAGCGGCGGTAACGAGGGAGGCGAGAACACCAAGCGTGAGGTTACGCTCCTGTACAAGGTGGAAGACGGCGTGTGCGATCAGAGCTTCGGTATCCACGTCGCTGAGCTGGTCCGCTTCCCCGACAAGGTTGTGCGCATGGCCAAGCGCAAGGCCGACGAGCTCGAGGACTTCACTTCGAAGCACGAAGACCTCGGACTGAAGTACAGCAAGACGGACATGGAGGAGGGCAGCGCGATGCTCAAGGAGGTCCTGCTCAAGTGGAAGGAGGAGGTTGCCGCGGGGTCCATGAGCAAGGAGGAGATGGTGTCCAAGCTGAAGGGGTTGGTCATGGCGGACGAGAAGCTGCTTGCGAACCCCTTCTTCCAGTCCGTCAAAACCTTGTAAGGGTTGGATTCGGATAAGTGAGGCGGACATGATTTTGCTTTGGGTTGCTCGGCGTTCAGGGGAATTATGGGAAGTGTAATGATACTGGCTGGTTTGCGGCCCACGGAATAGCTACGTAGAGCCATGTGTAGACAAAATGCACCAAGAAGATACAAGATTCAATCAATTGGCGTTCCAAGTAGCTTTCGATTGTGGAAAGCTGGAAAGCTATTTCGTGTTTGCCTAGGTGCCTTACGAAGCCGTTGGCCCAGCTCAGGTCCCTTGATTGCAGCTGAACCCGGGAAACTTTTACAGCTCACCGAACCCTCCCAAAAAGGCAGTGCCAACCCTTGAGTTCCTTCCGGTTTTGTCTCGTTCCACCTTAAACATACTCTAGACAGCAGACAAAGATACTTAGCCTCCGTCGAGGGCAGCAGCCGTCAACCAGTTCACATACGGCACGGCCATCCCCCCGGATGGTCGAGTGGTAAAAGCACCAGCACAACATAATACCTGGTTCGACAGGGGAGCTCTGGTATCCCTCCAGGCGCGCTTGGTTCGACGCTGATCCGCGGCAGTGCAAGGGCGTATTTTTTTTTTTTTGGATTTCGCTTCGGCGAGTATCTCTTTTACTTTTCTTTTCTCTTATCGATTTTATTCAGTCGGGAGGGGTGCATCTGGGGTTAGAAATAGGGTGTCAGTAAACTAAGGCGTGACAGATGTATTAAGTGTGAGAATGGGAAGGTGAGGTATAGGGTCAGATGTAAGGATAGAACGGTGATTGGTCGAATCATATGTAGTCATAAACAGCCTCTGAAGCTGAGTATCATCATGAAGATGGGGGCGAGACGAGGACGGAAAGAACGTACCGTCATGAGGAGGCGCAACGATGCTTGCCTGCCACGTAGATCCGAGCAAAGACCGATACGAGACATTCACCGGCTGTCAGGGATGAAGAAGTCTTGGTCCAGAAGTTAGATATGACAAACAAGTCCGTGCAAGTAATTTGGGGGGATTGGTAGGGTATCAGAAAGTGATAGAACGGTGATGATTCGAATCATGTTGATGTAATCATAAACAGCCTCTGAAGCTGAGTCTCATCATGAAGGAGCGGTAGGGAGGAGATCGTGGACTTGACTTACGAGTACAACTAGAATACGCTATGCTGGCGACGCGGCGAGAATGGCTAGGGCACGAGAGAGACCTGAGCAACATGGTTAGCTGCTGACGGCACTCGGAAGGATATGTGACAATAGTGCGCAGGGGGTAAGTGTCAGACATAAAAGATAGAACGGTGATGTTTGAATCATGGGGTTCATAAACAGCCTCTGAAGCTGAGTCTCATCATGAAATGGAGGAGGATAAAGACGCCTAATAGGCATAAGGAAACTTACATCTACTGGAGTAAGGATCACACGGGGACGCGGTCGGTGAAGAAATCAAGGGTCTGTTGGGTGGTCAGTTACTGCTTCCCACGGGGTAATATGTTGAGTGTTTTGAAGAGAGGATAGGGTCAGAAAAATGATAGAACGGTGATGGGTCGAATCATGAAAGAGATTTCATAAACAGCCTCTGAAAGCTAGAATTCATCATGTTGAGGGTGGGCAAGGCGGCACGGTATTGAAGAGAAATTACGTACCATTAATGTCGATGCTATCGGGTGACGTGGGTGTCAAGACATATATCAACTTGAGAGTCTTGGAACCAACAGTTAGCAACTGTACTAAGCCGAGTTGGCAGAGAAGAGTGTGGTTCGTGATTGGGATCAGACAAAAGATAGAACGGTGAAAGGTCGAATCATGAAAGATTTTCATAAACAGCCTCTGAAGCTAATGTATCATCATGGAAGGGAGCAACATAAGAGACGAAAGTTGGCTTACATTATGTTGATATCGACAGAAGTTGCCGGGGGCTACGATTGTCCGTTTGAGGAAGGTCTGGGCCGATGCTGTTAGCTACATATGGAGGCAAGGAGTTGCAGTCATGGCCGGGGTGAGAAATCCAAATCAGACAAATGATAGAACGGTGATGGGTCGAATCATATTTGATCATAAACAGCCTCTGAAGCTATTGTATCATCATGGAGAGGAGAAACAGTAGTGCGGTGAGGGAGACTTACATCGTGATGAGAAACAAGCATATGCGTGGACACCATGGCGTTTGGCTTCGCGGAGGACCTGGCTTGGCGTAGTTAGCAACCGCTAAGAGACGTAAAGAGCGAATGAATCAGGTAAGCATGATGTAAATCAGACAAATGATAGAACGGTGATGTTTCGAATCATGAAAAATTCATAAACAGCCTCTGAAGCTAGAGTATCATCATACGAGGGAGCGGCAAAAGCAGTGCTGTTAGTAACATACCATTTATTGTGACGCAATCGGGCGGGTGCGTCGTTAGAGACAAGCACACATCACGCGGAGAGGCTACGCGCAGCGAAAAGCTCAGAGAGAGCGTTGGAACAAATAATACAGTTTCCATTCCTCTAGCCGATGAGACTCCTCTTCTCGTGCCCACAGTTTTTCTCTCGCGGGCCTGTGTATGTACAAACGGGGAAGAAAAAAGAGCATGCCTCGCTTTGGCGGGTTTGGTGGTTTCGTTGTGGTGGTAATGGTGGGGTAGGTTTTTTTTCTTCTTTACTCGACTGTCGCCTTGACGGGGTTGATCTCGACTCCGTACTTCTCCTTGAGCCTTTCGCGTCTGCGCTCCTCGTAGCCGGGTGGGCGGATTCCTGTATCGTGTCAGCCTCCGAGCGGATGGACGGGGTGTTGGGTTGCGCACCTCTGCCCTCGCCAATCTCTGCAATCGTCTCCTCGATCGGGCGTCGCCTAGCCGCGCGCATGGCCATCTTGCTGTCAAACTCCTCCTCGTCTGGTCTATCGGCCCGGTTGATCCAGAGGCGTCCTCCGGTGAGGGCGAAGACTCCCTGCCAGGCGGCGAAGCCGGCGCCGAGGCCGAGCACGATGGGCATTCTCTTGGCTGTGGTGCAGCGTAAGTATGACTACCATAATCCAAATGCAGCGTTTATCGCCGGGGGCAAGTGTCCGTACTCGTCAATCCAAGGATAGAACCGGCGAAGAAACCGGCGGTTGCGCTGTTCCACGCATCATCCTTTTCCCTCAGGTTGGCCATGGCAGTCTGGGTGAAGCCGTACGCGCCGCCGCCGAGAGCTGTTCGAGTGTCTCCGTCAGCCCACCCACGTTCCCAATTAGATCCCCCCTTACAACCCTCATATGTTCGTGAAACGTACTCATGACGGCAATGATGCCTCCGCTGCGGGTGAAGACGGACATGGCGCCGACATTCTGCTTCTGAAGGGCGTTGGTGATGGCGGCCAAGAAGAAACCGGCACCGCCAAGAGCGACGCTGGACTTGATGGCGGTCTTGATGGCATCCTTGGGATGGTACGTGTCGTCGTGGTCGCCGGCCATGGTGGATTCGGGGGCACTCCGCGGGCCAGAGGTTCAATTGGAAGAAACGAAGGATTGGTGAGGGATGTTGCGGAAGTTTGAGGTCGGGTTGAAGCTCCACGGACGATGTGGAGCTTCCGGCGGAACAGTCACGTGGTCTGGTTCGGTGAGGAGCCAATCATATAGCAGGGGATGGTCAACTACAAGAGCAAGTAGAGAACAGCCAAGCTCGGTGAAAGTCGGCAGGAGGCGCAAGGCATCAATTGCTTCCGTATACATCTCAAGTACTTGTACGTTCTAGGTTTTTTTTATTTCGCAATGTGTTGAAGCATTTGGCAGGCAATGCAGCTGTCTTCTTCTAAAGATTGTCAATAGCTCTGTTCATTGGCTCAGCTCGGGCTTGGGTGACTAAGCCAGGCCCGCATTCACCTCGGTCAGAACATGAGCTGCTGTCACGTGCTGTATCACGTGGTGATTTCTCGTCTGTCGGTCCCCTCTAATGCCACATCCTTGCATTCCATGTGATTCTAACCACGCGGAACATCGCGGCGCACCTTAAAGATCCTCCCCACCAAGTTGGAAAAGAAGATCGGCTAGTTTTCCTGTGTCTGGGCGACTACATTTCCTGTGTACTAGGCGACTTTGATAAGGACGACGACGATAGACAGCGATAATAGCAACGACAGTAGCAACAAAAATAGGTGGCTTGAGGGGCGAGGGGAACAAGGTTGGCCCTGCCTCAATCAGATAGCGATAACAGATGCCGAGCTCCAGGCGGTACCTCTGCTACCTACCTAAACACCCAGCTGCACCAGCGCTAATGTACCCACGGGCCGCTCTAAAACTGCCCCGGCGCCCAGTGTGCTGTGCGAGGCTGCCAGCTGCCCTGCGTCAGCCTGTCCACGTCTCGGTCCCCCGCCACTGCCCACCTTTGCCTCACCAGGTCATTGGAGGAAGGTACCACCTTCTAGAAGCCGGCGCATTGGTAGCTTAAGGCCTGCCATTCCCTGTCCTTGACGCAGTGCATGAAAGCTGTCGTAATGGTGCCGATGGGACAGCTTTCGACATCAACTTCTATCAGGGCATTTGGTGTTTGTCCTTGCATTTAGATACCCGCCTTTACGACCTCCATTTGTCTGTCCCTTGCGGTGCCCTAAAAAGCAGCGTCCACCTCGTGTCGCCGCTGCTGTCGCCCGCTTCTCGACAGCAAACGGACAACCGCTTCGTTTGTACGTAGCCGGCGACGACCTGTCACCACACACGACAACACGACACATATCAATAGAACAGGGCACTGTTGAGTCATGTATGTTTTCTCACTCTCGCATCGCGCGCCTGCCAATGGTCGCTCGCTGTTTCTGGGTACTGACCTCACCTGGTGCGTAGTGACCCGCTGTGATCAACCCCTCCTCCACGAACGAACGAGCCGATCAAGGCGAGCACATATCAAGAAAATCCGACACGACCGAGACCATCGTTACGGACAACGGGATTAGGCCACTACAACAGAGTTACACAGACGCTGGGAGCTGTCCTGACGGCAATATGGTCGCGACAGACAGCTACGCCATCATGTCTCCCCCAGATTCGCCGCCCATGACGCAGCACTGGGAGGGCCGCGCGCCACAGGTCAAGGAGGGGATGGTTGGCAAGTCGGGTATGTCTGTTGGTGCGCCTCTCGGGTTGTCGATGTTCTCTATGACATCCGAGAAATTGGATAGGCTTCATTTGGACTAACCGCCCGGCAGGCCGTCTCGCCCCCAGATGGGTTCATGACCTTCTCAACTCTGAGCTCGACGTCGGCTCATTCACTAATATCCAATGGGATCCGAATGCCCGTTGCAGCCGCAAGGGTGCATCCCACACACTCGTGCTTGTTGGCAACCAGAGTACCGCCGACACCGCGAATCCTGGTGTTCTCTCCTGCGTCTGCACTACATGCGACTTCCATTTCCTCATCAGGAGAGCTTGGGACCCTGACCAACTGGTTCAACTCTGCCAGCCCGCACCCCTCCACTTTCCCCTAGAAGACACAGACTTTTATCTGCATCATTTGGTCAATGTCCGACAGTCATCTCAGCACCAGGACTACACCTCCGAGTACCACCCTCTGATCAAAGAGTCTCTCATCGCCGTAGAGCACTTTGCGTGCTCGGCCCCTCGTTGTACATTCCAGGTTACAGCCGAGATATCGCGTCCTCGTCTGAAGCGGGAATGGGTTCAGCTCCTGACCGATCAGCAACGAATTCTCGACAACTTGGCAAATGCTCGGAAGGAGTCCCCGGACCGCTTCGCAGACGCCAGAGACGACTGGTGTACTAGCGCGCCCTCCACTCTCAACACATACCTGCGAGATTTACTAGACAAACCGAATCCCCGCAACATTTCGCAACGTAACAAGCGGTTCCATGTCGTGTTCGGAGAAGAATGTTATGTTATTTTCAGGGCGATTCAGTTTTCGGAGGAGACGCTCGAAAAGGACGAGGTCCCGGAGCCTTACTTTATCCCACCCAAGTTGGAGCCTGGTACGCCTGGCACACCAACAAAGATTAGCACTCTTCGGGCGTTCATCGAGGACATGCAGGCTGAAACAGAGAGCCTGATCGTTCGCAGTGGAAGGACAGGTGAATCACGAGCTGCTGCTGGAAACCGTCTTTCAAAGGAGTTGCAATGCTTTGACTATCCACGGAACAAAACCACTTCGACAGCTCTCGAGGCTCATCGAATACTAGGCGTGTTGCCAGACTTCGACAGGGCCCTCATCGTCTACGCCTACAAACGGCAGTCTGTCTTATGCGAGCAACGTCGAGCAGACTATGTGGCGGCACTTCGCGACATTGCCCAGGAACATGCTGACGATGAGTTTCAAACACAGGCAGTGCAGGAGCTCACGCTGGTGGAGAGGACGCCTAGTGGGAATAATGGAGCAGTGGATGAGCTCCAGCAACAGGCATACTCGTTCTTCAGCCTGCAGTACACTGCGTCTGATGACGAGGTTATTTCTGCATACAATAGGAAGATTGAGCACTCTCCCTCCCAAGCCGATTTCGCGCGAGAGATGATGCAAGTCATCGGGCGCCATAGATCCAGCGACAGGATTCTCCTCCAGACCACTGGGCCGATGGACATTTCCACAGCTTATCGAATTCTTGAGACAGAAAAGGAGTGGCCAGATGATAGTATTCGCGCCATGAGTGAGGTTAAGGTGTGTTGAACGAGACGAGAGCCCCGCCGTGCTACTGCGACTAACATCTCTTTCCTAGGTCACTAACAATGCCGGGAACAAGCCAGTCATTGACCAGGCACTGAACGCTTTGGAGGCCATTGCCAATGATAGAAAGAGCGACATGCTGCACCAGACAGTTCTTAGCTGGAGAAGTGATGCGGGAAGCTCAGCGAGAATCAACTCGACCTCTGGGTTGGCCAGAATGTCTGAAGAGAACACCAAGCCTCGTCTTGACCTGCCTGCTGGGCTTGAAAACATTGGTAACACATGCTATCTCAACAGTATTTTACAATACCTGAGAACGGTTGTGCCTCTCAGGACGCTGCTTGCTCAATACGCAGATTACCAGCTTGGTCAAGATGAGTCCGAGGTCACAATGAGACGAATTGGAGGAAACAAACTTCCGGTCGAGCAGGCTGAAGCGGTAATTGCAAGAATATGTGAGTTACCAGCTAACGATTATCCCCGAGTCCCATGCTAATTTTCCTCAGTCGTCGAAGAACTTAGCAAGCTGTTGGAGGATCTCGACAAAACGAAAGAAACAGCTATCCGTCCGTCGCAACGTCTTGCCAACGCAGTGCTCCTACCCACGATTGAGATCAAGAAGCAGTCGAACGCGGAGGAGGGTCCGAAGACGCAAGAGGTTATGGGCGCACAGTTCCCTTTGCCCCCGCCACTCCCGGCACGTCCTGCTCCAGTACCTCCCGCAAAGAGCGTGGAATACGTAGGGCCCTTACCAGACGCAAACATGGTCAACATCACTGTAGACCCTGTCTCAGGCTCTGCAAGCAGTGTGAGCTCACAGACTCTGGTCAGTCTGGACGCCGACCAAGATAAGAATGCCGTACATGAGGATAACATGGACGTAAAATTCATCTCTGAGCACCCTGTACCTCCTAGCGACTCGGATGAAAAGGATGTGCAGATGGTTGATGCACCCGCACCTTCGGTCGAGGAAAGAGTTCTCAAAGCTCTCGAAACTCAGAAGCGTTCTTCTGGCACCGACCAGCAAGACGTCGAAGAAGTCATGGGTAGCATCATCAACCGTCTCCAAGCAGCAATCAAACCCACCGAGACCGACTCCAACGAAATCCAGTGGGAGCCAATCATGAACACGTTCTACGTCGAACTGGCCAACCACACAAAGATGCCCAATCAAGAAAAGTTTACAGCAGAGTCCATCCTGGAACGTGCGATAACAGCGTACCCTGCGGAGGGAGGACCCAGCACGATTGAGCAAGGCCTTGATCGGAACTTCAATGTCCAGCGGGTCGCGACTACCGACGGACATGACATCATGCGATTCACCTCCATCAAGAGGCTTCCGCCGATCTTGCATGTACTCATTCAGAGAACCAAGAACGACGGCCGGAAGAATATGAACCCTGTCCAAGTATCCGAAACGCTCTGCTTGGACAAACACATGGATGCGGCTGGAGACCCGGATGCCCTCAAACTCAAGCAAAAAGGATGGGTCATCCAGGAGCGTCTCGACCAACTGAGCAACAATGCAAAGACTTCTGCCGATAACCCAGAGCTTATGGATAAGTTCATCGACGGCTTCGTTCGCGTCGACAAGCCAGAAGAGGAAAAGTCGGTCTTGACCGACGAACCTACAACATCGCTCAGTTTTGCTGGGGAGGAACTCGTATTCCCAGCCTACGCCTCACCTCCAGACTCAATGCTTGAGAAAGTTGACGCCCCTGTTGGAGCTTTGGCGGAAGCTCGCCAGAAAATCAAGAGCATGCGTGAAGAAGAAATGAAGGCGCGCTCGACTGAACATGATGCACTTTTCCAAACGCGAAAGCAGGTATATCGTTTGCAAGCGGTCATATGTCACAGCGGACAGCTGAATGCGGGGCACTACTGGGTATGGATTCACGACTTCGAAGATAACATCTGGCGCAAGTACAACGATCGTACGGTTACAGAGAACGCTAGCACCGAGAAGGTTCTGGAGCTTCTCAACAGTAACGGCGATCCATACTACCTGTGCTACGTCGATGACAAGAAGCTCGACTTGGTCAAAGTTCCGAAGCGCAACTTGGACGCAGATGGCGACATCGATCTGATTGATGTACATGCCCTGCCCTCGGAGACTGGTCGAACCTAGTGGGGCGTCTGTGTTGCAGAGGACAGCTCTGTTGCAGCTGAGGATAATGGTGTTGTGACCGACGCCGCCTTTGACAGGGACGCCTTTGACAGGGGACGCCAACGACAGGGAACGTCAACGACGGAGACGCCAGCCCACGACAGGGGATGCCAACGACAGGGAACGCCAATGACAGACGCCAAGGAGAGGGACGGCGATGAGACAGGTAAGGGGATGAGCAGTTACTCGCGTCGCCGTACACGCAATGCTGAATCTCACAAGCCATCCCTCAAACGCGAAAGGCGTTACAGCGATTCCACCTTGACTAAGAGACGAGTTACTCGGTCCGTCACTCGGTCTAGAAAAAGGCAAGCGGACTGCACAGATGAGAACGCGGCAAGTTCTTCAAAATCACGTGTCAGCGTCAAAAGAAGAACCCGGCTCTAGATCACGATTTGAGGTTTATGACGTTGAGGAATAAAAGAGAAGCACCCGAACCCGGTGCTTCGAAACAGAAGAAAGCGAAGACGTACATGAGCAGCGAGAGTACTGGGTATGGATTGAGACGTTAGTGTCTGGTCTCAAACGTCAACTCCATAGCTAGATGCATTATGACAAAGGTTTACGGGCGTCTGTTCATTATTTGGGTTTACTTAGTGGTCTTGCTTACTTCACCAAGCATGGATGGCGAAAGAATTGGTAGCAGCATGATTACTGCTTGCAGCATAGCATTTGCAGCTCAATACCCAGAGATTAGACAGCATTACCGCGTTGTGCGCTTACGCTCGTCGTGTTGTGTCCAATGTCTGATGATGAGGTCCTTGCAGGTTCGTCCGATTGATGAGGAGAGTTTTGCAACCCGGGCAGTGTTAGATGGCTATCCGGGCAGTACCCCCCCCCCCCCCCCCCCCCCCCCTATGACCCTTAGTGATAGAGAGAACGATAGGAGTGATAGACAGGATAGTGACGATAGAAGAAGACGATGATAGACGACGATAGACGAAGAATCTCCGACGTCTCCGTCGCCTGGCTTCGTTCGCAGCGTTATAAGCTTCCAGCCCCAGACCCCCGCTCCGTACCCGCTTGTTCCGCGCCCCGAGCCCTCTATCCACACACGGCGCCAACTTTGATATCCATACCATCGTCGTCGCCAGCAACTGTGGAGATGTCTCACGCATTTGCCATCCAACCAGCGTCTTCAACACGCCCCTTTGGCTCAGTGGTAGAGCGTCTCACTCGTATCGTTGCGAACTATGAGAAGGTCCACGGTTCAATCCCGTGAGGGGGCATTTTCTTTTGCTTCGGGCTACTTTAACAAAGTTTTTGGCCTCAGACGTGGCGCTTTGTTTTGAGGTTTGACTGGCTGGTTGGGAGGCCGGCCATAGGGTTGTCTTGAGAGGTGCGGACGCTGGAAATAGTTGGTGTATTAGCTGATAAGTAAGCAACTAGCAAATGTGATAGAATTGTTGCCGTACGGCCTGATAGCTGATTATCTTAGGAAGTTTCATCAGGAAAATAATCCTTTCAGGGCCACCTGCCTCATTTACTAAGATGTCCGTGGTATAAAACATGCAGCATTAGGGCCGAGACATCGACTCTGTGACAACTCAGGTAATCTATCCAAATCAATTCGTGGACATGAAGAGGACTATGGTCGGTGTAAGAAGAACGTTGAATACCAGCGCTTCGACATCTGAAGCCTGGATCATGCAGAATAGGCACTTATTCGTGTGGTTTACTGCTTATTGCTTGTTCAATACACAAGATGACGACAGGGTTAGCCAACACCATCAAATGCTGAAAGCAACCCAAAACAATTCATTCGATGATACGCAAGTACTTTTGAAGCGCGCATATTACAACGCCTCGATTTGAAATAAGCCCGGGAAATCTCGCTGCATTCCTGAACTACATAAAACTTTTCTCGAGATCGACTCAAGTATTCAGGTAGATCTCCCCGACACCAGCAGGCTTGCGGTAGAAATAAAGCAGCGTCCCTGCACTTCAGAGTTGGCAGCCGCAAACAAATGAGAAGACCCTCTGCCATATGCGACCGGGTTTAGTACAACTATTAACAGTGGGAGCATGAAAAATAAACCTACACTTCAAGACTTCGCTGTGTAGGAGCGGGCACCCATGCGGGAATACGGACGACGAATACGTCTGTGATATAATCACTGGATGATGAGTGAAAACGACAACCATTGGCAACGACAAACATGCCCATACAGAATGTGACAAGTACAAAATAGCGTCAGGGCCTAAGCTTCAATATCAAGAGCACAAATCCTCCAACATGGAGAGGACATTGTCAAGAGCAATTATGGATATGTTGAAACAGGACCTTTATACCCCGTTCCTTCTACCCCCTCTTCCTGCTCCCGAACTTCGTCTTTGGTTAGGCCAAATCAGGATGGAGTAGAATGTAACGAGCGGCATAGAGCTGTGGACATGGAACATACCGTGAATGGACGCCGTCCCGGGCTCGATTACCCCCAGGGGTATGGATGACTTAGTAACAACCAAACCGCCCCCAACATCAAATATCACACCACGAGACTAACTCCAAAAATAACCTCGATCCCTCCCTCCATCTTTCTATCGGAATTGCTTGCCGGCCTCAATGCCGAAGTAAGTCCACAGATCTAGCCCCCAAACCCGAGGACCAGGTATCAGATCACCAAGGGCTACTTAGACCTGGGTGGCTGAGTAACATCATCTTCGGCACTGCTTTCCGGTGCAAGATTCAGGTAAAGACACCTGCGAGATCAAGACCGAGTGCTCGTCTAGACTGCAAGATCCGGGAATGTGCTTTCAACTGCGAGATTCAGCTGGCACTGCCACTGCTGCAAGATCAAAACAACTCTACACCCATTGTTTAATACCGAGCACTACTCAACCTGCGAGATCTAACTGTGGGGATGTTAGTCGCAGGACGGAAGGAACCACGCTATAAGTGATCGTCACATCAAAGCACGCAGGATTTCAGCCGGTCGAGGTCGTGGTCTGATCTCAAGGGGCGGCGTATGTCAGTCCAGCTTTCTGGGACGGTAGGACGTGCGGGGTTTGGGGGCGCCCACGACGAGACGAGACGAGTCAGAATGGCGCCGGAGGGGAACGGATCAGCTTTAGTGCGCTGGCTGTCTGTTGAGAAACAACAGTCACATCCAAAGACAACAGTTTGGGCTAGATGATATGTATTTGGGCGAAATAAATCATAACTCCTTGGTGCTGATGTCAAGTTTGCTTGGGACGCGCCCTCGAGACACCGCTTGTACGTGTGCGTTTCCACAATATGCGACATGAAGTCTCCCTTAATCCTTTCAAATATTGTACAGATGTGTCCGTTGATTGTGGAATTTCTCATTGTTCGTTCTTCAGTAGTCTCTCGTCGCACCACCCTGGTCGTCGTCCCCGTCGTTGATGGGGATGGGCGGGGGAGGTTGCGGGGTCTGAGGTTTGTGGCTTGGGTAGGATGCCATGTCGTATTTGGGTCTGTGGCAACATCATATCATATCAGCGCTGAGCTGTCATTTCTCACTGTCCGTCGTGAGGGCCATACCTGATTTTTATATGATGATCGCTGACGTGATAGCCGCGAGAGGCAAGAGCGGGAGAAAGTTCTGTCGTCTGTCGTCTGGAAGAAAGGGGGCAGTGGCATGGGAAAGCTTATATGTCCATCAGATAGCATCGAATACTTGGAGATCGGTAGAGGAGAACATTGATCGGCGGGGGCGTGACGTCAGGCCACCATGATGCGGGAGTGCGACGACTTTTGGGACCAATCTAACTGGAGCACGGCCATGGCTCGGACGGCTCATGAGAGTGCTCGCTGCTTGTCACGCGGCATTGTGCCTCCGGATAAATGGATGGGGTTTGATAGTTCCTTAGTGTGATAGTTCACGAAGGTTGAGAAGGTGTGGCTCAGGTGTTTGCCGGATGAAGTTTGCGGATGAGGCACGCGGATGGTGGGACACGGTTCCAGGGGTAGCAATCTCGCATGGAGGGAAGCTATTGATCTGTCAGTTCGGGATCAAACCATAGAAGTTTGTTTGTCTGTAGGTATGTAGCCGTGGAAGTGACCATGCTTAGGTTGACACCGAGAGGCTTTAGCCGCCTAGGATCACCGTTGTTGGTATTGGCGGGGTAAGTAGCGAAAGCTCCGGATTGCTCAGCGCTGCAGAGTTCAGGTTCGCGATTTGCTGCGGTTTCCCGCGCCTACCATTCGTTTGAAGCTATTGCTCGGTTGTTTCGCAGTTTCGGCAGGCAAGTGCATGTTACAGCTTGCTTGCTTCTCGATGCCCTCCAGTTCGGCCGAACAACTGAGCGAAGGCGTTCAACCTCCGAAGCACCAGTCCCCTGAACGCTGGCTTGGAATCGTTAGCTCCCGCTTGCTGACGGCTGATCCCCCGCCAACCCCGCCACGAGCTCTGGGAACCCCTGGCCGCTTCGGGCCCGTACTTGGCGACCCTCATGCGAAATGCTTGCGGCACAGCTGCCCAGAATGTATTCCTCAGAACATCGAATTCTGAAACCCCACCGCCGAAAGCAAGGCTTCTGGAGAAGGTCCTTTGCCCGACAGACCCGAGCGAACCGGAAGCTCTTATGCTCCGATAATGCGGAATGCGTTGAAATGACCGTTTTTCGCAACATCTGCGGGGGACCGCATGGTGTCAGCCGCTGGCTTGGACGAAAATGCCAACGGGATCAGGCAGCTTAGTGCGCTATGGGCGATGAATGATTCGGATGACAGTTCAGAACCCACATCCGTGCTATGGGATGTCGTATAGCAATGCCATGAGGAGGCCTCGAGGATGGCAGCCAAAAAATTGCCGTCGTCGAAGGGCTTCTCTGATTGTTGTTGCTCTCATTGTCCCTCGTGGACCCTTATCCAGCAGCCCTGCGGCGTGATGCAACCGCACCACATCCTGCCCGTTGCTTGTGTTGGCAAGATGCATTCCTTCCAAGTGGCCTCCATCTTTGTATTTTCTCATTTGTGACCTGTACGCTTTCCTGCCCTCATGCAGCTGTTTCGAGCGGCAAGAAGGCCTAGTTGGGAGGCCCCAATCTCGTCCAATCTTTCAACGGGCAACCGTGGTCAGACAGCAAGCCGAACGCAGCGTCCTTCTCGCCTGGAGAGCTTCCTGTCGTTTTGGACTGTTTCGCCAAGGCCGTTACCCCTCTATTGGCGATGTCTTACACAATGACTGGCTTGCCGAGCGTTGCGGTTTTCTGCATTTATTCTCCACGGTTGTTCCAGGGATTATGATAGTCTTGTCGCCGACACCAGGATAGGAATGGACGAAAGAGCCGTGGGCATAGGAACGACGGTGAGGGAGGGAAAAGGGAGACGCGCAGAACTTCCGTAAAGTACGATTTTTGAATCTCGATTCAGGCCACCAGCTTTGACTGGCTCCAAGCTCCAAGCTCTCCGTCGTGTCGGGGCTGGGGTCCTAGCTTCCGCTCGTAAAATGCATGGTGGGGTGATGTCTGCAGGATTGACACTCGGCGGGGTCTGTGGAAAGCTGTCAGGGTGAGCAGGGGCGCCACTGCAGGCTGCCAGGTCTAGGGCAGACGAGTGGAGGCAGCTGTGCCATGATCTGCGTGCAGGCACACGATCCAGACTGCCTTTGGAATCAGCTGCTTTTGAATTTGGGCGAGGAGCCGGCCGGCTTCCGCTGGTGCTGTTGTGTGTCGTCCGCAACAGGCCGGTCGCTAGCAGGTCCACGACTGAGGCAGACCGGCATGGTTTTGGCGCATTTGGCATAGCTTTCGCTTTCGGGGCATGGCCAAGACACCTCTTTGGAGCGGGCGGGACATTGCCGCGTGCCTTGTCTTTGCTTGGTTGCCATCGAGAACGAGATGGGTTGGTCGACCGTTGGCTGATCGATGCCCTGGTCTGCCATCCTTGCTCGAGGACGGACAAGGACCTTGTTTTGACATTGATCTTGTCATTTCCAACTCCGCTCTGCTATCATTGATGGCAGTATTGCGGATGGCGATGCTTTTTGGTGGTGGATGATGCCCGACACTGAATCAGTGGCCTGCTGTAGTCTGGTATCTGCTGGGGGAACGCAGCAGCAGACCACGGATTGGATAAACGGACCGAGATGGTAAAACGGCAGGTCTTGGCTCTGGAAGCTGCGAGGCAACGGAGGCTCTGTGTGCGGCGAGGGAAGAGGATCCTGCTGTTTTCTCGGCAGGACGAGGCCACAGTGCCGTGATGGTAGGGAGACATTTTGCCGAGGCCATCTGCTTCAATGCCACGCCAAGGGCGGAATCGCATCTGGCGATTTCCCGTAGTCTTGGAAGCTGACCATCTCATTCCCGACGATTAGGTAGTGAGACCATTCGGCGAAGACGATGGAGGTTAGGGTGTCGAAAGGGAAAGGCCATTTCCTAGTGTCTGGGTGCGGCAGGGTTGGGATCGGCCTTGGCTGGCTGTTGGTGTAACGAAGCAGCGACGAGACGGTGAGCCCGGCCGCCCGAACAGAGCCTCCCGAGAATGGAGGTGATGTGCGTCCACGAGGATAGCAGTGGCCTCACAGAAGACATAGAAGGAACTCGCTGTCACAGGAAGGTCCGGCCCCGTCACGGATCTTGAGGAAGGCCCGATGCCTCACCCGTCACTGCCTGAGGTAGGCGCACCTTCCTTGAGTTCTTGCCTCCTCCAGCCATGTCTCACTGCCCAGCTCTTTCCCTCTCGCAGTTGAGACTTTTACGTATCCATGGGCAGCCCAGCCGGTCCGGACGAGCAGTTGCCCGGACCGTCTCACCTGGCCGCCTCCTCACTCTCACCTTGCCCGGCGCGTTCACCGTCCATCGCTCACCGTCCAGTGCCGTAAAGGCCCTAGCGTCGCCGTAACGGCCATGTACCATCTCAACCTCACCCCAACACAACATCCGCTTCTTCCGACCACGACAGACTGCCCCCGATGCACGCAACACGGCAGAGAGTCTATCAAAACAGCACTTCTCCATCTACTGAAAACGGACAGGCAAGAAGGACAAGTGCAATGACGCGGTCAAGAAGCAAAAGTCAGCAGCGTGGGGCGTAAGGTGACGTCGGCTACATGTCGGTGGGCGCCATGGCCGCAGTCGAGTCGCTTTCAGAAAATCAGACCACCTTTTTGCCCTCTGCCTCCCCACGCAGAACCACCCAGAGATCAACCTTCAACAGCCAAAGATATGCACCGAAAACCCAAAAATTCCTCAGCTCACCTGCAGTTGCGCCTAGTCACCTCTCCAGAAACCCCGGCCCCGGCCTGTCATAGGCACTTTCCGGAGTGCCCAGAAAATGCTACCACCTCCAGCACCACCGGCACCACTTCCATCCTCGACTCCAGGATTGCAATGGGCCATGTCACCACGTCCATGGACCACCCCCCACGTTGCCAACCCGTTGGACTCTCTCTCCAGGCCCAACGACACGTTCCAGAAACGCTCGAATGCCCGTCTCGATGGCTACGTACCTGTCCCGTACTTTCGTAAACCCCTTGCTTGCCTCTCCTGTCTGCAACGTCTGCAACCTTCGCCTGCCACCCTGGTCAGGTCCGTCAACATCGGCTGATAGCTCCCGGACCTGCGTTGCGCTGCTTGCCGCCTGCTTCCCATCCGAGATCAGCACCATGAGTGTAAGCATCAGTTCCAAACCTGGGCTGAGCTGCCAACCCGCCAACGGCTTCTGGGCAAAGCGGCCGCAACTCGTCCACGTCCTTGTCTCTCCTCCGGCATCTTGACCTTTGATCAAGAGGTATAAAGACCAAGCCCTCTCAAGCCACGTCCTTCTTCTTGCCTCTTTTCCAATCCACCACCTCTAAGGCATCTTGGCCTGAACACACACTCTTCTACACCATCACTTACACACCACCTCCACAATGACAGACACGGAGGTCGAGTCCATCAGCCCGTATGGCCCAGCCCGGTCAACCGTCAAGGGCGAGCCTCTTTCTCAAGAGGAGATTGAGAAATACAATGACTTCTGGAAGGCTAGCTTGTACCTATCTCTGGGTATGATCTACCTAAAGGAGAACCCTCTCCTTAAGGAGCCCCTCAAGATTGAGCACTTGAAGCTGAGGTTACTCGGCCACTTCGGTTCCGCTCCGGGCCAGATCTTCACCTGGATGCACTTTAACCGCCTCATCAAGAAGTACGATCTCGATTCCATCTTCATCTCTGGCCCCGGCCACGGCGCTCCGGCCGTTCTCTCCCAGTCCTACCTCGAGGGTGTCTACTCCGAGGTCTACCCCGAAAAGTCGGAGGACGAGGAGGGCATGCAGAAGTTCTTCAAGTCCTTCTCATTCCCCGGCGGCATTGGTTCTCATGCTACCCCGGAGACCCCAGGCTCCATCCACGAGGGTGGAGAGCTCGGCTACTCCGTCTCCCACGCCTTTGGCGCCGTCTACGACCACCCCGACCTCATCGCTCTGACCATGGTCGGCGACGGTGAGGCTGAGACCGGTCCCCTGGCCACTGCCTGGCACAGCACAAAGTTCCTCAATCCCATTGTCGACGGTGCTGTTCTTCCCGTTCTGCATCTCAATGGCTACAAGATCAACAACCCCACCATCTTGGCCAGAATTTCACACAAGGAGCTCGAAAACCTGTTCCTCGGCTACGGCTGGCAACCATACTTCGTCGAGGGTGACGATGTCAACACCATGCACCAGGCCATGGCCGCCACTCTGGAGCACTGCGTTCTTGAGATTCGCAAGTACCAGAAGCAGGCCCGCGATTCCGGCAAGGCCTTCCGCCCCAAGTGGCCCTTGATCGTGCTCCGCAGCCCCAAGGGCTGGACCGGTCCCCGCAAGATTGACAACAACTACATGGAGGGTTACTGGAGAGCCCATCAGGTTCCCATCCCCAACGTCGCTTCCAACCCTGAGCACCTCCAGATCTTGGAGAAGTGGATGCGCAGCTACGAGCCTGAGCGCATCTTCAAGGACGGCAAGATCTCCGACGAGCTCAAGGCCCTCTGCCCCACAGGCCAGCGCCGTATGAGTGCCAACCCTGTTGCCAACGGAGGAGTTCTCAGGAAGCCGCTGAAGCTTCCCGACTTCAAGAACTATTCCATCAAGGTCGACAAGGCCGGTGCTACCAACGCTGCTAGCATGAACAACATGGCCACTTACCTTAAGGACGTCATCGCTCTCAACCAGACCAGCTTCCGTCTCTTCGGCCCTGACGAGACCGAGTCTAACAAGCTTGGAAAGGTCTACGAGGCTGGCCAGAAGGTCTGGATGGGTGAGTACTTTGAGGAAGATGCCAACGGCGGCAACCTTGCTCCTGAGGGTCGTGTCATGGAGATGCTTTCCGAGCACACCTGCGAGGGTTGGCTGGAGGGATACATCTTGACTGGCCGTCACGGTCTGCTCAACAGCTACGAGCCATTCAGTAAGTCTCTGCCTCATAGAATTCAACAACAATATACTGACTCTTCCAGTTCACGTCATCGACTCTATGGTCAACCAGCACTGCAAGTGGATCGAGAAGGCTCTCGAGGTCGAATGGCGCAACAAGATCGCCTCCCTCAACATCCTCCTGACCGCCGTCGTTTGGCGCCAGGACCACAACGGCTTCACCCACCAGGATCCAGGTTTCCTCGACGTCGTTGCCAACAAGAGCCCCGAGGTCGTCCGCATCTACCTTCCTCCCGACGGTAACTGTCTCCTGTCCACTATGGACCACTGTCTTGCCTCATCCAACTATGTCAACGTCATCGTTGCCGACAAGCAGGAGCATTTGCAATATCTGTCCATGGAGAAGGCTGTCGAGCACTGCACCAAGGGCATCGGAATCTGGCCCCATTTCTCCACCGATCAAGGCGAAGAACCCGATCTCGTCATGGCCTCTTGTGGTGACATCTCGACCCATGAGTCCCTCGCCGCCATCGACCTGCTCCTCCAGCACTTCCCCGAGCTCAAGATCCGCTGCGTCAACTGCGTCGACCTCTTCAAGCTCATCTCCCACGAGGACCATCCCCACGGCCTCACCAACGCCGAGTGGGTCTCGCTCTTCACCGACGACAAGCCCGTCATCTTCAACTTCCACTCCTACCCCTGGCTCGTCCACCGCCTCACTTACAAGCGCCCCGGATCCATCAACATGCACGTCCGCGGCTACAAGGAGAAGGGCAACATCGACACGCCCCTCGAGCTCGCCATCCGCAACCAGACGGACCGCTTCTCCCTCGCCATGGACGCCATCGACCGCATGCCCCATCTGCACAACCGAGGCTCCGCTGCCCGCGAGACGCTGCGCAACCAGCAGATCGCGGCCCGCAACGAGGCCTTCGAGACGGGCATGGACCCCCCGTTCCTCAAGAACTGGCAGTGGTCTCACAACGGTCTGTGGGAGAAGACTGTTTCTAGAATCGCCAACTAGACTGGTCGTCACATAGACTCGGAAGGACAAGCACGCACGTACAGAGTAGATGAGAGAGATGATTCACGGGGGTTTCCATGATTTTGGCGTTGGGATAGGTTCAATTGAGGCTCTGGATTGAAGGCCGACGCGGTTGGTGGTGTACGTGCTCCAAACAAATTCATACAGTTCTGTTAGATAACAACTTTGCGCACATTTTCAATACATATACCATGAACAGCAGCATGTAGCAAGCACAGTGGCAGCAACTCTTGTAAAAAGTGATATCTTGTCTTCGTACAGCCCAAAACTAACGGGACCAAAAACACACCTGGTATCTAAGCAAAGCCACGATTACAAGAAATGCTATGAGTGAACAAGAGAAAGGAAAAGGTTTCTGAATGCAGCGTTAGAGCGCGCTCGCGCGCTCGAGAGGGGGGCGAAATGAAAAACGACTCCAGACGCCTTGATGTCTGTACAAACTCTCGCAACTCAAGCACAGACGGGGAACATGGCTGCAAAGCTGCATGCCAGACGCACGTTCGCATGCGTTGCGTTCATCTGAAGAGACGAACCTCCGTTACCCCGCAAAAAAGAACAGCTCGAACGCAAGGAATCTCAAAAGAAGTTGCCACCCGTCCCCCCTTTTTCGTACAACGTGGGCGTATCGTGATAATCGTTCCTCTACCTGAAAATGCAGCGCTCCAACCACCATCCTCGTCAGCCCGAGGCCACCGGCGACCGCGCGGCGCTCACCAACATCTCAACTTCCTCCATATCGACGGTCCCTTGATCTTGCCACCCTCCAAGTTCGGGCCCCGTACGCCCGGGCCGCGCTTCTCGTTCTCGCTGCCCACGGGCAGGGGGCTCAGCGGCTTCGTCATGCCCCGGCGGTCCATCTCCATGTTCTCGTGGACGCCCGTCTCGGCCATCCGCCTCGCCTCGACGACCCTCCGGACGATCAGCGCAAACGTCTCCTCAATGTTGACCTCGAGCCGGGCGCTTGTCTCCATGAACCCGCAGCCCCTCCTTCTGGCCCAGTCCAATCCGACAGCGGCAGGCACGGCGCGGGACTCCTGCAAATCGCACTTGTTTCCGGCAACGATCTTGACGGGCGGGACGGTCTTAGCGCCGGGCGCCGCGGTCACGGTGTCGCGGTATGATGAGGGGGAGATGCCCGCGCGCTTGGCGCGGTCGGCGTTGTCGAGGCGGGTCTCGGCCTCCATGTCGATGAGGTCGTTGAAGTACTGCAGAGCATCGAGAGAGTCGCGGGCCGTGATATCGTAGACGAGCAGGAAGGCGTCGGCGCCGAGGTTGGAGGACGCCCACATGCCGCGGTACTCCTCCTGGCCGGCGGTATCTGTGAGGGAGAGGTGGTAATTTTGGCCATCAATCTTGCGGGTGATTGAGTACGAGTCCTCGATCGTGGGGTCGTATTCGGAGGTCCACTGGGAGCGCACGAGGCGGAGGGTTATGGATGACTTTCCGCAACCGCCATCGCCGCAGATTGTGATCGAGATTGGTATCGGGGGTTGTTGAGAGATTGACATTTTGCAGAATGTGGATTTCCGGGGAAAGAGGGTTCCCGGCAAAAATTAAAGGTTTTGTCGTTACTTGTTCGGGCGCGTGTAGCAGGTTTGCGACAGTTCGATGCGTCGATCGCGGCGGGTCTTTCTTTGTGTGTTTGGAGGTGTCGCTGGTGTCGCAGGGCTGAACGTTGCGAGACAAAGGAGCCCCAAGAAATCAAGCTTTCGCGAGGAAGACTGAAAAAGGTTTGGGGAAGCAAGACGCGGCAGACGCCAGGTATTAGACAAGAAAAAGAGCTTGGTGTCTTTTTTCGAGGGCGGGCTAGGTGAATCGGACGGCCGGGCTATGGTAGTCTTAGCTTCGTTTCGGCTCTCAGACCGCGCGCGCGAGCGGTTCGACCGTTTTCCTTGCTTCTTTCAGCTAAGGAAGCGTGAGAAGGGAGTGGAAGAAAACCAGCGAGGCGTTTGGATGCTGTACGAATTGGGCTTCGTTTGTTTGGAGGGGTGATTTTCCCTTTTGTTGGCGTTGCGGTGGGGGAAGGGAAACAAATATCTGGTTGTGCGTCTGTGTGGCGTCTAGCTGTGATGCTATCGGGGGGTGTCGTTCGCGATGCTTGGTGGGTGGTTGTGGTTTGGCGCCGGGAGTTGGGGATTGTCCGTATTACACTGGATACGACGATTGTGATGATGCGGGCAGCGTTCGTGCGGGCGTCGATATGCTTGCTTTTCGTCACGAAATGGGACGTTCAGGTTTGTCGGTTTGTGAGGTTGATGCAGCGCAATGCGGTCGACAGGTGAGAGTTGTTGTTGCGGTGGTGGTGGTGGTGGGTGTGATAAAGGTAGGAGTGCCTCCAGGTAAGGTATGTCGCCAGCCTGTGAGATGCAGGTGCGGGCAGATTGCGGGAATCTGAGGTATGACGAAGGGTGCTGTTGGTTGCGCAAGACGGCGGGCGATTGCTAGTGGGCAGGTGGACGTGGGCTAAGGCAGGCCGGCGCAGGGAAGGAGGGGGGATGCGCTTGCTTTTTGATCCCGTATGTCGGTCGGTGGTGCTGACTGCGGACCGGCTCCTTCTATTTTGGTAGTTGGGTAGGTTGCGTATTGCGTTGCGTTGCGTTGCACTTCGGTTCGATGCGGCGAACTCGAGTGATGGATTGTCCGAAGTTTGGGGGCGGGAAGGCAAAAAAGCAATAAAAAGAAAAGGGTCAATACTGCGGTTCCCGGTCGAGAAAGGCAGGCGCAGACGTCAACGCAGGAAGACGAGGAGCAAGGTAAAATAAGAACAACACGACAGAGGCAAGGAGGGTGCAGGTGCAAAAGCAATGCTGGACCAAACAAATGCGCAGAAGCTGCCCTTTTTGCAAGTCCTTCGTCCGTGTGTTGGATGCTCGAGCGCAAGAAGGCACCCCGTTCTATTGTCGGGATGAAGCCGGTCAATCCAAGTATCCCCAGCTGCTGCTTGTGTTTGGCTGCGACTCGGACTGCTGCGCGGCTCTGTCTCGGCGCTGGGAGGGGACCGTTTGTGGAGGGGAGCTCCTTGCTTGCTTCGGCGGTCCTTTCTGCTGCAGTTCCGACGAGATGGACTGGCCTGGCTGGGGTTTGTGTCCAAGTACTGATAAAGCTTGGTAGCGTTGCAGGTAGTGAGTGTTGTGTTACGGACAGATGCAGATGTCGACACGGCCCCGCGCTGTTTGTGTGTGGTTGTGACTGATAGCTGTGCAAGATGTCGGGATTGCTGTTTGAATGAATGTTCATCAACAGATATGACGAAGGGGCGACTTCATGTATGAAAATCCTTGGTGGATGCACAAGCAGACATGCAAATTTGCAGTGCCCTGTGCTGTTCTTTGCCCCTTTCTTCCCGTGTACAAACTTTCGTATACTCGTCTGGCAATAATTCGACTCATCAATTTTTTTTTTCTTCCTCGCTCCTGTGCTTCCAATGTTTCCACCAGGCAGAATGGGGGAGAGATGGCTTCTTTGCTGTTTCTGGAGATGTCGTCCCGAGGCTTCAGGGAGTTGCTGCGTGCGCTCGGCCGGGATCGTGTCGGTGCGCAAAGTGGTGCAGACTGGGGGGTTTAATGAGATTGGGACCGATTCAGTTGATTACATGTGTTTGGGTATGGATCTGAGAGCGCAACAGAGTCAGAGCCCAGAGCCTCCTACCTGTTTTGACCGCCCGATATCGAGAAATGAGGCGTGGGTAGTGGATCTATGTGCAATTCAATATCTGCAGCAAAAAGAAAGCCTTCAGGGACTGGGGGTGAACTCTGTCGGTGAAGGAAGAGAAAGCAAGAAGCAACAGAGACATCTTCATCCCCTTTTTTTGCACTTCTAGTTGCAGACTTTCGATCCTCTCAATCCCAGCCCCCCTTCTTCAAACTCAACAACTCGGATGAATGGTTGCAAAGTCGAGAGAAACCTTGTCGCTTACGTGCAGTCCTATGTGGATGGATCATTGTTAGCTCAACTGTATTATCACTCGCAGCCACCTTTATTTTTTTCGGCCCAAAAACCGCCACGCCGCTCCTAGTTCATCCGCTCGCTGGCCCAAGGCCCTATGCAAACCGCTCTCCCCAGCCTGCCCGTTTGCTGCTTGGAGTCGTTGGTGGCCCGTCCCTGAACGTGGCAGGTGATCGTCCCTCAAGGCCCAGGAACCAGGCACCGCACGAGGGGGAACAAACAAAACCGTTGATGATTTTCTCCCGAGGCGTTTAGCTCGCTGAAACCTTGCGATCCTTCTTAGGCATGGCGCTGGTTGGCCATTGATGCCTTACAGCAACGTCGCTATCGTGCGATTTTTCGCAAATAAAGTTGCTTGGAGTTTTGAGCCTGGTCATGGATGCCCAGTGTTCGACCCTCCCCAGAATCTGTCATTCACGCAGAACAAGCATATCTCGTCCCCTCGGCCGATGTCTCGCTATCCCACCACAAAAATGCAACAAGCTCCGACGAATCGATGCTGCAGGGCTGCATGCAGGGAGACGAACACCACCACCGACCTTCCCCCCAAAGTGGCGTAGGCCCAGGAGGCAAAGGAAACCTGCGAGTTCCGGTATGACGGAAGCTTGATGACGCCTTTGCTGTCGCATCGTCTTGGCCTCGATTCCCCGGCTCCATGGCAGATGGACATGCGTGTTTGCCCATTTCGAGACGCTTCCCTCTCCTCTTCTGGTATCTTCTGTGCCTGGTTCCTGAACTCCCGTGCCGTGTACCACGTGTGCCACCAGGATGCAAAGTGCTGCACACCCAATCATGCGAAATCGTGTGTCGGTTTGTCGACGGCGGTCCCTGTACGCCACCGCGTCAATGGTACAGCTCGAAGTCGGCCCGCTAGCTTCCTCCTTGGTCTGCTTGCGCGACGGATTGCACCGAGTCGCGGCAGTCAGGCACGCGCATCCGCGGGAAGGCGGCTGCATGCAAGTCCTCAGGGCCCCGTCGCGCAGCTAAGATGCAGCCCTGCTGCGTGCATGCATCAAGTCCGTCGACGATGTTTGCTCACAATCCAGTTGCCCTCGGTTACACAACAACAGCGTGGTCAGCACACTCCATGACGATGTGCCTGTTTCAAGCCTTTGTCAGATGCCACGCCACCTGCATTGATCACACTTATGCCCGGCACTTCGTCCCTACTCCGAGGGTCTCCAGCTCGTGGCAATCCGTGAAACATTCCCCGTGATATCTAAAACTCATGTCGTCTGTCAATTGCAGGTTCATGCTCCATCGCCGCACCGGGCGCCACCCCTTCGAGAAGCAGGCAAATGCCGGCGGTGATTTGCCATGCGGAGCCATCTCCGGTTTAATCACAGCCGGGAGATGGCGAGTCCACCGCTCGGCCTTCGAATAGACGCGCACGGACGGGCTGTGAGTCTAGCAGATTCGCTTCGTCGGGATCTGCCATGCGCTGCCATGATAGATGCAGGAAGTGAGTGCCATGTTGACGACTGACGGGCAGAGTTTTCGCGGTCATCTGCGGGCGAGCAGATCAACGAGATTCAATGAGATTGTCGAGACAAGGAGAAAACTTCGATGCAGGGGTGAGAGAACGTTGCGGTGAGAGCTAGGCTCCGGGGCCAGGTACATCGCCCTTTTGTCAGAAACCAGCCCCTTCGCTTCCCCAGGCCTGCAAACGTGTCATTGGGGGCTGCAAATAAAGCCCATCGACAAGTACGTGTCGTTCCATTCTGAACTGGACTCAGGTGATGGTTAATTGTCGCTTATTGGTGGCAAAAACCTGGTATTGACTGATGTACTCGGTGGTTGACAGAACATGATGAACTGATCTTGGGCCAAAGCACATGGTCTTAATGAGGCAGAAAACAACCTGCTTCCAGCGAAATCGGTCCAATCTCTCCCGCAACATGACTGCTAGCGAAGTAACCGGCGTCACTGTGAAACAGGCCTAGATGAGAAGCCAAGGGACGGCGCGGGCGGGACAGCCGGACACGGCCAGGCCCGGCCGCGTGTCTAAGAAGTGCCGCTGCCTGAGTTAGCGGCTGTCGGGTCCGGGTCACACTGGTCTGGGGCCGTGTTGGCGGTTGGAGGGGTTGTCCCCTGTGTTTGCGCAACGCCGAAAATCTTTCTCGGAGTGTCCAAACTATGAGAACATGCCGACCTGATAAGGATGTCGAACTATGATCTTCATGCAGCTGATGAGAAGCGGATTGGCCGAACCACTGCGCCGTCAAATGACGAAAAATCGCCGATGATTATGAAATCCGTCCCCGCGGCGGCGGCGGCGGCTAACCCCGGCCGCATTCGCGACAAATCGCGCCGATGTGCCGTCATCGGGCAGAGCACCGGCCGTTGAAGAATTTCTTTCCCGTTGCTCATCCTGGCAGGATACTCCAGTATTGAAAGTTTCGAAAGGTTGGATTCGTTCTGTTGATGTTGACTCGCGTCTGGAAGTTTTCATCTATTTGAAAAAACTTTGACTCGAATATTTTCGTCGGGATTAACTCCGCGACAGATTTTTTGCCAGTTTCATCCGGTCCTGACAACCATCATGAATGGGATCAAAGGTAACCACGCTGCCCCGCAGCAACTGCGTCGAGCTGATGAAGTCAACGATGTAAGTGCTCGACTCAAGCAGTACGTTCCTCATGGAAGATGGCCCGGCTGACGATTGCCCCGTGTAGCTGCTTGATGCAGTCAAGGGATTGATTGTCCCGTACATCAGAGCTGCAGATGAAGCCGCGCCACAGAAGGCCGGGGGCAACACATCAGTAAACATCGACGGAGTTCCAAGCAATGTTCTCGTCGACACTCTGAAGCCCGAGGCGTTGGTCGAGAAGCTGAAGCTATCCCTTCCCGAAGGCGATGGACTCGGGAAAGAGGGCTTGCTCGATGTGGTGCAGAAGATCCTGAGGTACAGCGTCAACACCTGGGACCAAGGCTTCATGGATAAGCTGTATGCCAGCAACACTCCTGTCAGTCCGCTCGCATGAGTGCAGGAGCTTCGCTAACATGCTTAGGTTGGGCTTGTTTCCGATCTTCTCTTGTCGGTACTGAACACCAACGTGAGTCATCCGTCTTTTGCAACCAAACATCCTCTGACCAATGTTAGCTCCACGTTTACCAAGTTTCGCCCGCCTTGAGCATCATCGAAAAGATTACCGCTCGGAAGTTCGCGAACTTATTTGGGTTCACCGGCCCTAGGGCTGGAGGAGTCACATGCCAAGGAGGCAGCGCGTCCAACCTCACTTCCCTGGTAGTAGCTCGAAGTGCTCTGTACCCCGATACAAAGAAGACTGGCAACGGTTCGTATGATTTTATCATCTTCACGAGTGCTCACGGCCACTACTCCGTTGAGAAGAGTGCGTTGGCATGCGGTCTTGGGGCGTCAAGCGTCTGGGCGGTGCCTATTGACTCCGAGGGCCGCATGATCCCGAGTGCTCTGCGGAAGCAGATCGTTCGTGCCAAGTCTGAGGGCAAGACCCCTCTGTACGTCAACTCCACGGCTGGAACGACGGTGATGGGCTCTTATGACCCATTCGAGGAGATATCCGCCATCTGCAAAGAGTTCGGACTGTGGTTCCACATCGATGCCAGCTGGGGAGGATCTGTCATCTTCTCCCAAAAGCAAAAGTCCAAGTTACAAGGCGCTCATCTGGCCGACTCTCTGACGGTGAACCCGCACAAGATGATGAACGTTCCGGTAACGTGCTCGTTCCTCCTGACGCCAGACGAGAAGGTGTTCCACAAGGCCAACACTTTGCCTGCCGGATACCTTTTCCACAATGTGGACGAAGATGGTGACGTCTGGGACCTTGCCGACTTGACCCTGCAGTGCGGCCGCAGGGGCGACAGTCTGAAGCTGGCTCTGGCCTGGATATACTACGGCGCCGGTGGATTTGAGAAGCAGATCGACCATGCGTTCTCGCTGGCCGAGCGTCTGGCTACTCTGGTTCAAAAGAGCGAGAACTTCGTCCTGGTGTCCAGCAACCCGCCGCCGTGTCTGCAGGTCTGCTTTTACTATGCACCGAACGGTCAGCTTGCGGAAGACCCGAAGACGAACACCAAACGCACCAGCCAAATGGTTCACAAGCTCATCGAGCGTGGCTTCATGATTGATTATGCCCCTGGAGAGAAGGGCAGTTTCTTCCGTGTGGTCGTCAACTGCCAGACGCTGCAGGGGACTGTGGATGGTCTAGTCAAGGCCTTGGAGGAGGTTGGCAAGGAGGTCGTAGTGTAACGCGTGATGAGTGCGTAGATCTGAAACGATTTTGACGAAAATAAAAAGATGGACTGGGTATCAAAAGTTAGGTAGAAACATAGAGATAGACATTAAAAGAGTCGTTGGCCGACAGTTGTTGAGGCTTGGTCCTCCGGCATGGGCCGTACAGAGCATCTTGGCTGGCCCGGCCCAGTGACATGCGTCCGTAATTCAACAAGTGAAATGAATAGTCAGCTGAGGAGCTTCAATGTAGAGTCGAAGTGATGTGAAAAAGTGAAGACGGTAAGCAAAGGGAGAGAATCATCACGTTGTTGATGTCAGGTACTTACACTGGAGGCAGGGGCCATGCAGCCGAGAATGATGGTGCAGGGGCTAGTGGGGTGCGATAAGATAATGGAAGCGATAAGATAGTAAACTGGGACCAAATTTTTTCTCGGCTTGCTCTCCAACACTGAATGCGACAGTCCACTCTCGCTCTGTTCCTCAGCAACCGATTGGCAATTGCACCGCTCAGCCTCCGTCAAAATGCCTAAGCCGAGAACGAAACGTCAAGCCATTCGCGACGAGCGAAAGAAGAAGAGGAGAGAGACACACGAAGCCAACTACGATGCTAAGGACGAGGAGCGGCAATCGAAGCGCAGACGTACCGAGGACGAGTCGCAGGAACAAGGCGAAGAAGGGGAGCAGCAAGCCTACGACGATGCGGGCGAGCAGCAACAGTCGTTCCCCAGCAATGGTCCGGAGAGGGAATTCTTTGGTATGCTCGCCGACGAAGAGCAGGAGTACTTCCGCCGCGCCGACGAGATGCTCGAATTGAACCAGTTCCCCTCCCCCGAAGATCGCGACATCTTCCTCCAGAGCGTCTACAAGGAGGCACAGGGCAAGGAGCTCAAGCTGGCTAACAGTCAATCGCTGTCGCGTCTGATGGAGCGGTTGATTCTTCTGTCGAACACCAAGCAGAAGAAGCAAATCTTCAATGCATTTGCGACGCACTTTTTGTCTCTTGTCCAGCACAGATTTGCGAGCCATTGCTGCGAGACGCTGTTCCTGCAGTCTGCACCCGTCGTTACACAAGAGCTTGGAGGCGTTGTCCCTGAGGAGAAGAGCGAGGAAGATACGGAGATGCAGGATGGCGAGGAGCCTGTGGAAGAGAACACAATGGAGAACCTCTTCCTCATGACCCTGGACGAGTTTGAGCAGCACATGGGCTTCCTGCTCACCGACCGATTTGGATCCCACACCCTCAGAGTGCTCCTGGTCGTGCTCTCTGGTCGTCCGCTGGAAGATGCGGCAACCAAGTCTTTGTTGAAGAGCAAGAAGAAGGAGCACATCACCGTTCACGGCGCCAATGCCAACACACAGGATCTCAACACCCAGCTGAGGGCTGTCCCGGAGTCCTTCACCATGGCCACCAAGAAGATCATCCAGGACGCCGTATCTGGGATGGACTTCACATCTCTGCGCGTTCTCGCGAAGCACCCGACGGGCAATCCCCTACTCCAGCTTCTCCTCGAACTCGACATCTCTCTCAACCACAAGAACGATAAGTCGTCCGCATCAAACCAAGACTCGCTTCTCTACAGACTGCTCCCGGATGCCCCCAAGTCTCTGAGCGACACCACCTCCGAGGCTGCAGACTTCGTCAATAGCATGGTGTACGACCAGATTGGCTCCCGCCTTCTCGAGACCCTCATCACCCACTGCCCGGGCAAGATCTTCAAGGCCCTCTCCCACAACTTCTTCGGTGAGCGCATCGCGACTTACGTACGCAACGACATCGCATCCTACCCCGCCCTCCGCGCTCTCAACCGATTCAGCAAGGACGACCTCGTCGAAGCCGCTAAGAAGATTCTGCCCATCGTGCCAACCTTGGTCACAAAGCACCGCTACAATGTCCTCAAGACTCTCTTCGAGCGCTGCGAGGCCCGTCAAGCTTACGAGGAGAAGGCCGCCCTCACCAAGGCCCTCACAGACGCCTTGGGTGGCAACCCCAAGGACCTCATTCCGAAGCTGTGCCATCTTGTTGAGGAAGCACCTGAAGAGGAGGAGCAGAAGTTTCAGCAATCCCAAGCGCCGCAGAACAAGACCGCCATCGCCGCGCACGGCGCCCACCTCGCCTCCACGATGTTCAAGACCCCCGGTCAGCCCTCCAAGGTCGCTCAAAAGTCTCTGATGGCCCTCCCGTCCGATCTACTCTACCAACTCGCCACACAATCCATGCCGAAGATGGGCGTCCTCACAACCGCCCTCGCCAGTCCCGCAGCCCCCCAGAACGAATTCTTCCACAAGGCTCTCGTCGGCGCCCTCGCGCCCCATGTCGGCGACCTCGCTCAGTCTCAGACCGGCCACAACGTCGTCAACGCCATCGTGGATATTCCTTCTCAAGGCAAGGACCGTTCGGTTCCGCTCCATGTGAAGCAGACCATCATGGCTTCGTTGGCAGAACACGAGCGGACGCTGCGTGAGTCTTGGTTCGGCCGCAGTGTCTGGAGGACGTGGAAGGGTGATATGTGGAAGACGAGGCGGTCTGATTGGGTCAAGTGGGCGAAGGGAGCCGAGGGTGAAGGGGAGGAGGTGAAGCTGAAGCCGTGGCAGAGGAGGAACTTGGAGCAGAAGAGGGCACAAGCGGGTAAACCCCAGCCCAAGGAGAAGAAGGAACTGGTGGAGGAGAACGGGGAAGAAAATTAGCCAATGCATGATACCCGGCGTCCAAAACGAATAATATCGGTTCAAATTTACCTTTAAGTCTGTTGGCGTTAGACTTGGTTTACAATGAATCTGGCAACCTTCACAATGATGTGACTCTCCCACTCAGTCCAGCCAAACTCTTCTAGGCCTTGTAATATAAGGCGTCATTGTCGAAACGTAGGTCAGCAATAGGCCTTGAAGACGTCATAGCTGTTCGAGTTCAAAGCTGACACCTATGTGAAATACGAGCCCCGGTCGTCAGAATGAAACGAGATAGCCGTGACACCAACAAGAATGGTGCGCTTCTGTGGATGAATAAGTGCAAGATCACCTGAGAGGACGAGGACGATGTAGGTCCTGGGGCGAGGCAGTCAACCCACGCACGCAGAACCTAACGTTGGGTCAGCTTGACTTTTGAGTTGCCAAATGATCATTCGAAATGGATCGCAAAGACAGAATTTGAGAAATTGCCTTCATTTGTTAGTCGTCCATTTTATAGGCAATCTTGCACGCAACCAGAGGTGTCTCAAGGAGCTCTTGGCTTGTGGAGAGAAATTGGCATCGAGACAGATCGACTGTGCTCGTAATTGCGCATGTCAAACAAAACTGGCCAAATACTTGCTTGTAAGCCATGTGTATCGGATAGCTTATGGTTTCTCCAGAAGTGGTATATCGTGAAACCGCCTTCGTTCTGTTTTAGGCAATGTGTAATTGTTCATAAGTCACCCACGCACAATATCGAACGCTGTCGCCACACTGTTTCCCAAGAGCGTCTCTCCAAGCTACAGTGGTACTTCCACCGCTCTCCATCCACGTCAAAGATCATTGGTGTATTGGATATCCTGATTTGGCCTATATACTTGGATAGCCTCGGTGTTAAATTGAAGTTAAGTCGTCACGCTGTGTGTAGGCTTGGACGTTTCTGTGTGGCTGTGAGCCTACTTATCCATCCCTGGCTAGATTGCTCGGGGAAATACATACCTGGTTTTGAATCTCCGTGCACATAGTGCTCCTCAACTGCCTGTTCAGGAGGTCAATCTGCAGACCATCTTCGATATAAATGTCGGCTTGTCCGCGCCCTCACATATCTCACCAAAATCGGGATGCCCCCCTAACCTTGGTTTCAGGACTTCATACTGTCGTCGTGAACGTTCTTGTCATCTCATGTCTTCGACAGTGGAAGATTCAAATCTTCAGTAGCGGCGTGTGAAAGACTGGTAGCTTCAACAAAGCCTCCTACTTGGGAGACAACAACACTTGGAGACAAACGCACAAGCGTTGAGATCTTGGGTGAATGTCGCTGGCTCTACCGATGTCGTAGCGAGGTTTACGTCTGTAAAGCTAGGAAAGACACAGGATTAATCTCCGAGAACAATTCCTTGAGAGGTTTGAACAACGCAACTCTTGCTGGATTTTTAGCCCCCTGGAGCTTCGAACATGCCCTCCCAGACCCCACCAACAGCCAACCAACCATGCAACAACCCCCTTCACCATTGGCGAGAGGTCATAGAAGTCCACGTGACTGGCGCCACATCATCGGCAGGAGTGGGATGGGTAAGCACTTCGCTTCCTCCCTTCTTCTCTTTTTTCTGGTTGAATTTGTTGCACGCCCGAGCCACTTGAGTGGCAAGTCTTCATTGTGCCCGTTTCTTTGTTCGTCTCGTCATCAGTTGCACTAGGATCTCTCCAGAAAGTCTTGATCAACCTGCACAAAAAAGCCTCATCGCTCCTACCCCGCAGTACACGAAGCAACTTAATTTCACGGCGGTGGTAGGCCTGTAGATCATGAGGCTTCAGACGATACCAATATCAATACTTGATTGAACTGTGTTGGGTTTCTTTACCTGGCAAGCTCGATGCTTCAAGATGGGCAAGAGAAAACACAGCGGTGCTCGGCCAAAGGCGATCGATATCTCTAAGAAGCAGTCAGGGTTACATACAGACGTGGGGACAAGACTCATGAGCAGCCCGCGGCTGTCGGAAGACGCTGAGTATGTGCTTAAAGGAGCATATACTTTGGGAAAGCCAACGCGATTGCTAAACTTAGCCACTGGAGAAGTGAAAGAGCCTAAAAGTCGACAGAGGTACGCCATTGTATCCTATGTATGGGCACAATGGAGTGACCCAGGACAAGTCGTCGATAAGTGTCGTGGGATTCTTGAGGGAACTGGCATCACTGCGATATGGATAGACCAGCTCTGTGTCAAGCAAGACTCTATCGAAGATAAGCAAGCCGAAATCCCAAAGATGGCGGAGTATTATGAGGGGGCTGCGGTCTGCATCGCACTCTTGAAGGAGGCCGAAATCTCAGAAACTTGCTTTGGGAGAGGGAAGAGAGATATACCGCATGTCATGGACATGTGGCAAGCTACTTTACAAGCGGTGGATCAGAGTGTGTGGAAGTCACGAGTATGGACGTACCAAGAGGCAGCCCTCTCGAAGAATCTGCTGCTCGTGGGGAAAGACGGAGTTATAAGCCAGCAAGAGTACAGTCTCTTGTTGATGTTGATGGTGAGACGTCCAGAGGCAATCGCAGGCAGAGTGGCAGTGTCCCGAAACAAGAATGGGCGCATTCTTTCCGTTGGTGATGGAGAGGCTCGGGCAAGGGTGGGTAACCACCCGTTCAGCAGCGCCGCTAGAGCGATGGAAAAGTACGGAGAAGGGAAGGCGTCGCTGGTAGAATTTTGGAAGGACATGGGTGCTAGGAAATGTGCTGTGGAGGAAGACCTGGTGTACGGGGTCTTGGGAATGCTACAGCCAGGAGAGGCAGTAGCAGTAGAGTATGGTATAGGCTTTGAGGAGGCTGCCATCAGGGTGTTCAAGACGACTTCCGTCTTGGCATCCATCATGGCCATGCCCCCCAGTCAAAAGCCGAGCGCCTGCTGGCTCCCAAAGGCTCAGCGAGGAGACGACGGTCAGTGGACGCTGGGAGACACAGCCAGCACGACCAGACCACTCAGTGAGCACGTCAAGGTAGACGAGAGTGGCTTACTGAGTGTAAGGGCAGTGGAGTGCTGGATTCGGAGAGAAGAAGATGGACGGTGGAAGATGAAACTGGAGAAGAGCGTGACCATATTTGGGGTGGAGATTGCTTCTGCCGGGATAGAGAACAAGCACACGTGGAACCAGGCGCTTGTGATTAATGGCCATCTGCATGGCGCAGGAGACACATTGGTGATCACTGGTGAGGTCCAGGAGGGACACGTTTTTCACCGCACTGGCTTCATCACCTTCAGAGAAACACTCCCTGATCGTCTCAAGCCCACAGAAGGAACTCTGACAAACTGGCGGGTGGGATTGAGGGCCCAGAATTGCGGCGTCAGCCTTTCCTGATAGTAATTCAGTGTTTTTCAAGGTTATGCTATCAGTAGCTGTAACGGTGAAGTCGCTTATCAATCGTGTATATTACACTTTTCGGAATCAGTGTGTTGTCAAGTCGATCCGACAAGCAGGCAAAGCCATCTGGTGGACTTTGTGATTTGGCAGACATACATGCGCTTTCCCATTTACTTAGGCAGAGTCTATTCAATTCGAACGCTTTGGATCTCTCTCAGAGCAGTCGTCTAATTCCCTCGTTTTTGGTACCTTGCACTTGTTCGAGGGAAGTGCCATTGCCATGGATTCGCCATCGCAAGGCCCACAATGAACTTCGTTTCCATGTGGTTGCCATAGCAAGCAGCCTCAAAGCAACCAGCATCATGTCTCCCACACGTTGGGGACGCCCAGGATAACACTGTCCCAGAACATAGTGCAAAAGCTATGCTTTGGGACCAAGGCTTGATTTAAATACTCTAACTTAAACAACGATCAGCTTGCGGAGGCCTTCAACAGCGAGATGTCTAGGCATGCGAGCCACCACACATGCTCATTTAATCCATCTCATGGGGGCAAACGACGAACTTTCCTTCTACAATGACGGAAGGCAGAGTCCACGACCGAACACTGGTCCAGGTACCAAGCTTCCCCACGCCAGGAGTACTCATTTCCAAGGCATGGTTACCTTGCATCTTGATCGTCGTGTAACTATGAGCATCCTTGGCATGTGCAGTACACAGCAATAGACAGATATGAAAGGCAGAAATTATATTCAAATGGCCCTTAGTGTGTATGCAGTTTTCAGTTGACGGCCGCGCAAGACAGTCACACATCCTTGGAATCATTTCAGCTTTGCTGAGCTGATTGTAACCCACGCCGCAACGACATTGGCCGAATCAAAACGGTGAAACGGTTGAAGTGTTCAAACACACATTTTCACCATAGGTAGCTCAACGAACAAGACCTCACCGAGGTAGTCGCAAACTTCAGTCCGCCCGGCGCCGAGAAAGTGGGCCCGAAGTCCGTGTTTCCGGGCGCGGGGTCACCGAGCGGGGTCGCGTCCCTCGGAAAGCAACGGCTCTGCGTGTGTTTGGCTTAGACAACAGCCAGATACCGCTGCGATTACGATGAGCTTTAAACTTGGATTGTGGTGGCGTTACACGTGCCGCTAAATTCTCTGTCGCCGCTTGACGAGGGCCTATGGGCGGGAAAGGGGCTTTAAAAGCGTGGGTAGGTAGATATCTCTGACACTGAACGCCGAACGACTCGAGGTAAACCCACACCAGAATGCTGAATGGCGAGATATCCTGTAGGGCTTCAGAGAGGCCAAAGTTGGCCAGCCATGTGTCGACGCTGCTGATCTACCACTGTTCTCCTTCGTTTCCGTCCATTGCTTATTCGTTCCGAACTTGTAATGGACTTCTCTTCATCAACAAGGCTGTCATGATAAAATGATTCGTAAAAGCCGCCTACGCTGATGTCAACATCTGTCCAATCTTTTGGCATAGAACAGACAATGCAACCGAACAATACTTAGCTTGCGCATCACAGACGCGCTGGGAATACCCCCTTATGACAAAACATGCTGGTCTACGATGGCGATTTCACCCTATCAAATTATCTGCTGGCGGATGTGATTCATCTACTTAAACGTGGATGACAATAATCATTGACCAAGTGACCCGAATTCGTTCCTCTCTGTTTGCTCTCCCGGTGAAAGCATAGCTCGCGGCGTTAAGATGTGACGCAACTGTTTGAAGGACAAGAAAGCCGGCCTCGATCCCTGTCGTGATCCAAACCCCCTATGCAGATGCTGCGGTCCTTCTTCGCCGCTGTCTTGAGGAAATACACCCAACAGGCTACGATGCCTATGTTCTTGACGACCGGTTAACTTTCGTAACATTCCCGGATTACCACCCGACGAGAGTGCTCTAATCCTCATAGTGACTAAAAGTCGGGATCAGAAGAATGTGTCATTTGTTGCTCGCTTTCCATGGTCCCAATACTCATTTGCTGTGACTTTTATGATGCCACACAGCACAAGCAACAGGCATAGGACATTAAAAGGGCTACGGAACGGGTTGCAGGAGCGGCAACGCCAAAGTTCGCCAAATTTCGCCGTTCCCCAAAACCAGCGAGGCATTCGGTGATATCCCATCATGAGATTGCATCTTACACGAGACTGTCGCGCAAGAAACGTTCGCAAGCTATCAGCTCAAAGACATCGCCGCTGCCCTTCATCAGCGTCGTCGCCTTATTCGACTTATCTGGAAGCTCTGCTAGCAAGTCATGAACCCTGAGTAGTGACAACGCAGACACTCAACTGTTATGGAATCTCTCAAAGTCAAGGCAAGATACGAAGAAAGGACATGACCAGTCACTGAAAACAGAAACGCCACGCTAGCAGCGGGACATTTTCCTGTGGCTCTTTCGCTTCCCAGTCACCACCTCAACACATTTTATATCCCCATCAACACTCACGCACCCACCGTCGTCAAGCGTGAACACGCATGTGAAAGATAAGTATAAAACCTCCCAAAGCACCAAAACTGCCCAAAGCACCAAAACTGTACAGAACCAGGAGACAATCATGATGATGGCAGCCTTCTGAGCTGTTGATGTTGGATTACTCGACCCACTCGTCTTGGTAATTCTGAGGCACAGAAGCGACACAAGCTTTTCACGAGAATGTCGTGAAGACTGCGCCAGTCTCCCTTTGTGTCGTCCTGAGATGATCCGTCCATATATGCCATCACGGCAAGAGTTCTGACAGCGGAAAATGTTCTTCACTAGTGACCGACTACTCATAATGCACCCCATGCATTCCAACCACCACGAACGCTTCGAGTTGGATTTCGGCGTGTTGGCGTGTCTTCGATCCATCACCTCCAAATTAAAAAGGCAACATTATATACATCATTCAAGGAGCGACCACGCTTTAACCACGCACAAAACCCAGAGGCACCTCGCCGCCTCCACGACACCGAGGCAGCCACACTGCAAACCTCAACGCCACAGACAACCATCACCTACCTTCACACCACCAAAGGAAACATAAAAGAAGCTCGAACCCTAGGGTGAACGGAACTACAAATCGAGTTCTGTCGAGCCACGTTCTGGTACATAAGCAGCTGCATGAGAAGACCGCCCAGAACACGCCTCCAACAACGGTGGCGCATCAGTATCACGAGGCTCGCCAAACAGCACCCCGGAGGTCCCTCACCCGCCTTCTTCATCTCTACCCGTTTATTCCCAAAGGTAACTGCCCCCCTACGGCGACTCTAAATCGACGCCCATGCATTGGTTCTTGTGTCCGTACATGAAGGCTTGGTCGCGGGCACCGCAGCGCGAGGTATCAGGAACTTGCGTGCTGCACCACTGAAATGCGGCGTCGACCCAACAGTATCAACTCAAATGCCCGTCGTCTAAGAGTATGCTTTTCCACGGGTGAGTCAGAAAACCGATACTCTCGGGTCGGTGGCTTGGACGGCGGGCGCCGAGTTTGCCACATGAACAACGGGGCAAGGCCGCAGATACCCGCCGGGTGTTCTTCAGAGCCAGCAAACATATCAACACACATAGCTAAGGAAACACATTGGTGATGAATCAGTGTTTTCTCTTATTTTCGTGCCTTTTTTTCTGCAGTCTCGACTTCAAAGCGACCTCGCCACTAAGTGCATGTTCCAGCTGCGTGCATCCGCGCTTCCGCGCTACAATCGCCATGTGGTGAGGCCTTGCCAACGACGCTTTTCTTCAAACTTGATTCTTTCTCGTTTTTTTTCCCCACTCCGTTCCTCCATGTCCATTCATATCGCGACTCGAGATTTCGAAAACTTTCCACCTCAGCATGTACCGACGGCAATACTCTTCCGTCCTTTTGCAACTAAACATTGGCCTTGTTCCGGCGTGTTTGATGCTTCCTCCGTAGGCTTCCCATTGTTGAATGAAAAAGGGGCATAATCCCCTGGAGTCCATGTAAAGGACATGTAACTGTAAAAAAAAATTGCAAAAGCCATCAAGATGTGGGCAAGAGGTATCCCGGTAAAACCCAAACTCCCGCGTGATTCGTGAAATAAGCCAACATCCACCCCGGGTATCCCATTTGTGACCAACCATGCAATGCTAACTCTAAAAAGTCTTTGCTCATGAACCAGTAGGTCACTTCGTCATTTCGTGTCCAGATTCATTTCCTCCACATTACAATCCTACAGCCACGGGAAAGGTGCTGTACCCGTGCATATCCATTATAAGGACGGATCGACGGTACCACTGTCGTTGTGATCGCCAAAGTCAAGGAAAGACTCCCAGTTTTCGGTAGCGCTCGGCCCCGGTGTGGTACACTCGCTGTGCCCGTCGTCAACTCGTTGGGTGTACGGGTTCAAATGGCCGTTGAAATACTCGTGTGATGACAGGGTCGGGTCGTCCATCGCCGGATCGTGTTTCAGATCGGCCATGTCTGGATACCACGCCTGCTGTTGATAGGGGTTTCCCATAAACATCTGTGACATGGGATCGTTCATGTCAAAGTTCGGTACCATCATCTTCGCATCCATGGGCAACTCAGACGTGAACGAGGACTCTGGCGGGAACAAGCTGGCATCCAGACTCGTCATTGGGGACGGGAAGGTGGACGCGGATCGTGTCGACGGGGTGGCAATAGCAGCCTCGGAGGATGGAGACAGTGCTGGTGGCGAAGTGGCAGGGTCACGGGCAACTGGTGTAGACATGTCCATCGGGGAGGCTGCAGACTGTGTTCTCTCTCGTTGCTGCGTTCCTTGCTGGAAGTTCACCGTGCTGAAGGTCGGCGACATTGGGCTCGTCGCAGCAGCCTCGGATTGGGCTTGCTGGTGACGGGCATTGCTGGGAGCAACGGGCTGATAGTACATGGAATTGGTCAAGTTGTGGGACAGTGCTTGAGCCTGCTTGGTGGCGTTTGGGAACTGCTCAGCGAACATCTTGTTGATCGGGTTGTCGGCCCACTCCTGGTTGCGGAGACCAGCGACCATGCTAGCCATCGCCACACGGTTCGCGAGGAAGGCATTCACTCGATAGTCAAACTCGGGTGAACCAGTCTGAAGGTGGGCTGCCAGCATGCGGTACGATCTCGGCATGTCGTCTTCTTCTTCCTCGTACATCTCCTCGGCCTGGACGATAGCCTCAGAAATCTTGAAGCCCTTGCCGGTACGCTTCTTGTGAATCTCGCTGGCCATCTTGGCAGACTGTACGCGAGCCTCGATGCTCCGGTCAGCTCGCCGGGAGGCAGCAATGTAGGCCCTCTCCTGGTTCTCCTCATGAGAACGTTCAGTCTGTGACGCTCATAGTCAGCCAAAGTCAGGGAAAGGGGAAACCTTGTGATGTGAAGCCGTCATGTAAGGGTGGCTGACGCATTCAAGGCGGGCTGCATGGGATCTTGGGACAAGATTGACGAGTGGGCAGAATACGAGATGAAAAAATATAAAAAGGGAATGGCAGCCAAGCACCAGAACTGGCTCCTGCAAGAGTCGTACCTTCTTCTGACCCCTGTCCATAGCCATGCTGGGCGAAATATTGCTGGCGTCTAACGATCGCTTGGGCATGTTTGCTGACGTTGTCGACGTTGGGGATCGACGTGTGATATGTAAATTTGGGTTGGGTATATCCAGACTTCAGTGCGAAGTCACTCGGGCGAGTGCAAAGTTCGATAAGTAAACGTGAGGCGTTCGTAGGGGTGGAAGGCGGCCAATGTGCTTCAATGGCTAGAACCTGTGAAGCCAAAACCGCCTGATTCTCAGGCAATGTTGCGTCGATGGCTTATTCGTCGTCGATATATTGGTGCTCGCGTGAGTGGTGATAGCTTCACGGTGGTGAAAGGCCTCCGGGAATGGTGTACCAAAAAGGTTGGGAGAGGACAGGAAGGTAAAAAGTGCCACTGGGTCGCCTCCAAGTCTTATACAAACCCAGGGTTCGTGCTCCTCGGGGATCGGTCTAGAACGATGGGACAGCACAAAAAGTATGGCAAGTGCCCCCCCCCCCTCCCCTCCCCAAGCACTAAAACAGAGAGAGCAAATTGGACCAATGTTCCATGCGGAAGCAGGTGGGAAAGCGCGAATGTGGTGCGGTGCGGTACGGTGTTTGGCTGGAGCGAGAAGCAGCGAGAGACAGGGCCCCAGGAAGTCCAGGATAGGCTCCAAAGGGCGCTGAGGGGGGCGGTACATTGCCCAGGTACATTGAGGTGGTCCACGGGCGGGCAGTGTATGGGAAAGCGATGGAGGGCTGGCTGCTGGACACCGGACTCTGGAGCGGCATCAGTGCTGCGCTGCTGCAGTGGCGGACAGGCATGTGGTAGCGGAAAGGGCAAGTGTCACTCGCCTGGTTTCGATCGCTAGACGATCTGGGAGCGTTTGATCGGGTTACGCTCTGTTGATCGATCTCGATGACAGAGGGTCGCTGTGTTAAAGCCACGCCCTGCCGAGAGGTATCGGCCGGGTCACTTGTGAATCGACACTGGGAGAGGGTTTGGTTTAGGTGGTTTGGGTGCGCAGGAGGGGGGAACACCGTGAACCTGCCAGCCCTCTCCCCCTCTTCTTTCTCGTACCCTACCGCTTTTGGACTAGTGCCGGGTCGTTTTGGCGGCACGACGGGCAGGGGTTGCTGGAGGGCAGCTGCGTGGCTTCGCCTCAAGGGTGACTTCCATACTTACTCAATGTTGGGCAACAGAAAGGGCAGGAAGGAGGGGCACCGGAGGACGGCTGGTGGTGGGCAGAAAAGAAGGTGCTGGCTGGGACGGTGCACACGCACACAGAAGGCACCACTGTCCACAGTCCACGGCTGGACGTGGACGTGGAAGGACGTGGGGTGGGGCACAGACCGAGTGGGGCGATCCAAGCTCGGGCTCGCGCTTGACCTCCAGGCCCCACCCGCGCAACCGACAGGGCGGGAGGGAGCCCCGGGTGTGCTCCTGCAGGCCCAATCCTAGCAGGAGCTCCCTCCAGTCCCCCATTCTTTCTTTCCAAAAATGCAATTCATACGTAAATATTGTGCAGCTAGAGGAAGGAGGGAGAGGAGAGGACGGGAGAGGAACACTGAGAATTCGTACCTGCCCGCGCAACGGAGAGGCAAGCAGCGCAGGAAGTAAGGTAGGTAGTACTCTGAAGGTAGAGGTCATGTTCGTACAGACCGGATGTCATGATAGGTAATGGAAGCAACACTTCATCCAGTGTGCAAATATCAGCAGCGGTAGCAGCAGCAAGGCACACCATCACGCTATCTCCATCCTTTCTTTTCCTTCCCGCTCAACACCATCTCGTCGCCCACAAGGGGGCAGAGAAAGCAAGCAAAAAGCCAGACAGCAGAAAGCAGGCCTGATGATAACCCATTGGCGGTGGCTTTCTGCCACCTGTGTGCCCTTCAACTCTCTCTCACCCCCCTTTCCCCAATTTCGTCCGCATCTGCTATTGCTCCTGCATCTGCATGAAAGCTGTTTCCCTGAGCTGCCTGCATGTCGCCGTGGCTGGTCCAGAGTTGTCCATTGCCTCAGCCCGAACCTCATGCTTGCTGGCAGCTGCAACTTTGCTGTCCCTCCACAAAGTAAGCAGCCAAGACAGCTTCGAGCTCCAAAAGCTTGGGCTGCGAACAAATCTCCCAAGATGCCTCTGTGCCTTGATTCTTAATTAGTATGTAAGTGCCTATGGCAAGACAGTCCCCCACCAGCCAAGCTTGCGGCTATTCTTCTTTAGACCTCCTCGACCCTCCTCTCAAATCCCTTCGGACAAGGTTGCCCGGCTGCCACGATCGAACGACACTGCCTGGTAAGGTGGACAATGTCGACATGTCAGGTACATACAGCCGTGCCTACCTACCTACCTACCTACCTCCCTCCCTGCTAACGTGCACCAGGCAATTGATGCATCGTCTCGTTCAACTTTTCCCACTTCTCCGCAAACAAACATACACGACCATGAGACAAAACAAGAAGGCGCCGTACTTCGCACAGATTTGCCGTCCCTGCCTCCGCTCCGTTCCCATGCGCAAGAGAGACATTCATGGGTCGACACCGCCCTTCTTGCTTTCCCCTTGGGGACTGAGGTGAGCTGTTGCGCCTCCCGCAAATGGCCAAGCACCTAAGCAATATCAACCCCCCCGGTACTTACTTCTCATCCCACCTCGCTTCCCTGGAGTTTACTCCGGCTGACCATACAGAAGCACGGAAACTGACACAGGCACCACAGCGCCGCTTGGCCCTTACAAACTCCCTACGGCGTACGGATACAAAGCACAACCTTGGCTGCATGGTCAGTACATACTGCGTACGTGTGCCATCATTTCTCCATCATTTCTCCATCACGCCGACATGCTTTTGCAGCTCCAGAACTCTGTCGCGCCAGATGCCCTCGACCACAAGCCACGGGCGCTCTGAAATCGGGAATCCCCGTTCCTACCAATCCCGTACGTTGTATCTGATGGACCACCAATGTCTTGCGCTTGCGTTGCGGACGTCGCCCAATACTCGACCAATACTCGACCACACCCTCACAGCCAACCTTTCTGTTTAATACTGTTGATACCGTTGCCCCTCTCTCGCCGAACGGATTGTCTGCTTGCTTTCCCGGCATCTAGCGTCCAACTGAAGACTTGGTGATTTCCAAACCCCGATGACCGAATCAGAGCACTCGGCGCAGCCCCTGGTGGTAGGACACCTCGAATCGTTTGTCCGACTGCTCTACTGCTCGGTGTTCTAATCCCTCCGCGTCCGCTCCTCGGCTACCAGGAGTGGACTCGGCCAACCGGGGCCCAGATATCGATCCTCAGGGTCCGAAATCGACTGCCAGGGTCCCTAGCTTGCTGGCGATTGGGTTGCCGCATGCCATCTTCGGTGGAATATTCCAGCATCTGGCGAAGCATAAAAAACCCACCGTTCTGATAAGATTGGGTACATCGATACCCACGAATGGTCCTTCACCGTGGAATCAATCCCACTGCCCTGCCACGCCTAGTTGCACCCAACCGCGCTTGACTGCACAGCGAGGAACCGTCCGTCTCTGCAAGTAGGAAGTGGGCTACGAGGTATCACCCGGCCGCCCGCTCGAACCATTCAAAGGCCCAATTTCCCGGTCTCGCTCAAGGATCATGACCTCGCTGCTGATCGGGAAAAAGCCCACAAGCTATTGAAGCTAAGGCTCGGCCAACTGCGCCGCGACCTCCATAGAGGCTTCGCGTTTCGCGACTGCCACCTTTCAGGGAAAAAGCGTCGCCAGGGTCACGCCAACCTGGGCTGGACGGGATGGCTGTTCCCAGAAAGGCCGGGGAACGTGGCACCTGATATCGCGTTAAATCCGACACGACCGTGGCATGCTCGACCAGCTAGCTATCAGCGCAACCCAAAAGACAGACAACGAATGCGCAAACAAGACGGATGTTTTCGAAAGCTTGGGCTCAGACTAACAAATCACTTCAAGTGTCGCCAGCAACACCTCTGACTGGCATAGCGCTCAACACATGGCAAAGGCTAAGGCACAAAAAGCCATTTCGAAGATGCATACTTTGGCAAGGCTGCTTGTGAATATGCATAGACCAGCTCACAAGCACATGCTACAGGAGAAACGCCAAACAGCTAATGGAATGGGAAGCAAGCAAGGTGTGTACTGAATGCAGTACATGCGTCCAACAAGACGTGACAGCTTCCAGGGCTCCCCAGTCTCACGATTACTTGAAATGGGCACGGACTGCGAATTACCAGAGGCAGTTGACACAAGCCATGCAACGAACAGCTGTTACCCCGCTGAAAGAGAGGGGGAACTAATGAGGGGAACGAAGCTTGCTTTCTCATCAGCATTATCCTACGCTGCATTGCCGTCGAAAGGTTGAGACGTCTCTGGGCGCAACGCCTGCAACAGAGACGCTGGCCTTTTCAACCAACGTTTCGCCTCCTCCATCTCAATCATCCGGCTTTACGAATGGCAATATCATCGACCAGGCAATGCATTCAGTTGAGCCGTCTGTCTGAAATGGTCCTTGCAATGCTCCCGAGTCTCTGGGATTTGACGACGTCACATCAAGATCGATCAGCAGCTCTAAAGAAGAGCGGTAATGGCCACAAGAACTGTCGTTTCGGGTACGCTCTGCTCGCACTACTGGCCCCTTGATTGTCGCCAAACGAACATTAATAATTGGCATCTCTCGACGTTAGGACGGAGCAAAGAGTCCGCCCTAATCTAGCCTGCCAACTTGCTGGAGCGTGAAACAAATACCTCGAGGTACAACAGTTCTTGAGCGTACCCCGTCGTAGGGACGAACTTCATCATGTCCAATCAAAGGGCTTTCTTGCGCAGCCCAAGCACCCCGTCTCCACACCGGCGCTCTTTAAACTCACCCCAGTGGGGATGTAGAGCCCCCAAGTCGCATCAATATCTTGAACTCCAATGTTCAGCCACACCTGAAGATCGGATTAGATAAACAAGTACCAGAGATCCCCAACGTTGGCGCACAAGTTGATGAGAATCAAGGGGTGCACCACGGCAACTTGCAAGAGCTAGCGGCCAGCCACAAGCCACAAGCGGGACCGCGGGAAGCTCGTCTACCCGGTACGCAGCCGGCCACGAGGTATGACATCTTTTCGTCGTCAGAGGGAGTTTTCTAAATTGCGTACCATCACTTTGACGTGAATACGGCGCCGAATGCTCCCAAGCCGCAGATTATCTACCGTTGAGCTGAGCTAATCAGAATTCCTTAGCTGGCTGGAACATTCTCCGAACGCGAGGGCCAACCCGGAAACAGGTCAGAATAGTCGTTCTTTTGGGTAACATTACTCTCAACTTCATGTGGCAAATCAAGAGACACTTCAAGTCCGTCCCGTCTCTGCAGGGTCAGAGACACTGGCCCAATGTAGAGCGATCTCTCCCCTCCATCAACCACAGGCAGGAAACACACAAGACGCAAGATAACCGAGCACACACGCGCCGGGTCCCGCAAATTCCCATTATTCGAACCATGGCATTTTGCGTTTCCCCAACTGCACGTCTGCGACATTCCCGCGTTGCTTGAAGTTCGTTCCGGCCTCTGTGTGCAACACCCGTGCTGGCTCGCAGTTGCTTCAGCTGTAAAGCACACCTACAGAATTATGACGTTGCGCCGACTCATGTCGCCGATTTCATCAAACACTCAGTTCTTCTCCGCCATCTATTGGGTTTCTTGCGCCTCTTTTACACATAAGTCGACAGCACAGAACGAGATCAGGGGATCTCGATTTTACTTCATACAGGTGCTCACGCCTTTTCCTTCTGCCCAGCTAATCGCACGGGACAGGTACGCTGCCGTCCCGGCCTTTGACGCCCCAGGCCCCAGACCAATTGCGTGCGCGCCCCTTACCCCGGATACCGATCTCATGTTGATTCCAAATGCGACACGCCCCCACCTTGCTATCCTTCCCGTGAGTCAGCAAACTTCAGGAAACGGCGAGCGGCGAGACCGGTGGCTGCCATTCGATAAGCCCCGCTTGTGGCATCTTCTGGACAAAGTCAAATCTCGCGACGGTTACGACAAAAGGGTCTTGTTCCAGTCACCGGCATATGGACATAGATCTGGACCACGCCTTGGGGTCTCTAGACGATGCTCGGCGGGCAGTTGACGCCACGTTCCTGAGCCTTGACGTAAAGTCTTGCGGGTCTAGTCAAGCTAGACGGTTGGGAATGGCAGCCTCCCGGCATGTTCTGCGCGGGAATTCTTGTCCTCTATGAGCATACTATGTACATGCGTCCAGTCCCCACTTGCAATCGAGTTTTGCAGACGACCAGAGGTTGCTCTCACACTGCAGGAGAACGAGGACCCCGAAAGCTGTAGCAGTTGTTAGGCTCTTATGCGACAATATGCACATGGGACCCTCATTTCACCCCGGGGTCCCTCATTACAGCAGACTCGCGAGGCATGGTCCAGACCAGTGACACCGCAAGACACCGTTTCTGAGACCGTGGAATGTGCTCCGAGAATGAGCGGCGCGGCCCCCCGTTGAACACCCTGTTCTAAGACCTGTGCACTCTCTGCTCAGGTCTCGCGGTCTCTAGTTGAACTGTGTGCAAGCGCGTTCGCGCATCTTCGCATCGATTTCTTAAAATCCGTCTGAACTCGGCGACCACGGACAACAGGCAATGCTGATCGCGATTACTGGCTGCGAACTATTTGGAGAGCCACAGAGCTTCCTTTCTTGGCTACAGAATAGAGACGACGCTAGTATGCTCAACTACTGCAAATGAGCCTTAACCGACAGACTGGCACAGTCGCTAGTACGCGAAGGGACTAACCATGCTGACCCATCAGTCGATGCGCGCTGCGGAATCTCGATGATGGTTGAAATGGACGATGCCAGCTTTCACCTCAATTCCTCTCCAGCCAAGTCCTTTGGGCCACTGAAACAGTCGCATTCCTGGGCCAATCCAGGACAGCAGGAGGGGACCTAACATCCCGCAAGCCCGCTCAATTCCTAGCCGCCGCCCGCTGAAATCAGGCTCCTTCCGTGAGTAGGGGATCTGGCGCCAGACATCATGCCATTTAACCCTTTCCGCTTGCTGGTCCTGAATCAGATTGAATGTTGTTACCGGCGGTGGTACTTGCCATGTGTGAAGCATTCTCGGAGCAAAGCAGACCGGGCATCGTTGGAGGTACTTCTCCGGCTGCTTCTCCGGCACCGCCAGGCCGTCACTGTTCACCATTTGATCGGACCGTTGCACAAATTGGCGCCGTTCCTGGGTTCGGTTCTCTCGCATCTGGATCGGCTGAGACCCCGGACACAGCATAGTTCTTCACGATGCCAGGTGCGGTTTCCAGTCACGCTCACTGCAATGTCAAATTGGGTGGAACGCATGCCATCTGTGCTCCCAATTTTAGGCTTACCGGCAACCACTGACTCACCTGCAGAATCCTCGGGAACCAAGAATTTCCATCGACTTCGCGAATAAAACAGCCCCATATTGAAACATCTTCAGAAGGGGTTTCCCCGCCAGCTTTACCGACGATTCCGAAAGCATCGGAGCGGAGCCTTCCACACCGCCAGCCAGCGTGGTTATCCAACGCACGGTTAGATCGCGGCGGGTGTTAGGCATTCTGCCCCTGGCCGTGTAGACTTCCCGCGATTAAGGGCTTTGTCGAGAGCTTTGGGGTCCCGGTTTCCGATTCACAGGACATGTTTGTCGATCGGACGGGGCCGAAGTTCACGATCCCCTCACGTTTTCAGGGCAGCCCGCATCGCTGACATGGCCCCCCGGCCCTGCGAGCTGGTTCCTTTGTTGGCCGGATCGGACCAGCTAACGTGCCATCGGAACATTTGCAGCGCCGATTCCAACGTGCTGGATCGCACCCGTCCACCGTCCTCTGGATCGGGTGCGACGCAGTTCCTTTTAATCATTCCCCCATCAGCCCTGCCCTACACCATCCGGATGAACCTCTAAGCGTCGATCGACGTTTGAGCTCCGGACGATGGAGCCTACCTTACCCTTCCGCCCGCGTGACAGAAACTCACCTTATCGTCACTATTACAGCTAGCCCTCATTTCAGGAGAAGCAAAACTAGACGGTGCATCTCGCAGCAGATGTTATTTTCTCTTTTCCACTTGAGGATAGACACGGATTGCTCCAAGATGCGGAAGCCGATCGTAGACAACACCTCGATGCGCAGTTGTGGATCGTGGGTTGTGGGACTTGCATCCACGCCCACCGCCAGATGAGATGAGATGAGATTTCTCCGGCCAGCCTTCTGGGCGGGTGGTGGCTTTTTCGAGCGTTGGCGCCATTACCGGCGTCGTCGTTGGGAACGCTACAAGTGTAGCAACCGCTCACATGGACGATTCCCAGCGAAGCGATCCGTTCGATGCCTCCTCGACATCGTGAAAGTCGCCGATTGTCGTTTCGTTTGGAGTTTTCGATCGAGACGCAGAAGCAATGGCTGCTGATGGAACCGGGCGCTACCGGGATGACGATTTTCGACGGTCGATGCGCCGGACAAGCTGCGCGACATTCTGCCAAGCTCGGCGGTCGCTTTGACGCGCTGCATATGTCATTCTGCGATCAGTCTGGACCTTGGGCGCTACGTCTCTCTCGCACGTCGGCGGGCAGCTATCCTGCTTTTCGCCAGTCGCTGCAGGACCCCGTCGCGTCGGGAGTGTAAGCTGGTCGAGAGGGCAGAGCAGCACGACAAGCCCAGAGACCAGTGAGCTATTGCGGGCTCGGGAGCGAAGGCGGGGCGAGTGCCGGGCATGTCTCCTTCCCGGCGCAGCCACGATGATACCAGACAGCTGGGTTTGCCAGAAAGGGCAAGCAAGCGCTGTCCACAGCAATCGTTGTTGCGTCTCCTTGCCTTTGCTTGTCGTCGTCAATTCCGAAGGACTTCCGCCTCGCGACTATCGTAACGACCCGAACCCGATGATGGGTGTAAGACGAAGGATGTTTAAAAATCTCGGGTATGCTTCAATGAAGGATTTAGTCCCTGAACCTGGGCCACGTCACCGTGAGGAAAAGAGCGAAGAAGCGCTCGTCCGTCTTCGCCATCCGCGATTACAAACCACGTTTAAGCCTGAGTAGGGCATCACGATTGCCCGCTCACATCGGTTCTCTGTCGCCCTTGTTGGCGGAATGTGATGCTTGCTTGACTTCTCAATCCTATCGCGCTGTTGTTTTGGGCGAACAATATTGGCTTACAAACCGCTCCTTCCCGTTGTAGAAGTTGACGGTAGCAAGTGCTGAGCCCGTCGCCGTTGCAAGTGGAGGAAGATGATTCGTTGGCGTCAAATTTCGGGAATACGGGCAGGTCATCCAGAACCCATGGCATCGGCGGATGTCGCTGATAAAAGGCCACGATTCGCATCGCACTCACGACAGCAGAAACCCACACGCTACCACAACCTCGAGCGAATCCAACTGCCATGACCACCACAGCTGTAAAAAACGCCCTCCGCTTCGATCCGGAGTATCTGGCTGTCGTCTCCGCCAGGGATGCCGGCGGCGAAGGCCCTGCACCCTTCAAAGACGTCCACGAGCTCCGCGCCTGGTCCGAGCCTACATTGCGCAGCGTACTCAAGGCCCAGCCATGGCCGGAAAACGTCCTCGAGACCAGGATTCCGTTCAAGTCCCACGATGGGCAGGACATCGACTTGGTCCGCTTCGCGACGCAGGAAATGGCAGACGCGCCGGAGCCGCAGGGTGCCGTGGTGTACGTACACGGGGGCGGCTTCGTAACGTGCGATGTCGACATCTTTGCGCCGCAGGTCAAGCGGTTCGTCGAGATGATCGGGCTGCCGTTCTTTGCGGTCGACTACCGCCTCGCGCCTGAATTCCCGGACGGGCTGGGCGCCGAGGACGTGTACTTTGGGCTGAGGCACCTCTCGGATCACGCGGGAGAGTGGAACGTCGACCCTGCCAACATTGTTATCATGGGTGACTCTGCAGGAGCTGGCATCGCAGCAGGGGTGGCGTTGATTGCGCGCGATCGTGGGCTGAGCCCGGGGTTGAGGAAGCAGATTCTGGTGTACCCGATGCTCGACGACCGGACCAACGTTCCCGAGACCGCGGGGCACTACAAGTTTCTCGCGTGGAACACGAACGATAACCGGCTTGCTTGGGGTGCCGTACTCGGTGCCAAGGCTGGAGATCCGGCGGCGAAGGTGTCGCTGTACGCAGCGCCTGGACGGGCGGGGGTTGAGGATTTGAGGGGGCTGCCGCCGACGTACATTGATGTTGGCGGGCTTGATCTGTTCAGGGACGAGTGTATTGAGTACGCGGCCAAGCTGAGCAAGGCGGATGTGGAGGTTGAGTTCCACATGTGGCCGGGACTGCCGCATGGGTTTGAGAGTGCTCCGGGCATCCGGTGGGTTGAGCGAGCTTTGGAGGCGAGGAATGAAGCCATCAAGAGGCTGTAGCGTGTTAGACGTGAGATCGTAGTTGCTCATAGCAACGTATTGCAGGGGAGATTTGACCAAGATGAGCATCAGCCGGAGTCCACGCCCATGGGCTAGCATGCTTGTGAGACATGGTCCATCTACTGATAGCTGCGTGGTGATAAAAGGGGTGCTTGCGAGGGCCGTATGATTCTGGTAGCAGCGCAAATTCCAACTCTTGTTGACACGGCTAGACGCAGCAGCCTTCCTGGAGTTCATGCATAGTTCTTGGCCTCGGTAGTTTGTCCGTCCTCTCAGATGTTCGAGCTCACTGGTCTCCGGCCCGCGTCGTCATGCGATCTGTGTATACACCAAGGAAGACGGGGATGAGGGCTATCGATGAGGTCTGGGACTTACGCTGAAGTTGCCTGGCGGGTATCCGTTGGTAGACATGATACCTCATTCGAGAGCGAGCGGAGTGATTGCCATGGCATTGCTGGGAAAAGGTTCTTCAATAATGAGAACATTTGGTGGGCTTCGGAATCATTTGCTGGAGGCTTCGGTGGATGACGCAAGCAAGCCCATTAAATAAGTTGTTTACGGCCGTGGGATTTGCGTCCTGATACCAAGGGGTTGGCGTCCTTGAGATGCGGTGGTCAATGGTAAGCTCTTGTCTATATAAGAGAGAGGTGCTGCTTTTCTGACTTAGAGGAGAGCACCAAGAAATACATTAGCTGTTGTAGGTTGTTCGTTGTTTTACGAACTATCATGATCGTGGGTGTCTGTACAGCAAGATCGCACGTGGGGCTATCGTTCCATGCTCTTCGCCGGAGTCTCATGGGTCTCTTTGGTGCTCGTTTCTAGATTATTGTTAAGGTATACCGAGAACAGATAGCAAGGCCGGACAGGGGCTCTGAGTCGATCTAGCTAGTGCTGCTCTTGAAGGCGGGTGATGTTGTGTGCCGGACGTGAGGCAGATATGATCACCCCCCGTTGGGTCAGGTGTGCGACGCATGTGTCATTTTGGTTGGAACAGAGTTGTATCACGCATTGATTGCGTATTTATGTGCTTCGCCCCCTTTCGTGGTGAGCAGACTCGGCGTCTCTTTGGCCACGTGCTCGACTGAAGTAGGGGAAACTGCGAGGTATATGGTGTGCTACTGGATGAGCTTTTGAAGGCCACAATGCACGAGCTTGGTGTCCATGAAGTCTTGAACGGTAACGGTAGTGGTACTCTGCTGTGTCTTCATCGGAGGTGTCGGGGTTTCCTCTGGTGATCATGCTCAAGGACGCAGCACTGCGACACCATTCTCTGGCTCATGAGTCTCGGAGTATTCTGGGTACTTCACGAAGACGACGGACGACTTGAGAATGAAAATCAGTTTTAGTCTCATTTGCTGCAGGTTAAAGAGTATCATGGCAAACTCTGCCGAGTAGGAATTAGCTCTGGGATTTCAATGCGCTCAACTCTTCCATCATTGCAAGAAGCGGAGACCCAGAGACCGAAAATATTGGGTGCTCCTTGTCTCTGATGGCTCGTTTTCACGTCCAGCGTTCCTCTTTTATATTTTCAGATCTCGGATATCGGGACCACCATGAACATGCAAACTCGAGCGACTTGATGTGATTTAAAATGTGCGAAAAGCAGATTGACTTGTTGTCACACAATTGTTTGCATCGTGAAGGCGGTTAAACATGCCACTTTGGGACTTTGATTCGTGTGTTCAATGCAATCCTGCATTTGGATTCCATGGGAAAGCTAACTGGCATCGGGAGTTGTTAATGTGTATCCTTTCTCTGGGCGTCGCTTGGATCCTGCGCTTATTCGGGGAAATCAATCGGAAGACAAAGTCACCGCAAATTTCCGTCAAAGATCATACATAGGCACCGAGACAAGGCAAGGCTTCGGGCTACCACTGGAGGGGGAGAGATCTGGTAATATGGGCTACCCTGATACCCGTGGAATCGTTCGAGGCAGTGGTCACACCAACGGTATCACTTGCTTGCTCACGAAACGCTCCCAAGACTCGGTTTAACTAGTTATGTTTGTGCAGTTCTATCTATAAATATACGTGTTGTTGTCTCTGCGCTTCTTTTCCCTTTCACACACCCAATGTCGTCACCATATGAAAGGTCGCAGTCGCTCTTTTAGACCAGCATAGCCGCACAGAATGCCCGGGTTGTATGTGATAGTCGCTTGCAGACTTGCTGAATGGAAGATGCGTCTGCCTGACACATCGTACCTATATAGCTTTGGTTTGCTTCCAAGAATATGATGTTCGTGGAGAGGACGTTGATCAAGATGTGGCAGTCGTGGCTTCTGTCTTTGGGGTATGCAGAGTCTCCCTTCCGGAATAATGATAGGAGACGATAGTGGGATTATCCGTGTGCTGATTTCTTCCGCTGTTAAGATTGTCGGATCGTGATTCACTCCTTTCCTCAAGGATCTGAAGGCGTGCAAGAACTATCTGGAAGTCTGTCTACCGTTGTGAGCTGTCCGTATGGATGCTATTGCGCACAAGAGATTAGCGCTTTACAGGGCATATTGCATGAAGAATATCGAGGGAAAACATAGTTTAAGAATGTAGGCAAACCCTTTCGTCTTGTTGATAAGCACCTTAGTTTGGACTAGATGAAGGAATCAGAGCAGCCAGGCCGCGGTGGATAGCTTGGATTCTCGGGGGTGACATGACCATTTCCGAAGACGGCGAAATTTATGTCTCGCATTTTTTTTACCGTGGATGCCACAGAAGAGGAGTAATTGATAGCGAAGTGATTTAGGGCCTGCCATAGTCTTCTGTGATCTGCGCCAATGGAAATGTACTTATGCCCTTATAAAACCAAGAATCTTCTTCGTGGAAGATGATGCGGTGCCATTAATTGGTGCTGTCTTGGTGGTTTCAGCAAGATATGAGGTTGAATAGAACCCGAACAAGCCAAAGTCTGCATCATGAACCCTCCGAGTAGACCTCGACCGGGCTTGCTTGTTCCCTTGCTCCCAGGCAAGCCGCGTTTCTCAACTCCGAAAACGTCCATGGACATGCGCTGTGAAGGATGTCGAATGAATGCTGGCACCTCAGCCGCATTGTGATGCGCAAAGACAGGCAAGGCAATCCCCCAATTTGCTCCACAGGACCATCATTGAACGGCGGGCCGGCCCGGCCGCCCGAATACAGCTCCTCCAACACTTGATCCGGTCCCGCCATCAACAGACATGATGGCCCTTTGCTGCCTTTCCTCCGGGGTTTCTGATTGACGACAGGGCCAGGAATGTGACCAGAAAAGCCCCCGCTACAACGACGGCAACAAGCGACAAGTACAAGAATGTGACGTCGCTCCAATGCATTCCAACCACACGAAACATCCAGAAAAACGAGATCTCCACTGCAAAGTAGCCGACGATCAGGCTCGCGGCAACAGTGAGCCAGAAGCGGACATTCAACGGTCTTGGTCCCAGCTGTGTACGGTCAGGATCACTCCTAGGTTGCAGGAATTTGTTGAGATGAACGCCGAATGATCGCTTCTTCGGGGGCTCGCTGTGGAATTGGTGCTGGATGTATGGTGCCGTCGACGGGCCACTTTTGGGTGGAAAGACATTCATCGTGGGCTTGTGAGAGTCGTTTACTTCGAAGATTACAGAACGACGATGTGAAAGAGATGCTCAAGGCGCGACTGATTTGCAGCGAGGTTGAACTGTAGACCGCTTAACGGGATGATCTTGAATGGGTAAATCGGTACGAGGGCCGGGCTTCTATGGATTGAATACGAAGTTTTACTTTTGCGCGCTCGAAAGCCGACAGCTTGGTCCACCAAACTGCAGGAACCATTGACAATACATTCACCAGTAGTTCTCATTGGAGTGATAATTGATAGAGGGGTTGAGTACCATGATGAGGTACTACTAAGTACGTACAAGCCATACTTTTGCGGCGCAAAGTCAATATCTGCACTATAATTGTTTCGATATATTGCAAATCACTATTGAATTCTATTTCCGGTGGTGGAAGCTTCCGTAAACAAGCTTTCACCTTGACTGAAGGCAGTGTTCATGTTCAAATACTCAAATGGTTGAGTATCAGAATGCTCGCTTGGACCCGGTTAAGGTGCTGCTTTCCACCAAACTACTTGAGGTATTCTGCTCGGAGTTCAAAATCCTCGTCAGCTTTGGTTTTGTCCAACTCATCCGGCTTCCAGAACTGCGCTCGAATATCTATCAAGTCACTAGGATGGTTCAAGAAGAAAGATCTTTGCGTCTCAGGTAGATGCATGGTCTGGTCATAGTTGGGGAAGTAAGGGCTCTGAGGAATGTCAGATCGTCTACCTTAACCGATACCTAGGTAGTATGAAACGACTGAAAGGCTTACTTGGTATCCGAGACCTAGCATGATTCGATGATGATCGCTTTCATTTGGCATCCCGGCGTGCCAAAGTCTCAAATCCCGAATCATGATGTCCCCACGAGAACACCTCGGCTGAATAGGTGGACGGATCTTCATGCGTGCTGCTTTGGCCTCTTCTGAGATGGGTGGTAGAGGTTCGCCGGGCCGGCCACGATTGTACCCCTCGGCAACAGGATCCTTGGAGGTGATCTGATCAGATGGGGTCGTGGTTTGATGGGAGCCGAGCCAGAACTCTGTTGACCCATTTTCGGGACTGAAATCCACGAGAGGCACATTCGCGATGACATAGTATGGATAAAGAGGGTGAGCATACGAGTCTTTGTGCGCTCGCTGGCGAAGACCTTTGGTACCGGACAACGCGGTGTTGGCAGTCAGCCAGTTCCAGATAGGCCTGCCGCCCAGATACCTGCAAGTACCGTGTAAGTTAGATCGACTGTCTCGAAAAACTCATAGAGATACCTCGGGAGACGAACGCTTTCACAGTCTGAAGCAAGAAGCTGTTGAAGTAAAGCTGCTTGCTGAGGAACTCCGAGTCATCGACCGGGGGTCGCTGAAGGAAATTTGCTAAGCGTCATGGCGTCAGTTTATGTCAACTTTCAAGACCAGAGTCTGGTCAAAGTCAAATGAGGGATCCATCACCGTACACTTGATCCCATGGTTGTACAGTTGAGTGGGATCGGCGATCTTCCTTTCCGCGTCTTCGCACATCTTCTCATTCAGCTTGTCGATGAAGTCAACATCAATCACTCCACGAAGCACCACAAAACCATCTTGGTACATCGCTTCGAGTGCCTTTTCAAGAGTCTGAGGTTTATAGTACCCAGTGGCACGTTCAGCCTCGGACATCGTGATGACTTTCACTCCATCGTTTTTCACGTTACTAACAGCAGTCATTTTTCAATGGTAAACGCGAAGACCTTCCTGTGGCGGTTTAATAAGCCTCCTTCGATATATGAGAAAGCTGAATTGAGTGATGGGATAATCGCTTGATGTATTATCGGGCCAGAAGAAGTCCGGAACTGCCCTGAGGTTGCAATGTCGTGAGGGGTTCAGATAACACTACCGTTTCCCAACCCCCACTTGTGTTTCCTCCGCAGATTACTCCGCGAATGACGTGACGTGCGACCTGAGATAAGCCCCATAGTGACTCTCGGGCACTTCCGATGGTAGTGAGGCCAGTCCTTTAAAACAAGAAAAAAGCTCCTAATGATAATGGTCAACTCTCCGTGCCCTGACTAGCATCAGCGCCTTGGTGCTTCACCGAGCTTCACCGACAATGAGCCTTACCCCCCTTCGTTGTTTTCGGATCACAACCTGGCCCTTGACTGGGATAAAATTCAACCAGCTACTCGAGACCTACAATATTGGATCTTGGCTTGGCTTGTCACATAACTGGCACTGAATGCGAATGCTGCTGCTGTCAACGACGCCCAACACCGACCCTCTCATTTGTAAGCACTGCAAACAACGGCGGCGCGGTGGAGACCACGCCATCCGGCTTTCGTTCTCCCGACGCCTATCAACCCCACATCCGCACCGTCAAACACGCCCGAGGGCTCGCCAACCTCTTCCAGGACACAACCGACATGAAAGTGGGCTACCTGGTCGAAAATTCAGAAGTACGATTGGTCGAACTTAAGACAATGCAAGTCTCTAGTCGCTGAAGTGACATGAGCCTCAGGTTCATAATAGAAGTCTTGTTGTCATTGATAAACTCGTTCTCAGCAGCACTGTCCACAATCCAGGAGGAAGAAGCTGGTCATTGAGGCTGAACTTGCTCGGCATGTTCGAAGAAAACTACCCACGCTCTCCATCTCCGGAGGCGGCCGTCCAAGGTGAGTCGTGCGAAAGACCAACTAGGTTCCAAAAACACTAAAGCCTCGACCGGCAGAGATGATTGCCACGGAAGAACCTGAGAAATACCCCGAGGGCGGCAAAGATGCCTGGCTGGTCGTTGCTGGTGCATGGTGCGCTATGATCCCATCGATGGGGCTTCTCAACACTTTGGCTGTTCTCCAGGCCTGGGTCACGGAGTATGAATTACAAGGGCTACCGGAGTCAACGATTGGTTGGGTGTTCAGCACCTATGCATTTTTCCTGTACTTCTGCGGTGCTCAGGTTGGTATGTTCACACCCCCCAATCGGCAGTCTTGCTCGTTTGACTCATTTGGTGTTGTGACCAGGCCCCATTTTCGACGCCCATGATGTGCGATATCTCGTTGTACCGGGATGCATCGGTATTGTGGCTGCCATCATGCTGATGAGTTTATGCAAAGGTGAACTTTATCCAACACCCTGCCTGTCCATGTCTGACCTTTCCCAGAGTTCTACCAATTCTTTCTTACCTTTGGCGTACTCGGTGGCATGTCTGCCTCACTCCTCTTTAACCCGAGCATTTCTGCCATTGGCCACTGGTTCTCCGAGCGACGAGCCCTCGCGACCGGTATTGCTTGCACCGCCGGAGGTGTTGGGGGCGTTATATTTCCGCTCATTATCCTTTACCTTGCCCCACGCGTGGGATTTGCCTGGGCATTGAGGACGGTCGGATTCATCTGTCTCGCAGTATCCGTGTTGGCTTGTCTGCTTCTCAAGAAGAGGCTACCGCCGAACAAGAAAGCCGGAGCTGCCATAGACATCACGGCGCTGCGAGACGCAAAGTTCGCCTTGACAACACTGGCCGTTTTCCTGATTGAATTTGCCGTTTTCATACCTTACACCTACATATGTTCTTACGCCATCCACGAGGGTATGGGTCTGCAAAAGTCGTTACTTCTGAACGCGCTTCTCAACGCTGGTGCCATACCGGGGCGTGCCCTGCCGGGTTACGTCGCTGATCGCTTTGGACCTTTCAACGTTATGTGCGTGACGGCTTTCGTATGCTCAACTTTCATCTTCGCTCTTTGGATGACCGCACAGGGAGGAGAGGCCGCGACCACGGCATTTGCTATTCTTTTTGGGTTCTGGTCGGGTGCTGCTATTAGCTTGACTCCTGTGTGCATCGGTAGAGTGTGCGAAACGAAGGACTACGGCAAAAGGAGTGGAACTGCATTCTCCATCTCGAGCATCGCCGCGTTGGTCGGCGTGCCATTTGCGGGAGCTATCCTGCAATGGTGTGACGGTGCATACTATGGGGTGATCATCTTCGCAGGTGGCCTGTACGTACTCGCGCTGGTGGCCTTCATTATTGCGAGAGGCGTCGCCGGTGGCTGGGCCTTCACAGTACTTTATTGATATATAACTTCTTCACTTGAAATTAAATCAACAAATAGGAAAACATCTGCAACTGTCGCCGGCTTCTCTGGCCACCTCGTTGGCGCAAAGATCCATGGTTATATTTCAGGTGGTTCAATAATGACTCTTGCCTTTTGCGTCGGACTACCTTAAATATAAATAAGGCTAGCCTGCTCAAAGATTTCGAAGTCTACTTGCGGCCAAAAACTTCAAAAACCATTCTTTTTTTCTCGCTTCCAGCTCCGCGACTAGCAATAAATCGTCTTCGGTCAGCACTACAACCATGCGTCCAGCAGCCCTTTTTTCCGTTGCCGTTGCCGCTCTGGCATCCCTGGCTCAAGCAAACCGACATACCAAGAGGCCCAAGGAGATCAAGGAGGGATGCTGGTACGAATGTGATGACAGGTGCTTCGAAAAGACCTGGACTCTTCTCGACCTTTCAATATATAAGAATTGCAGTATGTCTGCTCCATCCCAATTCCACATCTACAAAATCTTCTACGAACTCAACGTGATAAATGTGCTAATTATTTTGATAGTGGGATGGTGTCTTCAGCATAACGCCATGAGTAGATTGGACGACTGCGTTCATTTAAACGCCATTGGCGGCGGTCTGCTTGGGTAGATATGAATGCGTCTCCGAAAGCCAGTGAGCCATGGGACTATGAACGAGGTGATTACATTCATCGATACCAAGGGGTGTTTTGGGGACACCGAAATATGTTTTCATCGCATGCGACTCACGTAACCCGGTTCTCGGCAGGTTCTCCTCGACATTCCTATGTGGCCGTTCGACATTATTCTCAAAACGGTGGACTCGATGCTGGAGTGTATTTAATGCAACATTATTTGGAAAGATATCACACGTTATCGGTTGATTAGTCCTTTTGAAATCCATCCCATCGATCAAAGTCCTGGGTGTCAAAGTCGAACAAGTCCAACATCCGTCCCACACTGTGATCCACAATTTCGTCTATTGTTGCCGGTCTATGGTAGAAGGCCGGGACTGGAGGAAATATGATGACGCCGTTTTGGGTGAGAGAGAGCATGTTCTGAAGATGTATGCCGCTCAGGGGACATTCGCGAGCCGCAAGTACTAGCTTCCGGCGTTCTTTGATGATAACATCCGCAGCTCGCGCAATGAGCGTATCGCATAGACCCGAGTTAATCGCGGCGAGCGTCTTCATGCTACATGGCACGACGATCATGCCGTCAACGCGATAGGACCCGCTTGCAATTGGGGCGGCCATGTCGTGGTTGTTGTAAACGTGGTCCGCTAGAGCACGAACATTGGTGGCGGTGTAGCTCGTTTCGTACTTGAGGGTGCTGTCTGCCCACTTGCTGATAATGAGGTGCGTTTCGATGTTGAGGCGGCGCAATGCGATCAAGGTTTTGATGCCGAGGATGGAGCCAGTAGCACCGGTGAGGGCAACAATCATTCTTTTGCGCCTGGGTTGAGGCGGAGTTGCGTTGTTTCGACTGCTTTCTTCAGTCATTTTTGCCGTCTAAGGAGGTCTATTTCGAAGCAAAAAGGCCGTTGGGTAGAGAGTGGTGGCTTTTCTTGAGCAGTTTTCGTTTTTTGAATTTGTCTGGAATTTCAAGAGGAAGCGTCAATGTCTGACGGTCAAACAAGAGTCGGATGGCTCAGGACAAGATACTTCAACAAGATGAGGATATCCTGAAAGCACAGTAACCGGAATGTGACGTATATGACCCATCGTGGCATACCTCGCTCGATCTAATAGACGCAAGTCTCAAAGTCACGAGGGCTCATCAACGGTGAGGCTCAAAACATGGGTCTGCCCCAAGCAAAGAGGGACCTTGGACGTAATAGCAAGGCACTAAAGCCAAAGCTCGCCCCGCCAGGATCCGGAAATATTTCTGGCAATAAGGAGATTGTGTGTGAAGTCAACTTTTAGTTTCTTTAGTGGGGGATTTTGGGAAATATTCGCGGATATAAATCAAGGAACGTTTGAGGCTTTCCTCCTTTGGTATGCCCATAACGTAACTTGACCAGCGAATTCCCCATAGAGGCTCTGGGTCTGGACCACGACACTTCGGCTGCGCATCCGACTTGAACTACGGGAGCTGTCCCGAGTCTTTAAAACAGCCTCGCCGCGTCACGAAAGCGCGATTTGTAAGGAACATACCGATAATTCCGGAAACCCCCATGGGAGGCCATTTCGAAGACCCAGATGCGGCCCGTTTCCTGACACATCACTGCATCAAGATCTTAAGATCAAGAAATTCGCTCACGACGCCCGAGGCTCTTTACGGCCCAAAACAAAATTTCACGGTCATGACACCTGTGAGCCCGACCCATAAGACCCTCTTTGGTCGAAATGATGAGGGGCGCCTGTGAAGTAGCGATGTTTAGGCCTGGTCCGACTCTAAACCAAGCAAGATGACCCCTCACCACCACGGAACCCCCGACGGACCTCGGCGCTGGGTCATGTCACAACATTAGCTACAAAAGACAACGCCTTGAGCTAAAAGCAAGCTGAGTCTAGGTATCTGGCCGGCATAATCTCCTGAGCCAGAGAGCTCAAAACTTGAACAGCGACTCAAGCCATCAATTGGTCCAAATTCTTTGCCCTTATCACCTTGTCTCAATTGCCCTGAGTTGAAGACACCATATCATCATGGCACTATCATCCCATCCTTCACAATCCGGCGGCCTTTCTGCTGCCAGCTTCCGCCAGTACGTCAAGGAGCTGGCTGAGGAGGGCGATCTGTTGTCTATCTTCAAAGAAGTCGACCCTCGTCTTGAGCTAGCAGCTATCGTACGGAAGGTCTAAGAAACTGAAGACAAAGCGCCTCTTTTCGAAAATATCAAAGGACGCCAGCAGAACGGTCTCTTTCGGGTCTTGGGAGCACCCGTGGGTGCCAGCAGTTTGCCGGGAAAGAGGTTCATTCGCATAGCAAAGTCGTTGGGACTTCCGTCCGAATCCAGCGGCCGGGACATCATCTACGCCATCAACCGCGCAAAGAAGCGTCAACCGATCGCTCCAAGGAAGTTCGAGACTGGTCCGGTCAAAGAGCACAAGATCTTCGGAGATGAAATCGACCTGGAAAAACTTCCTGTTCCCCTCTTCCACGAAGACGATGGCGGTAAATACTTGCAAACATTCGGCATGTATATCGTTCAGAGTCCCGATGGCTCGTGGGTCAACTGGTCAATCACCCGCGGCATGGTCAATGGCAAACGGTCTTTGGCCGGCCCCACCATGTCAGCGCAAGATATCGGTGTCATTCGAAAAATGTGGCAAGACAGAGGCGAAGACATGCCCTTTTCTCTCTGCTTTGGTGTACCACCTGCTGCCATCATGGTCGGCGGAATGCCCATACCCAAGGGTGTGAATGAGAGTGGTTTCGTAGGGGCTCTCCTTGGTCAGCCTGTGGATGTCGTCAAGTCCGAGACCAATAACATCTGGGTTCCTCGCGATGCGGAGATCGTTCTCGAAGGCGTCGTTTCAAGGACTGAGACCGCTGACGAAGGACCTTTTGTCGAGTACCATGGGCACGTGTTCCCTGGATCAGGGAAGCCTTGTCCAGTATTCAACATTGATGCCATCACTTACCGAGATGATCCTATTCTCCCCATTTGTGTCGCGGGGAGGGCGACTGAGGAGAGCGAGACAGTCTGGGCTCTTACCCAGGCGGCTGAGGTTCTCAATATTTGCGAAGCCGCCGAGCTGCCAATTGAAATGGTGTGGAGTCCTTTTGAGTCTCACTGCCTTTGGTTTGTCCTCCAGGTCAACTGGTCCAAGTTGCGCGCGCTTCAGACCAACATGAAAGATTTCTGTGAGAAGGTTGGCCACACTGTCTTTTCAACCAAACCTGGTTTCTACATTCCTAAGATCTACCTGGTTGGAGAAGACATTGACCCCACCAATCTCAATGAGCTTATTTGGGCTGAGGCAACTAGATGCCAACCCGAGATCAACGAGTTCTTTTTCGACGCGTATGGTAACATCCCTCTCATCCCATATGTAAGCCATGGTATCAAAGAGAGAAGGAACCATGTCAAGGTTGTGCGATGCTGCATGTTTCCCGCTGAATTTACAGACTCGAATCTGAGCTGGAAGCATGGCTCTTTCCGAGGTTCATATTCGAGGGCGATTCAGGATACGGTCGATGGCCAATGGGCTGAGTATGGATTTTAGCTTGCCATTGCAGTGATAGAAACGAAATAAGCAGTTCTCATGGCATGGCTACCGTAACAGATAGGTATGATACCCATGTCAGGTCAAATTAGTTGCACATGGCCGTTTTCGTGAAACGGTGAAACGGGGCTATAAATGCTTGCCCTTGTTTAGGCTGGGAAAGTGTGCAGCATAATCACACTGCCTTTTTTGTGCTGCTATTCCACTCCTTCTGAAAAGGGAAAATGCAGCATGCTGCAGGTGCAAGGACTCACGTAGACGAGGGGCCCCAAAAGATTACGTTCCCCCCACATGTCCCTTCCCTAGCCTGATTCACGGGGTAAAGCCATGGCATATCCGGCGCGAATTTTCCGGTGTCTTCTTAATTACGAATAAGTACTCGGCCAGGTCCCTTGGGTTTGTTGTTTACCATCAAGGATTCGGTCAGCATGTTGCGCTGTGAATTACTGTTACATTGGTCCCTTTCTTGGTCACATCTCGGTGATTGGAGAAAGGGAGACTGAGGAGGTGGTTGGAAGGATCAGATCGTGTCAATTTGATCACGTTTATGACCAAGTTATACCGCGATCTCGATCATCCAAAGCTTACCAGGGCTAGGCGTTCCAAGAAGCCAATCCGAATAGCCGGCGTCCTGAAACATTACTTGACAGAAGCCCCGGAAGGTGACTTTTGTATTGCCCAGGCTGAACTTGATTGGGATGACCAATCAGGGATTCTGATTGATTTTCTTTTTTTGCAGTCTCTGGTCAACAGTCTCGGTTGTAGGAGTTATCTTTCATCACTAATATCGACCTTCAAGGTTCAGCATCATGTTTCCTTGGAGTGCGACATGAAGGAGTTGAGCATGTATCTTTCAGCATTTCTTGATTAGACCTCGTGTCTTACGAATACTCTGTTGATGTCATCAGACTAGCTGTCAGGGGTTAGCGAGTTATCGGTGGATCTTGTCCTTGGGGTAATGCTGTTGGCTCTGCTGCTGCGGAGTCTTCGAGTGAGCGACATAATCAGCGCATATTATTGAGAAAACTAATGCGCCCGTATGGATTCTCAAGAGAATTTGCGAACGTTTCTTCAAGGGTATACATAGGACCACTTCTCCTTTTCGAACGGATTGACTCGTTATAGGTTAGCCAACCGTTTATGCAGAGTGATCGTTGATGATAACTGGCCAGACAGCCTTGCATGTCGTATGATGAGCAGTCATATCTCACCTGCATTCTACGGATGCCAGGGGTTGGCTTCCGCTTCTGTCAGAGCGGAGCGCGATACTGGGGACTGCAGCATACACATTTCTTCAATCAAGAAGAGGGGTATTACGGTCAATCTCTTTTCGCAGATAACTCTGTGTTCCCTCCGACCTGTAATCAATCTAGCTGAATCTTTTCTTCTTGTCCTTCAAACTTCTATGAGACCCATCTGCAAACCATCATCCCAATACCAATATGTCAGCAGTTGTTGAAGCTCCTCGCAGCGATGCTGCCGAGAATCGAGCTCCTGCCGATGCTACCGAAAACGATGCTCCCGACGAAAATGCTCAAAACGTGGCAGATCGACAAGTTGTGCTTTTAGCAGATGAGGTATTGCTGGCGAGGTTTCGGTGTGATGGTTCACTACTAAATATCTACAGGGCATCGAAAATGATGACGGGGACTTGAGGAGTCTTGCATCTTCTAGTCAGAGCTTAAACAGTTCGATTTTTGACCATCGCTTCGAGAACGGGAGGACTTATCACAAGTACAAAGACGGAAGTAATCAAGTTCCTGTCTCCACCAAACTGGGACGGAGCACAGTGCTGACAAAGTTGTGTCAGAGTACAAGCTTCCAAACGACGAGACTGAGAATGATCGCCTGGGTACGGTCTCCAGCTGGTTTCTAGAACCTCCTAAGTAACTAACCGACAGTTCAGATTTGCAGCATCATTTGTTCAGACTGACCTTCAATGGAAGGCTGGCGAATTGTCCACTGCTAGAACAAGACGTCGATATCGGTAGAGTACTAGATCTCGGCTGCGGTACTGGTATCTGGTGCCTGGAAATTGGGGACGAACACCCGGAGGCAGACGTGCGTATGAGTCATTTACAATTGCGAGCCTTAATGCTGATGATCGAAACGTCAGATTCTTGGTGTCGATCTATCCCCAACCATGCCCGAGTTGTGCGTATGCCACCGCCCTATACCTGTAACGTTTCATTAACACCTGAAAAGTGTCGCCCCGAACGTGAAGTTCGAGATTGATGATGTCGAAGAATCTTGGACGTATACCAAGCCTTTTGACTACATTCACAGTCGAATGATGAACTCTAACATCGGCGACTGGGACGCCTACGTCAAGCAGGCCTATGAGTAAGACCAATTCTAGCCCTTTCGATCGGAATGCGGCAGTGCATTGCAAGAATTTTGAAAGCTGACTTGTCTAACAGCCATCTCAATCCTGGTGGCTGGCTGGAATTGAACGAATGTGACATTGCCCCTGTTTCTGATGACGGGACCTTAAGGGAGGATTCCAGCATTTGCGAATCAGTTAGACTTCTCAAGTCGGCTGCTGAGCAATTCGGTCGGCCTTTCAAGTACATGAGTGGCTTGAAGACTACTTTGAGAAATGCAGGCTTTGTGGACGTGCAGCTGCTCCAGTTCAAGTGGCCAACTAATCCATGGCCAGCAGACCCTAGGTACAAGGAGCTTGCCGAATGGATGAGTGAAAACTTGGCCACTGGATGGGAAGGTGTTTGTCTCGCAATGCTCACAAGGGCACATGGCTGGACTAGGGAGGAAGTCATTGTCTTTATGGCACAATGTCGCGCGGAATTTCGAAACAAGCATATTCATGCTTATTTCTCAATGTGAGTTTTTACAATCTACGACGAATTGCTGGATACGGGCACTAATTTCGGTACAGCTGGTCTGTCTATGGAAGGAAGCCCACTGAAGCAGAGCTTGCTAGTGCTTGAGTATTGATGCCCATCTGGCTCTGGACTTAGTGGCATCATGTCGAGAAACTGAATGTTTTGGGGTTTACTATGCTTCTGAATTAGACGATGTAGCTCCTCCTACCTGGGTAACTTGGTATGAAATGCGATATATTGCCAGTTATAACTTATGGACACAATCTCCTACTGTTGCTTGGGTCGCCCATGATTGTAAGAGTAATTGGTATAGCCAGCAGTCAGAGTATCGTCATCGACAAGCTGCGTTGATGCTGGTGAAGTTGACGAAAATTGTTCTTGAATATGAAGTAATGCGCCAAATCGTTGAACAGAACCTGCTGGTTGATAGCGTGTTGCAGCTGGAGGTAGAGCCCCTCAATGCCGGGTCGCATATTCATTTTCCAAGCCCCAAACGACCCAGGCTAATAAAAAGTTGGTAACAGGAAGCCAATATGGCATGCCTGACTTCATCTGGCTCCAGTAACCGGAGCTTGTCAGAAAACAGCCGAGGAAGAGAGTGACGACAGACGCTCGTGTCCAAGGGAAAGCCAACAAGGAACCTTCCATGACCATCAATACCCCGATGTATTGCATGTGTAGCTTAGTGGTCCGAGGATCTGTAAAGGGATACACCGGATGAAGATGCGGCGCTGTGATCTGAGATTTTCGGTAGATTCTTTCATGGAGGGATTTGAATGGCCAGGAACTGATCCTGGGCCAGCCGCCGATGAAATACTCGATTGTAAGAATAATGCGCGGGACCCTAAGAATTGTAGACGACATGATGAACGAGTTGATGGACCTTTGATACTGTACAACACATGTAGTATTGATGATTGACGAAACAACCATTCGCGAATTGTTGACTGTGGGGGAAGTAAAAGTATCTCATGATCGAGTTGGAGTCGATGATGTAATCCCTGTCTTACTGCGACCGGCGATCCCATGGGCTAGCCGTCATAGGCGAAACCAAACGCACGCCTTAGCTTTTGAATACGTAGAAGGGATGCGGCATGCATGATGCATTTATTCGAGAATAACGAGAAAACCCATGCCCACTGGAAATCCAACGGCTTGCTTCCGTCATATTGTGTTCCCAATACGAGATCTTATTGTGGCACCTTTGAAATCGCTGCCATGGTCTCTTTTGCTCCTCTCGCCAGGATAGCCGAGTCCTGTCCCCCAAGCAGGAAACGTACGCCAAGTTGGTTGATTGCCCAGTCATGAAGTTCGTGATCATCGTATATGCCGGCCAAACCCATGATCTTCCCGTGCTTCTTGCAAGCTTGGCTGATGATCTCCATAGCCGCCCGAAATTCCTTACTCCTAAATTGTCCTGGCGCTCCTAGCTCTATTGCCAGGTCATTAGACCCAACCAGAAGCACATCCGCGCCGTCAACTGATGCGATCTCTTCAATGTTATCAATGCTCTCCTTGGTTTCAATCATCAAGAAGACGCTAGACCCGTTTCTATTTGTTTCGGAAATAATGGTGTCTTGGGGCGTTGCTTTGAGAGAGAAGAGCGGGAGCTGTCCAGTGATCGACCTCTTGCCTTGAGGCGGATACTTACATATCGAGACCGCCGCCTTAGCATCGTCTAGTATGGATTGTGAGAATCTTCGCTGGAGCTGGGCATCATTCGACGCAGTCTTACCTCGACCATGAACATGAGGAAAGATAACACCCATCGCTCCGCCATCCAGAACTTTCTGAATGAAACCATTTCCACATTGGTAAGGGACTCTGACAAAGGGTGTGATGCCCATTTGTAAGCCAACGATGCAGTGCTGGCTTGCATCCTGGATGGAAAGTGTTGAGTGCTCCAAGTCAATGAAGAGAGCATCAAAGCCTCCGTTTGCCGCTAAATGGACGACTTGAGTATTGGTCACCAGCCTGATTCCCATCGCCTATGAAACGTTAGCCGCCGAAATGCTCCCACGTAAATATCGACTGACCGTGCATAGCTTGCCGGCTCCGCTGAGACGGGTCAAGCTGTTGGTGAAGAGGGACGCCATGGCGAAATGAGAAGAATTTGATTACGACTCAACCACAACCGATCGATACCCTGTGTTTCAATAACTTGATCGCCGTCATTGCATAAATAATCAATCCTCGTACTGCCATTTTGAGGGGTAGATGGAAACGTCAGCTTACGTTCACTACTCTCGGCAGCCGTTCCCGCCGTCCTGCACGTTTCGGCAGCCCTTGCCGAGCCCGTGTAAGTTGGGTGTGGGGCGCCGGGATGTTGGCACAATTGTTATCTCGGCCACGGTTACCGCCCGCCGGTCTCATTGAAAGAGGATCTTATCACACACCTTTGAATGATAATTTGAAGACAGTTTTGGAGAGTTGATGGGTCTTCGTCATCGTTCACACAATAGTCTTACTCCTCGAGACGAATCGCTTCTGCTACAATGTTCGAGCACATCAAACCCGGCCCTCCGGACCCCATGTTCGATCTCAAAAGGGACTCGGACAACGATCACAGCTCAGAGAAAGTTGATCTAGGAGTCGGAATATACAGAAACGAGTCTGGCTTGTATCAAGAGCTGGAGGTTGTGAAGTTGGTAGGTTGTCAAATTACTTCCTAGATTGCTTGTAGTGGCAAAAAGGGACAAAAGGCTGACGAATTTTGGGCTAGGCCAAGAAAGAGCTTGACCGACAGAATCTGGGACATGATGTATGTGTCCTGTAACATTCTGAGCGAGTATCATGTCTAAGAACCTTTTAGTATGGGCCAACGATGGGCGACCCTGAATTTCTCAAATTTGCTGCTTCGGTGATGTTCGGAGACAGATGTGAAGCACTAGCTTCTGGCAAGGTATTTCCATTTCGGCGAGGCCCCTTCGCAGTAAGACATACTTCTGGGAAGTGGAGTCGCTGATGGCCTGGTAGATTTCATCGGTCCAAACCATCTCAGGTACCGGTGCGAATGCCCTTGGCGCACTGCTGATTTCGAAAGCCATGTCTCCAAACAGAAGGGTATACATCAGCAAGCCGACTTGGGAAAATCATTTCGACATATTTCACAATGTCGACATGGAGACTGTGAGCTATCCGTATCTTGACTCATCCAAGCACGCGGTGAACTTCGACGCTCTTTTGGAAGCAGTGCGGACGGCGCCTCAAGGTAGCGTGTTTATTCTGCAGGGCTGTTGCCACAACCCCTCTGGCGTCGATCTTAGTGTCCAACAATGGCAGGAGTTGGCCACTGAGATGAAGTCTCATGGTCAGCTGCCTTTCTTCGACACCGCATACCAGGGACTTGGCGATGGGTTTGACGAGGATGCGGCTGGTGTACGAATCTTTGTCGAAGCTGGCTTGGAGATGCTCGTTTGTCAGTCATTCTCAAAGAACTTTGCGCTTTATGGAGAGCGATGCGGAGCTCTTCACGTAGTGGCAGATTCCACCGAGGTGGCTGCGAACGTCAAGGATCGTCTTCGAAGTTTGATTCGGTACACATATTCTTCTTCTCCAGCATACGGCAGTCGCCTGGTAAAGATTGTGTTGAGCAACTGCGAATTACGAAATACTTGGTGAGCAACGCTCGGCTAATCACCCAAGGCGATACTTACTGACGTGTCAGGACCCTGGAACTTGAGGGTATGAGAGAGAGATTGAAGCGAAATCGGCAAGCACTATATAGTGAACTGACAAACGTTCTGAAAGTGAGTGAATCAAAGCAGTCCAATTTTATAGAATCCAATCTCATCGCAGCCAGACACCAGGCGATTGGTCGCATCTTACCCAGGAAAAGGGATTATTCTCGTAAGTGGCACCGACTCGGCCAAACACACGATCAACTAACGAGGACTGCTAGATGCCTAGCGCTGTCGCCAGCTCAATGCAAGACGTTGGTTACCAAATACCACGTACACCTTCCGGGTTCTGGGCGCATCAATGTGGCCGGTTTGAGTGAGGATAATGTGCGTCGTGCTGCCAAAGCTATTGACGAAGTCATCAGGCAGACCGTACAGGAGAAGCTTTGAACAATTTGGCCTCTACCTTGAGTCAGAGATATTGGTAGAACTCCACAGAAGGCACCTTGGTGGTATTAACTTCACATTCTGTCGGGAAAGTTCAGGCGACTGGGAGGCAACCACACTGGGGCCAAATATTGCTGCTGCCTAACTTGCCAATTTGCAACTCGAAACGGGTATAAATACCTGTCCTCCCCTCTGCATTCCAGTCCTCTCTCTTCTTCTTTTCCCCATCCCAGTGCAGGAGTGCACACAGATCACTGAAGCTTCGGCTGAGATTGTGTTTTTGCTGATGGTGGCCCTTTCACCACTGACCACTCCTAGTTGGTCTTGACCAGCTAGGGAATTTTTGGACCATTTCTGTCACCAGAGCAGGCTCTTTCATTGGTTAGTACTGATCTCATGATTTGTAGCGAAGATGGTGCATACGATCTTCGGCTTGATGCCAGTCGTTGGGCAGGCCGTTTCTTTCGGTGAGTCTCAAAGGCATGCCTTCGCCGGTCCGACGGCGAGTCTCGCCGAAGATTCAAGTCTTGGCCCCTGAAGGCGGATGCGCTATGAGCAGTTGCATGTTTACTTCTGGTGATTGGCTGACCGTCAAGATCGCAAAGAGGTAGACTCGGGTAAGGGCAAACGTTTTCATCGGGGGACAAAGCCACTGGCCTCCGCGGCATGCGCGGGTTACCTTGGGCGTCAGGGTGTGAGCACAAGTGAGATGAGAGTGATTTGGGTTGCCTAGCCCCGCCACGCTTCCAAGCCACTCGCGTCGACCGAGTCCGTTCCGCCCGCTTTCATAACCTTTAGTGTGAGTGGGGCCGACTCGGGCCCGGTCCGGAAGAGGGCGCCGGCCGAGCATAAAACGGCGAGATGAAGTGTTTTCCAGGCGTGTTTGTAGCTGTGACAATTCTTAAAAGATAATACGATGGAGAGGAATCTTATTTCCGTTCCGCAACGTGAAGTACTAGTTAAACGTCTCCGAAGTCTTTTTGGTATTTGGCCTGTCAGCTTGTTCAAAAGGCCAATTGACTAACTAGCGAATTGCCACCTTGCGGCTTTTGCATAACGCACTTGGCATCAATGTGCATGATTTTATGTTCGAAATTTATTCCATGGTAGATGCTTGGCTCGAATCGTTTGGTATGTCAGCGAGTCTTGGCTGTCCATGGCGCGAAAGGTCTCACTACGTCCGTACTTTTCGTAAAACTCGCGACCCTGTAATTCTAGATCGCTTTTGTGGACCTTTGGAGTCCCTTGAATCTTGCCGAAAACTTAGTTCCCGTTGCAAAAAGGGCGACAGACCAACTTCAGCGACGTATCCCACGTGCTCCCCGGGTCTAGCGCTCGCCCCTGGCTTCAACCGAGCCAGGCCGATGCAGGGCCCCGGAGGGCCTAGTGTGCTCATGTTCATCACAAATACATTACCGGGAATGGCGGCTCCTACCACAGACCGATGTGGCTGACGATCACATAAGACGGTGCCAGTACCGCGCAACTGGCTGGCCAGATCGGCGCGGAAAAGGCAACGCGATTACGCACGAGACGGGGAGAGCGACCGCATAGGCCACGGACTTTGGCTCACCACCAGTAAGCGTAACTGCCTCGTTGTGCTTTAGAACGGCTCGTGACTTTAGACATTCGAGGATAAGGTCCAATTTGTTTAATCCTTTGGCCGTTGAATTGGCCTCGCGGGTCTCATAGCCGGCTGACGATGCAGCATTCGACGGGTAGAACATGACGAAGGGCAGATTGTATGCTTTCGGCGGCAGAGGATAACCAAAGGATGTCAGCTCGTACTGCCAAATTGAATTGTGTCGTGATCAGAACCATCTGAGACATGGCCCTGAGTTGAAGGGGAAACAGCGTGCCGATGGACTCCGAGACATCCAACTCCAAATTTCTCGTCGCCTTTCATGCAGAACCCCTGGCAGATGACAAACGTGCTCGGGAATATTTCAATTAACCAGTTTGTAGCCGATATGAAAGTTATACGTTTCAGCGATTCATCTCCAGATTGTCTTGCGATTTTTCAGGCACGTTCATCTGTCACGAAAGCGCTCGTCGCGGAAATCCGATGCGCACGATAAGGATGAAGTTGGGCGTGCCACATCCGAATCCGGATGATGGATCCGGCATCGTACGTAGTTTCAGCAGCAACTCACGTTACGAAAGCGTGCCTAGCAGAATGTTAATGCGGCGCTAGGAGTCAGTATGTCTTGCACTAGTCACCTGCAGGACTCAGCTTCCCGCTCAGTGCCTCCTTTTATAATTACAGGCACCCGATCTCTGATCAAGGGACGCTCTGGTAAAACGTGATGTGAAGATGTGAAGATGGATGATGGCTCACTTCCCGACCCCGAAGGCGGTAACGATTATAGTATGTCAAATCCCTACCCCGAATCCTCGAAGAGACCGAAAACCCACCAAGCGAAATCCCTGGCTGACAATTATGGCACACGAATAGACCACAGGATGGGTGACCATTCTCACCGCGGGGGCAGTCATTGCTGCGTCCCTTCATCTCCGGATCAACATACAAGGGAGGAAGCTTATGCCGAGCGATTACTTTCTATGCCTTGCCTGGTGCTCCGCGGTAGCTACGGCCTCATTCGATATCCAGTTTACGGTCATGGGGGCTTTGAAGCAAAACATCAAAATCACCCTAGATGGTTATGACGGCAGTGATGAGGATGTGATCAAAGTTATGAGGGTAAGAAGTCTTTACCCCAAGTGACTCAATCATGACTTGGGTTTGTGATCAACACTAATGGCTGTTTGTTAGTTATTTTGGGCGAGCAGCATACCGTTCTTCACGACATTTTACCTATGCAAGGGGGCGCTCCTTGCCGTCTACGTCCAACTTTTCCCTGTCTTCATGTATTGGCGCAGGATGTTGCTGTGGGTTGTCATTGTCTACACAGGGCTGGCATACTTGACTAGCATGTTGTTGCTTTTCACAATCTGCTTACCTCTCAGCAAGAACTGGTGAGTCACTTGTCCTTCCACATCTGCTCAGTTCGGCAATGCTGACTTTTGTCCTAAGGGCTGTTGAAGATAGGGTAGTAGGAACAGAAAATGTGATGTGCTCGGCTTCTTCTCCGGCAATCGTGTTCCAAGTCGGATGGGCATTACACTTCTTCGGGGATATTCTAGGTAAGCTCTATTAATTAAACGTTTTCTCGGCCTGTGCGCTAACGTGAACCTTGGGGCAGTCTTCTCAATCCCGTGGCTGATCATTCCCGACCTGAAGATCAGAAAAGCGCTCAAGATAGGCGTTTATTGCACGTTCGGGCTCGGCATCATCAACATGACCTTCTCCTTAGTGAGGTTCATCACTATCCAAACAGCTTCTGTGGACTACTTGCCTTTCGGCCTAGTTGGTATGTCACCAGCCCTTCATAGATGGTTTCATGTTAGCCACCTGCTCACATCATTTCCTCGCAGAACTGTGGAGCGAATTGGATGTCAATATCGGTTTACTCGTTGCAAGCCTACCGTCTCTCAGACCGTACTTCCGATCCAGCCGCAGAGCTGGCTACTCCGATAAGTCCAACGGTTATAATTACAAGTCAACAGTCAAAACACCAATGAGAGCGTCCGAAATGACTGGATTCGATATAATGACGTTGCCAACAATTGAAGAGCAAGATCTCGAGGACGTTGCTCCGAGCTCATCGACCCGATCGCAAAAGTCTGGAGTCGAAGTATAGCTCAAACAACTCATCGGCGGCAGTTGTCAGACATTAAAAGTACATGAAGTCTGGATCGATGGTCCGTCCGACTGTACCATGTCTTTGGCCGCTTCATCATCGTCGATATGAAAATCCACATAGAACCAAGGCGCAGTCAAAGAAGCTGCGCACATGTACATAGGATATGTGTGAACGAATTACTCATGACGAACTTTCATAGATGCATCATAGCGGGACGGTTTAGACATCACACCTGTTGAGACCTGGTCTAACATGGGTTGGAAGGATTTTCTTTTTCATTTCTCAGATACGAGACAAGTATTCTCGAATGACATCAATTAACAGCAGAAATCCTACTGTCACCTGATTCTCACTATCGAACCGAGACAGAGTCTCTCAATCTGTCTCGGCTAGGGCTTATTATTCATCATGCCAAGGTTTCCCTCCAGATTCCCAATTGATAATAGCCAATCGAGGCACACTTTGTGAGTTTGATTGAGCCACACATGGGTCGTTTCTTGGTGAAGTATTGTGAAAGTGTAATCAGTGCGAAATTTACGACCTTCGTTTGATATATCATCCAAAACCCCAAGATTGATCACGATGTCTCCAGGGTATCTGATGTAGTAAATCATGAAAAGGCGGTAAGTTCAACAAAGAAGTACTATAAGTATTTCATACGATAGATTCCGTGCACAATTGCAACCAGATGTCTTTCTAACAGTGGAATCTCAAGGAGCCATATTCACCGGGACAATACTTGGTGAAATCAGCCTTCCGAAAGCCAGGGTCATGGGTTCCCAGCTTTAATCTATCTCGGACAGTCCGGCGACGGGTTCAAGACATGCTCGGGCACCGAGACATCTAGGAGGATGCGTGTAAGCATACTACCGACCATCACTACGGAGCGTTTTACCCAGCCTAACAATATGCAGTAATGCCGATGTCAGGGCCTGTCAACCTGTCATCCATGTTTCTCAGCCCAGCATGGCCAAGCAAGAGGGGTGGCATTTCACGCTAGCTCCCAAATCCGTGTTACCGACCTCAAGGCCCGTCCAGGTGGTAACAAAAGTGGACATTCAGCGAACAACCAGGCTGGATTCTCATGGTCTGAATACGGATGTTTCCACTAAACCACGACTCGTGCCCTCAATCCACTATGGTCTGGATTCACGGTGAATTCTCGTGTTTTTGGTTTAGTTTCAACCGCGTTAGTGTAACTGTGAAACTTTAAATGAATTCCATTCAAAACCGGCCCTCTTCCCACCAAGGAGAAATCGTAGCCCTGCCACGAACCGTACGACAGGCGCGCGGGCATTACTGAATGTAGCCTTAGAGCCATGTCACCATAAATTAGGTAAGGGGCCGAAGCCGACGATAACGGGCCGTGGCTAGCGTCAGTTCTCGAGCGAAAAGACCGCCTGCAACACGATATCACATTGCCACCTGGGGCATTCCAATATCGACTGTTCCGCTGACTCCGCGTTCTTGGCTTAACTCCGGCAAATTAGACTGCAGACTTGCGACATGGAGTCTCACCAAGGTTGTCAGGAGGGATACCGAGTGGGAGTAGCGGGTTTCTGATTGACACTAGACTCTCGACCTCTCAGACGACGACACCCAAACATGCCGAGGGGTAAGGCGGATAGATTGAAGGATTTGAACATGTCTCCTCGAGTCCTCCTATGGGATCATCGCCCGTGGCCAGCCTTCACCCTCGCATCCCTTGTGACCCTTATTGACCTTCTCGATTTGGGTTTCTTATTATCATCACAAGCAAGACCCTAATACCCAAATTTCCGTATAAAAAGCACCTGGCTGCTGGACTACATGTATGGGAAGCTGTTTCCTTCGCTCTCCATCTCATTCTCTAGAATCATCCAACAGGATCATCCTTTCACACACAACTTGTACCAAAATGCACAGTCTTCTTTCTGTCGGTGCGGCCCTTGCCGTCATGATCCAGGGAACGAACGCTGCTGCAACCAGTGCCGTTGCTACTTGGTACGGTGGAAACTTGAATGGAGGAAACTGCCTATTCTCTGGCTACACTCTGCCCTCCAGCGTGCTTGGTACCGCTCTATCATACACCAACTACAACGGCAACTGCGGCAGTTGCCTTAACGTCAAGGGTCCCAAGGGAAATACCATCAAGGTGATGGTGGGTTCACCAAATGCGGTCATTCGATGAATTCAACTGACAGGGATGTAGGTCGTCGACAAGTGCCCTCAAGGCTGTGGAGCCGGGCAGCTTGATCTCTTCCCCGATGCGTTTGCCAAGCTTGACGACCCCAACAAGGGTGAGATTAAAGTGCAGTGGGAACAAGTCCCGTGCGGGATCACCACGCCCATAGTTGTCCGCAATAAGGAGGGCACTTCTAAGTGGTGGTACGTTCCTCTTTATTATCTTTCTGCCCATCTCTCAATTAAATCTCATATCCGATGCAGGTTCTCCATGCAAGTCATGAACCACAACTATCCCGTCACCAAGTTCGAAGTCAGTGCCGACGGCGGCAAGACCTGGCAGAGTACCATTCGCCAAGACTACAACTACTGGCAGAAAAGCAGCGGTGATGGCTTCAACGTCGACACTGTCAGCGTCCGTGTCACCTGTAGTAACGGGAAGCAAGTTGTGATAAACAACGTAGGCACCACTGAGAAGGCGCAGTTCAAGGCTTCTGGCAATTGCTGAGCGGCAAGACTCGCACTTGTCACCACAGGTCTGCGCATCGGTTCTGGTGACAATCCAATAAGCCCAAAGTGGACATGCATGTAGTCTGTACATAATTTTATCTTCCTCGTACATAATTAGTTGACACAAATACTAAACACGCTTCCATGTGCTATCCCCTCTAAGATCACATTGCGTTGCAATACGTCACGCCCTCACATGCTGCAGGACCAGGACTTCGTACAAAGTCTCAACTCAAGCCTATCGATACGAGAGCAGACCAGTCGTCTCGCAAGTGGGCATGAGTGTACGTATCAACTGAAGCCGAGAGCCGGAATTTGAGGACTGTTGTCAGTCCGAAGTGTTCCCAACTAGCTCTAATTCGGAAAGCAAACCCGTACCACGGAGCGAACCCAGGCGTGCGGGATGAGGGGCCGAGGTTGCGAAAAGCCTGGCTCCTTTTTCGGCGCAGCAGACCGAGCCTCCCGACAGGCCTAAGCCCTGTAATCATTGGGCGCCCCATCATCAACTGACAGTTGATACCGTTTGGTACTGCCTTTGAGAGTCATAAAGTAGCTTACACACACGAATACCCCCGAGATGACTGACTATGTCTGGAAGATCCTTGAGATGACCTGTTCAGGGTTTAATGCAAGAGGACGACGTGCGGGTTGAAATCCTAGGCTATGTGCACTGAACAGCGGTATCGGTGCTAGGTAGAAATTGACTCTAGACTTGTCCTCTTAGTACAAGGGTGCGCTAGTTCAGATGCAAAATCGAACTGGGGTGAGCCACGACAGGTGTGGCTCGTTGACATTTAGCGGATGATCAGTTTCTGATAGCGCCCACGGTCGCAATCTCACCGACGCCATTCACTACTTGTGATGCATCATGCTGCCAGTTGAGAGACAACTTCATGAGTAGAGATGCATGGTTTCATCGCTGAATCTGTCATCATGACTGGCGAAGGAGGAAGTCCCATCAATTCGGCGGAGACCGAAGCCGATCATGGAAGCGCAAGTGCGCGGGGCAAACGGTCAAGCAATGCGTAAGTCCCCTTGCTGGACTCTGCCACGCGCACGCTCCTTGGAATCTTACGCTGAAGTTACCAAGCTGCCTTCGCTGTCGTGAAAGAAAGGTCAAGTGCTCGGGCTCGGAGCCTTGCACAAACTGCATCCGTCGCGCAACCGAGTGCGTTTTCGATAGGGAAGACAGAAAAGTGGTGGTATCTGAGAGGTAGGCGGCTACCGTCCCCTGCCCGTGATCCTCCCTAACCGGAATCGAAGGTTTCTAAATGAACTCAAACGCAAGTCCGGGTATGGTGCCGATGATAATCTTCAGCCTTCGCCAACATCCAAGCGATCTCGGGTAAATCGATCAACTTCTCCCGTGGACGAAGACGGACGTCGTGGTGAGTATGGCCACTAGGTCCATGTGACTTGAAGCTAAGAGGCATGTTAGATGCACAACAAAGCCCTACTCCAGCGGGAGATCTTGGGGCACATGATCGAGCATCGACGCATGATGTGTTCGTGGTGGATGATGGCACGACTGTTGTAGGCGGTGGCGACCTCGATGAGCGGCGTCATGGAAGCTTTCCTGTTATGCGAAATCCCCTTGCAAGTGGTCCATCCAGGTTCTTAACAGATTCAAACGGGAGAAGGCGTGAGTTTATGAAACACACTTTATGGAAACCAATAACTAACTTGCTTCAGGATGGCTGGGCCCTTCATCAACTTGGGCGTACAGCCGACAGGTTCTGAGCATGATCCAGGGGTATCTTGGCCAACATGAGTCACCAGAGCTTCCATTGAATGTTGACGCGCAGGCGTTCAAGATAGACTGGCCATCCTCCCGAGAAGTTCTTCCGCGTCCTACAGTCGACATTCCGTCTCTCGATTACGCCCTCTATCTCACCAATACTGTCAAGTTTCACCTTGGCCAGACGTACCATCTATTTGACGAAGACTCTTTCATGCATGGGTTATATGACTTTTATCGGAAAGGTCCCAATACAGAGCCCAAGGCAGATGATCGACTATGGTACATCCAGTTTCTTCTCATCATGGCTTTCGGCAAAGCTTTACTCGTGCCAGGGACGCCAGACCAAAATCCACCTGGCAGCAGTCTTGTCACTAGGGCTCTTGAACTTCTGCCCGACGCCCACGGTCTCTATCAAGACCCGATATTGTCCGTGGAAATACTATGCTGTCTCGCTCTTTATTTGCAGTCTGTTGATCATCGCAATAGTGCTTACACTTATGTAAGTCAAGCACCTATGTTTGACGGATGTCTTTGCTCATGACAAAGGCAGATTGGCCAGGCTTTTCGTATCGCCATGACACAGGGACTGCATCGTGAGCCTCTTCAAGGGCTTTTAACTGACACAGAAGCCAACAGGTTGCGGTGCATCTGGTGGACCATTTATATTTTGGATCGAAAGCTGTCATCATTGATGGGCGCCCCGAACTCGATCCAAGACGGTGATATAACTGTCCATTTACCTCGGTCAGACCCGACTGTACAGAAGTACAAGGCTCTGAGTCTCCATGTCGTTCTTTCGAAACTTCACGCCAAGGTTCTAAACAGTGAGGCGTCTTCCAATGATCCTCAGCTAGAACGCAACTGAAAATCTCATAGCCGTCTACGGGGTCGACGGCAAGCTCGACCCTTCATTTCTGAAAAATGTCCAAGAAGTTCTCAGAGACATGGCGAGACTCGCTCCACAACTCACAGCAGGATTTGAGTTTAAGTTAAACAACTCGGAGCCTGCCTCGCGAGTCTCCGCGACTCTCAACCTGTGTTATCATCAGGTATTTTGTCGTCATTTTCCAGTCTCCATTTTAATGCGTCTGACATCTATAGTGTGTGGTCCTCGCAACACGGCCTCTTTTAATGTGTTTACTACAAGACGTCTTAGCAAGACGAGATCACTCCCAACGAAATCTGGCAAGTCCGATCAAAGCGCTCCTCAAGACATCTTCCGATTCAGCAACCAAGACTCTTCGTATACTGTCAAAGTTGAAAACTCAGCATCTTCTCGGTAAGTGGCCTTCGATTTATCACTAGTTTTGCTGTTAGTAATTTGACTATCTGTAGAAACATTTCTGCCATTCGACCTGGAACAGACTTTCTCATCTGCGTTTGTACTCACGCTCATGACTTCCATTCCAGGCCTTCACGACCGAGAGGGCAACAATATGAAGGATGCCTTCGAAATCCTGGACACGATGATTGCTCGTGGCAACGTCGTTGCTCGATTCCGGAAAGAGGAGCTAGAAAAGCTGCAAGAAATACTTCGTTTGGCACAGTCGCAGGTTGAAGGGCCGGTAGCAGCATCCGAAAGAAATGAGAGACATTTACTTATGAACTCAGGCGGAGGTTCGGAGAATGGGCTTCCCCAGGACCGTGGTCCAGCCACCGGCAGCACAGCAAATGGTCTAGCATCCGAGCAAATGTTGTCAATTGCGGGACTGCTAGACTGGGAACCGAACATGTCTTTGTTTGGCGACGATCAGCTTGCGGGAAGCTGGCTATGGACAGATACGATTACGCAAGACTTCGACTTCGGTGGGTGCCTCCTATGACAGGCTCTCGAACGTGCCCTCGGATGATTCATCCCGAAATCTGTTAGCTCTACGGAACCACAGCTGATGTCAAATGACGAATGCGCCATTATTAAATCGCAAACAGGCTTCTGTGACAAGGATAGGACAACTGAACTTTGGGGAGATATCATGGAAGTTTCAAGAGGACGCGACTTCTGGTGGAGTCCATGGGCAGTAACTTCCTCCTGAGTTGGGGCATCTTTGCCGCAATCTGACTGTTCCAAGTCATGAGACATCTTGTTATAAACTATGGCAAAGCATCCACGGCTAGTATCAGACCAGCTTCAGATAGGGGCCTGGCCGAGCGAGTGAGTTATCTGACACACAGCGCGGGATGACGAACCGAGGGCTCTCCCCGCGTTCCCCAAGCTTCGGGACCCACTACCGAACCACTACCCCGGACCCACGGGTTGAGATAATGACCAAGTTTGGAATGTCAAAGACTAGCTAAGAGAAACTATGAAGCTCTATGTCTTTGATATAACTCTTGCTGTCCCAATCGAACAGTTCAGCCTATAGGGCCACAAAAACTAGAGCAGCGTTCCAGCCTTCGTCCTGAAGTACAACTCCGTTGCACGAGAAGTCCCCGTCTCAGTTTTCCAACCTTCCATCAAATCGACTCCGTTTTTTTGGCCCCGAAATTGGCCATAAAATCGAATCATGGGCCAAGAGAAGCTGGAGCCTACAGCTATGGAGAGCTTGTCTCGCCAACAAAGCGCAAAAGTTGGCGAGGTGCAGGATCCGGCAAACCAACCAGGCCATGACCTACACAAACGTTTAGAGACTCGCCATGTTACTATGATTGCCTTGGGAGGCGCGCTTGGAACGGGATTACTTATAGGAACGTGAGTCTCATCCTGAACCTCTTGTCAGCTAGAGATTCCCGACTCTTGATAACACCTACCCAGTGGCTCTGCCCTCGTCAAGACAGGCCCTGCTGGAATACTTATAGACTATTCCATCGTCGGCTGCATAGTCTTCCTCGTCATGGCAGCACTTGGCGAGATCATCTCCTACATGCCGTTATCCCACGGTTTCGGTGGTTACGCAACCCGCTTCGTGGACCCTGCGCTGGGCTTCGCCACCGGTTACTCCTACTTCTTCAAGTACCTCCTTGCAACTCCGAACCAACTCTCCGCATTCGCTCTCATTATGAAGTTTTGGGTCGGTGATCGTGTTAGCCCGGCCATCTTCATTACCATCGCCCTCGTCCTCATTCTCGTCATCAACAGCGTCAGCGTCAAAGCTTTCGGCGAGTTCGAATTCTGGTTGTCGTCATTGAAGGTGTTGATAATGGTAGGTGTCGTTCTCCTGCTCTTTATTCTTGCAGTTGGTGGCGGCCCGACCGGCGATCGCCCTGGGTTCAGGTACTGGTCCAATCCTGGAGCATTTGCGGAATACAAGGTCGATGGTGATAAGGGCCGGTTGCTTGGTGTATGGAGCGCGATGGTTGCAGCTGTGTACGCCTTCTCTGGTACCGAGCTTGTGGGTGTCACCGTTGGCGAGGCCAAGAATCCGCGACTGAGTATGCCGAAGGCTATCCGCCTTACCTTCCTCCGCATCGTCTTCTTCTATGTAATCTCGGTCTTTCTGCTTGGACTCGTTGTTCCCTACGACAGCCAGAATCTTGCTTTTGCTGCCGGTGCCAAGACCAGCGCAGCAGCCTCTCCTTTCGTCGTAGCCATTAAGATCGCCAAGATCAAGGGCCTTGATCATGTCATCAATGGCTGCTTGGTGGTCTTCGTCTTCTCGGCCGCCAACTCGGATATCTACATCTCATCCCGTACGCTGTATGGCATCGCAATTGATGGAAAGGCACCTCGAATCTTCACGCGTACAACGAAGGCTGGCGTGCCCTTTGTATCTTTGGCTCTCTGCGGCGCGTTCTGTGGCTTGGCGTACATGTCTGTCAGCTCGAGTGCTGCGACGGTGTTCAACAACCTTACAAGCATCGTCACGGTATTTGGTGAGTATCGGAACACATTTGATGACTTCACGCATGCTGACTGGTTCAGGACTTCTGACCTGGATTTCCATTCTCATATCCCATATCTTCTTCTGTAGAGCTCGTGATGCCCAAAACATCGACGCTGCCTACATCCCTTACCGTGCTCCATTTGGCTCATGGGGATCATACATCGCTCTCTGCTTTCTGATCATTCTCACCTTCACAAAGGGCATTGAAGTATTCGTCGGCACCTTCGACTACAAGAGCTTCATTGTGCAGTACATCGGCATCCCAGTCTATCTCTTCTGCATATTCGGCTATAAGATCGTCAAGAAATCGCACCGTGTACGGGCCAAGACGGCGGATCTCGTAACCGGGGTGCCAGAAGAGACCGTGGCAGAAGAGAAGACTGCAGTGGAGATGGCGAGGAGAGAGAAGGAGGCAGCGGCAGGGAAGAAGGGCGTCATTGTCAAGACCTATCGCAAGGGGTTTGCGTGGCTTTTTTAGGACCCCTTCCAAATAAGAAATGACTTATCAACGTGACAGATGACATCTGGAAACAAGCCTCAAATAGATGCAGGTTGGGGGAAGTCCACTTCACCACAGAATGCAACGCATTACCGGTGTGTTGGAACATAGCATGTGGAGCCGAGGAATGTTGAGGTCTCCGAAACATCGGGACCGACGAGTGAATTCGGATGCCTTGAAAAATCATTCGGGTTTGTGCTTTGGCCGTGAGAAAGCCCAAATGGATTTAGCGATGGCTACGTCTTGAGATAAGCAAGAGACCCAATGTTCACCGGGAATGACTCGGGCTGTATGTCTTGTCCGTACGGCGAGTGGAAATACACTCCGTTGCGTTGACAGCGTCCGCCCCCCCTTTTTGCCGAAATTACGCACGCATAATCCCTGTATATACATGAAAATTTGCCCAACGCCACGTAGATATTCGTAGTACGGCAATTGACCTATTCTGATGGCTTCAATTGATCTATTTCTATTGAATCTCATTATCTGAGGGCATCGTGATGCCTCCTAAACGCCGCCGCGCGGCTCGGCAGGCGGATGATGACCCTTCTGGGCATCGTCCGTCACCCATCGCCAACGGTACGCGGAAACAACGACGTATACAACAACTGGCACAGGACGCCGCCAGAGATCCTCCTCAACGCTCTGCCTCGCCGTCGATCAGGATCGTTACGCCCGCCGAGAGGGCTCGCCGGGCTGCCGCCGCCGAAGAGGCCGCCGAGGAGGCCGCCGAGGAGGTTATCGTCGCCGAGGCTGGACCCGAGACTAATGATTTGGTGGCGGCTGAGTCTACATCGCGAAGAAAGCGTGTACTTATAGCCCCTCCGTCATCACGAAGAGCTCCAAAAGCGTCCTCTCGCCAAAAAGCAACGACAACGCAGAGGAAGCGAAAGAAGGATCCGCCGCATACGATCCGGCTCCGAAGTACTCTGCCTTCGTCGATGCCACCGTTTCGACCAGACTCGACCCCAGTTAACCCAACCCCTCGTCAAACCACTCGATTTGCGGACGATACGCCTACGGCCCCTCGCCATAGCGCTGATGATACGTTTATGTCGTTCCACGATGTATTTGAAGAGGAGGACGATATGGGTAACGAGGAACCAACTCTGCTACAAATCCAGGTTACCCGTGGCCCAGCGCTCAAGGGTAACGGTTTACCTGTTCTCGATCTAACCATCGAGAGCATCGCGTATAACAGATTCAGTATTGCTCCTGTATTAGATGCGAATAGTAGAGACTGGGAGGCAGACAGCGGCGCCCAACTTGAGGCAGAAGTGGCTCACTCGTATATTGTGAAGAAGGCCAATATCGCTGTTGTCGTTGCTTGGAGGAAGCCCACCAACGCATCTAAACCAACACCAATCTTCACTCGGGTCTATCCGTCTACTGGAGGGGTCACTTGGCCAAGTATTCCATGGGTTGATATTGTCCCCTCTCTTGAACAAGCTGAAGAGAGGGGTGAAGTCCACCTCACCGTCAAGTGGCAATACAGCGCCGTACCAATCTCTGGTGGTATAGTGACTGGCGTACGAACGCCTCGAAAAGGTGGCCGAGCAGGCGTTTCAGCCGGCATGCAAGAGGCGATCGATCGTGAGGCTAACGATCCTGCAAACGTCGAGCGTCGGAAGGAGGGTATGCACAGACAACTTCTCCGTACGCACATCTGCCCAGAGTACCAGAGATGTAAGAATAGTTCGGGCGACGAGAAGTTCAACTGGTGCTATATACTAGGCCAGAAGCACTACAAGATCAAATCTCACCATATAGAGAAGTGGGCGAAGGCTATTATGACTGGACAGGCTGGCGTTGACAATATGGAACCACCTAAAGAACTGCTTGGTGAGATTCTTCACGACCAGTTTATAGAGGATCAGAAACGCCAGGGCAAGAGAAGTAAGAATATCGTGGAGGTTGATGATAACCAGGAGACGACAGTGATGACGGAAGAGAAGGCTGAAAATGCCGCACTTCCATCATCAGGGTCAAGATCTGGCCTAACCAACGCCAACAGCAACGCCATCGTCAATATATACGGCAACGCGGGGGCGCCAGATCGTCATCTTCAATATCCTAACCCATACGTACAGCTGCCGCCGCCGGCGCCGCCGCCGCCGGCATATTGGCCATATGCGAACATCTCACAGTATTCGTTGCCAACTCTTCCGCCATTGAACCTTCCAAGCACTCGTCAACCAAGTATCGCACTCCCGATTCGTTCGTCCTCGCCAGTGGTACCGGATTCGCCTCGAAAAGCTCTAGATCAAGTGGCCAGCTTCATCAAGTGGTTTATATCCGTCCGCGGCAAGCGATATAACGTCGACGAAGGGTTCAGAAAGAAGCTACAGAAACTGCGATCAGTAGACAGTAGCTTGCGGGCAATTCGCAAGTTACCAGATATTTGGTTTACTGAACAGGGTTTTACTCAAGATCTTACCGAAGATGTCAGGAACTCGATCAAATCCTTCATAGACAACAGCGCCTACTACGGAGGGCAGTCTGACGCCCTCTCCGACGTGGTATCTCACTCTGAACTTCATTCAAACCATCGAGAGTCAGAAGGAGATGTTTATACAAGAATATACGCTGGATTGCCAGGAGGGACGGCGGCGGCGCCAGTTGAAAACTCTGCGGCGCTAGTTTCAGGCGAGTTGGGGTCATCCCGACATATCGACGCCCTAGTGCCACGTCAATCCATCGAGCAAGAGATCCGTGGTACGCCAGTTGAAGTTGGTCGACGTGGTGAGTGTATATAGAGCTGTTTACTGTCGAATATGGCTAACTTTGTAGGCGTTTCGGAACTCTTTGGTTTCGTTTCGTCACCACTGCTGTCAGCGTCGCAGATGCTGCCCACGCAGTTACAGATCGAACAAGACGAAATCGAGCAAGGCGATGAGGACAATCAGATTGAAATCTCGAGTGATACGTCGTCAACAGAGACGTATTACTCGGAGGAGGATAACGAAGAAGAGTGATACAGCAAGAGTGGTGTGAAGTTTGACTGTATGCGCGATTTTTTTGCATGACGTGTTCAACCACGGAAAAGTCTACCCATAGCCGTAGATTCAACACTGCCGCTCTATACGTATAAAAGCAATAGAATTACTGTTATTTTGGATCTGCAAACAATACACTTCGGTCCATCCCGATACTGGTTAGGGGCAGTTGAAGTCTCTGACTATGGTTGAAGTCTCTGATCGTGATGACGTGTCATCATCACAAATCATCGTCACAAGCATCAACAACGCGTTTCAGCCGTTATACAGGCAAAATTGATATGTATACGTAGCTACCGACGAAAACAATGGACGACGGTATATTTTTTGTGTTCTGGTGCGCTTGTGGCTAACCTTTTGGCAATCTTGTTGGCTACAATCATGGATTTGATGATTGACCATCATATGACGACACGATTAAGATCTATTGCGCGCGAACGCACGATGAAAATTTGGATTGCTTGCTGATGTTCAATATTGGCAGCAAATCCTCCCTTTTATAGTTCGATATCGTCAAATATATGCTCTGTCCCATCAAAGTTGACGAACGAATGGCGGAAATGGCCCTCGATCTGGGGTAGACGATACCCAATCTCCATAGCGCAGTCACGTAGATATTCCATGAAATCCCGAGTGTCATTCTCATCGTTGTTCCACTTCGAATACGTCTTCCTGATGTATCGCTTTAGATCGCCGAAGTACTCTTCGATGGGGTTGAAGTCTGGTGAATACGGAGGCAGAAACTCGAGATGGACACCTGATACCCGGCATAAACCCTCGATTTCAGGTATACGATGGCAGGAGAGGTTATCCATAACGATGACAGAGTTTGGCTCTGGAAAACGCCCACATTTCGGGATAAGGCACTCCTGTAGCCAACGAAAGAACCCATCGCCGTCAGTCGTACCATAATACGTAGTCAAGTGTAGGATACCGCTCAACGTGAGGGCTGGCAGGATCTGTACGCGAGAGTTCTGAAACCGATCAATCTCTGCAGTTCGAAACGCAGCAAGCCCTTTCGGCGCCCATCCAGTCCTCCGTATCCCAGTATCCTTATTGACGCCGGATTCGTCGACGAATACCAGCTGGTCGGGGCGATATCGTCGTATACGGTACAAGTACTCGTATCGTAGTTCGTCACTTCGCTGAGCAGCAATAATCTTGGACTTCTTGTTCGTCCAGCCAGCTGAGTTTAACTGTCGACTGATTGCAGAACGACTGATCTGGATCTCGAAGGCTTCAAATAGGAAATCTTGCATCTCTTCAAGAGATAGATCGCTGCGGTACTGCAGTAGTTCAAGAAGCTCTGTACGATGCCATATTTCCATCTTTTGTCGACTCTGGCGGCACCTCTTATATCTCTGCACTTCGCCAGTGATATTACGTCGTGATCTATGTCGTCGAATCGTTCGTTCGGTACAGCCAACGATACTTGCCAGCTCGTGGGTCTTTTGGTCTTCGAATGGCAGTATCATCGCGATCGTCGATAGCTGTAGATTCGATATTCTGGGCGCCATTGTATCGTCGTCGTCGCCCGGCGTCTTTCTCGATGTATCTGATATAATAAACCACGGACATGTACTGACCAGCGGCAAACTGTAAGTAACAGGGCACAATCTATACAGCAGTAGACTCTTGCTCAATATCGTGAACAAGCTGAGCTATCAGGAGAGTCATTAATCCTGTTGACTGCCAAAGCATTTGCTCTGAAGAACCGTATCAAGCCCCTTGGTATGCTTATATATTACTCAGAGCCATACAAACCGTATGCTGAGTAGATATATAAAGTCATACAGCAGGTCTCTTCTTCTGTTCCTCAGCAAATGTCATCTTGATCTCTCATGACGAAAATAGACCTTTTGTTGGTCGAATGGTATGGGGATGAGGTGACTAGCTGGGTTGGCAATGCCTCGATGGGTAGATTGACTGCTACGGAAGCATGAAATACACACCTTATGTCTCTATCGTGTAGTTATACGTTTGAATACTACTGGGACTATAGTGATTGACGGCAATTGAGGTGTTGGTGATGACTTTGACGCGTTTTGCGTGCGATGCAGAGAAATGCGCGTCACAGCGTAAAATTGGCTTTTTTTCATGTTTTTGCATAAGCGGGGAAAAAAAAGGGGGGCGGACGCTGTCAACGCAACGGAGTGTACATCAGGTTATCTGTGTGGTTTTCTTGGCACCGCGGAGGCGGGCTCTGCTCCGATGTGAACTGGGTCTTCGTCCCCACAGCATCTGTCTGTTTCCTCCCATGCGGCGGGTTTGCATTCCGCTGCCCCCGTTGGCTAAGCGATTGGACCATAAACCTGCGGCTGGAACCTCGTGCCCCAGAAGCATTTTCTAATCGCGGTTTAGCAGGCTGTACCAACGAAACTGCTTCCACTTACAGCCGAACACAATGCCACATGTGCATGCAGTCTTACGAGGCCCTTGTCTCCCTTTGGCTCTCAAGGCCTCATTCGCCCCAGTGCGAGGAAGATGTTCCTCTTTGAGAGAGACTTCCGTTGCAGAAGGTCCCGATAAACTGCAGGGTTTTGCAAACATGCATACGATGACAAAATGTACACAAAGCCAAGAAGAGGGGTTTGGTGGGCAGCCAAATAATTGTTTGTCCCACTTGATTTAAGCAAGCCTGGTCGATCTTCTCCAGTTTCTTCACCCTCGCGACTCCCTCTCCATCAAACCGAGAAAAGGTGACACTTCGTTGAAGAACTTGCTCACCCGGTCATCTTTAAGATGTCAGCATCGAACGCCAACACCGGAGCGTCAGATGCTCAGCCCAACATCGTCTACGACAATCAGGTCGAACTCGCTCCCGACGACGATGCTAATCAAGCAGTCGCTGCTCCTGCGGGAGAACCGGTACACCCGCCTCACAAATCCTGACCAAGAATCGTGGGCACCGCGCAGCTAATCATCTATCGCAGAACCAGGACGATGATGCTGCATCAATCACACCTGTAAGTGGTCAAGAGAGCGCTACCTAGATGCCAGATGGTAGCTAAGTCTTGCCTTTCAGAGCAGTGTCAATTTGTCAACTTCTAGCGTGACTAGCTCAGTCTTGGAATACAGACAAGAGAACGGGCGGACTTACCATGGGTACAAAGAAGGCAGTACGTGTTGACCACCAAATCAACCACATGACCACAGTTCTGACCGAAAACTCCCCAGAATACATGCTTCCAAACGATGATAGAGAAGTCGATAGGCTCGGTGCGCATTCCCGTTTCATGTATAGAGGATGAGTGCTTCTGCGGCCAATCTAACCCAGCCCAGACCTTCAGCACAACCTCTTCATCAGAACATTTGACGGGAGGCTTGCAACTGCTCCCCCAAATGATCCTGACGCCAAGGTCAAGAACGTTTTGGATGTCGGAACTGGAAGCGGAATCTGGGCAATGGACTTTGGGGATCAGCACCCTGAAGCGGAGGTTGGTCCAGAAACTGACTTGCAAATCAGTCTCGTTTCTGACTTTCACCAGGTTCGCGGGTTTGATCTTTCGGCCGTCTTTCCTGAATTGTAAGCTATGAGCTCAAGCCTGGGCTAAGAAGGATGGCTGACTAACCTTTCTAGCACCGCCCCTAACGTACGATTTGAGATCGATGATCTCGAAGAGCCTTGGACTTGGACAGAGCCTTTTGACTATATTCATAGTCGCATGATGAATTCGTCAATCAGTGACTGGAAGGCATACATTCAGAAGTGTTATGAGTGAGTTTACATCCGCTTCAAAAGACCGCCCGGCTGACAACCCTGGCTAGCCACTTGAGCGATGGCGGATACCTTGAGCTCATTGAGATCGACTGCATCCCCCTTTCTGACGATGGAACTCTGACCCCGGAACATTCTATCATGAAAACAGGCAATCTATTACTGGAGGCTACGACGAATGCTGGCCGCAAGTATATATATCCCCCTGATCTCAAGGCTATGATGGTGGAAGCAGGCTTCGACGGCGTGACAATGCAACTTTTCAAATGGCCTGTTAACTCTTGGCCAAAAGAACGAAAATATAAGGAAATTGGACAATGGCAGAATGAGAATCTCTACCAGGGCTGGGAAGCTATCTGCATGGCGCCTCTAACGAGGGCGCTTGGCTGGACCAAGGAGGAAGTCATGGTTTTGATGGCCCAGAACCGCCAGGACTTCAACAATCGCAACATTCATGCCTACTTCCCCATGTCAGTTTCCAATTTCCACTTGAGAAAACTTCATCATATACTGACAAACTATTCCCAGTTGGACTATCTACGGCCGAAAGCTTTCCAGAACTGAGAGCCAGCCGTAGCTCGGGGACCTGTTGTGTGCGCGACCCGCGAATCGCACATGCAAATGTCCATAGTCTTTGCGCTTTGACTGCTATAGATCCCCTATGCACTTCAAAGGCAGACTGACGTGTGACTTCTTACTCCGTGTGCTATGTTGCACTGGGCAGTTCATGCCATTCAGTAGCCTAGCAAGCCAGATCTTGTGGAGGCTGGATCAAATCACGCACTGTAGGATGATTGCATGTATTGACTTGTATTCTTTTGAAATTGAAACAAGAGGTTTTTCTCGCAGGTCCCTGAAAGTGGAAATTCCTTCAGGGGTGAAGCTGCGGTGCATGCAGTTGGATGATGGGGGAGCAACTTGAACTATCAAGTTGCGGATGACGGCCAGAAAGGGTCTCATATTTTCGCAACTCAACACCATACACGCTTCCTTACCTTGAATAGTTGCCTTTGCCGGCTTCTATCATCGTTAACTAGTAGTCCTGTTTTCTGGTCAAATGTGTGATTCCGCAATGGGAGTCGCCGTCTTCGCTGCGAGATTCAGTGATAACCCCACCCCACCTCCGTTGAAATCGCCTAGTTAAACCACACTTTTGACTACCTACACATCAGAAAGTCGACAGCGCCAGTATTGAAATCTGTGCGGACAGTCAAAAGGTTTTAAATAGGGCTTCAATTAATATCAGACTTGCTTTTGAACTTGTATTTTGGTTCTCCGATTCCCAGCTGGGGTACGTTATTACGTTCAACTTTCTCACATCACAGAGACGCCATTGAAACTGGCTCTGCAAATTGCCAAGAGGAAATTACGACAGATCATGTGAAAAACAATAGTTGACAATGTTTCATTCTCTCCCGATGTTTTGGTCATGTGCTATGTCTTCCTACGCCTTTTCTGCCAAAAGAGAGCTCTGCTCACCTATCAAGCATCCAAAGAGCCCAAAGACTTCGGCCTGCACCAGTGGACTTGTATCTTGGATAAATTTCTCCTTCTTAACTTCTGGTGAACGTTCAGACTTTCTTTTCGAAGTGTCGCCTAATGTTTGCTCAGTTGCTAGACACCACAAGAAGCGGAGTTCCTCTTCTCCTTCTTCCGGCCCTTCAGGGTTCACGACAGAATATGTTGCAATAATAACGGGGATGTGAAAGGGGGAAATACGTACTTTCGTTCCGAATAGTGTGGGGTTGAATGAAGACACAAGGGGATCGCAGCCTTCTCCCATTTGGAATCGCGGAGGCGGACGCAGCTCCGATGGGTACTGGGTCTGTCGTCTCCGCAAAACTTCTTTGATGCCGGTTCATCCCATGCAGCGGCTATATTTTCCGTAGACCCCGTCATCATAACGATTGGATGAAGCCCATGGCTGGAGCCTCGCGACCGTAAATCGTTTGCTTCTCGTGGCCTAGCCGGTGTTTGCCCATGACAAGACTTCCACTTACAGACAGACAAGCCGTGACACATGCCTGCAGGCATTACGAGGGCCTTGTCAATACCTGGCTGTCATAATATCATTCGCTCCAGCCTGATGAGAGCGTTTTCCTTTTTAATAAAAGTGCCCACAGCAAGGAGATCCGATATTTGATGCAAGCCCATCGCAAACACGCATACGGCGGCAGAGGGCACATAGCCAAGAAGAGGGGCTCGGTGTTCGGGGCATAAATCTTCGTGTCCCCCAAGATATCGCAACGTTTCATTGATTCGTAACTAATTTTTTTTCTTTCCCAGAAATCCTTCCATTGTTCTCAAAGTAAATTCCCGCGAACCAAGTTTGCCTGCCAACACATTCTGCTCAAAATGATCGCAGCCAACTTCGCGACTGGGGAGCCAAACACAGAGGCCAATCCCCAGCCTAACACTACGACTGATCATGAGGTCACTATCGCGGCCGATGAGGATGTAATTAGCCACTAATTTCATGTTTGAGGGAAGTCGAGATGAGCTAATGACTTGGAACAGGACGACACTGCGTCCCAGTACGCCGTGAGTGTGACATTACCACAGCCTGATGGCCCTTGCATCTGATAGATGAACAGCCGAGCGTCTCCTCAAGCACCAACAGCATCACCTCGTCAATCTATGAGTATAGGATTGAGAATGGAAGGACGTACCACAAGTACAAGGATGGCAGTGAGTTTGAGGCTGCTGTCTCCCCTGTCCCTTGCTGACGAGATCGTGACATAGAATACATGGTACCAAATGACGCTAGAGAGCTCGAAAGACTGGGTGAGTATCAACTCAATGTCACATGATCATGGCTAACTCATTAGACCATCAACACTACATGTTCATGAGGACCTTTGATGACCGTCTCGGTACTGCGCCTCCCGCGCAGCCAGGATCTGAGGTTGGTCGGGTTCTCGATCTTGGCACAGGCACTGGTATTTGGGCTATGGACTTCGGCGATGAACACCCTGAGGCGGAGGTGAGTCTTTCGTCGAATGATTTATGCGCATGCGCTCACCCCTTGTCATCAATAGGTCCTTGGTGTGGATCTCTCGGCCACGCTGCCAGAATTGTAAGTCACAGGTTAGAACAATGGGATTTACGACACGACACTTCTCACTACATTTCTGGTAAACCTTGCTGACTCAAATGATTAGCACACCTCCGAACGTCAAGTTCGAAATCGACGATGTAGAGGAATCATGGACCTATTCAGAGCCTTTCGATTACATTCACAGCCGAATGATGAATTCATCGATCAGCGACTGGAGAGATTACATCAAGAAGTGCTATGAGTAAGTTTCAGTTTGCCTCTGTCAGACCACATGCCGCCTGATACAGCGTGGCCAGCCTCATAGGAAGTATTGAGTCTGCCTCTGAAGGGAAAACTCAAGCTGATTGACCTGCGGGTAGCAACCTATACCCGGGCGGTTATCTGGAGTTGAGCGAGATTGATATCGTTCTTCTTTCCGATGATGGGACCCTCAAGCCAGAGCACTACAGTTGGAAGATTGGGAGACTCCTGGAAGAAGCCACCGAAAAGGCCGGGCGCCGATACCAGGAGATCCAGAAGTTGAAGCCGGTTCTTATGGAACTTGGTTTTGAAGACGTCACAATGCAGCAGTTCAAGTGGCCGGTGAACTCGTGGCCTAAAGAGAAGAAGTACAAGGATTTGGGAGAATGGAACAACGAAAATCTGATGCTTGGGTGGGAGGGGATTTGCATGGCCCCGTTGACGAGGGCACTTGGATGGACAAAAGAAGAGGTTCACATCTTCATGATGCACAACCGCAAGGAGTTCAACGATAAGAGCATCCACCAGTACTTCTCCATGTAAGTGACGAGCTCGTCGACGACAAGAAAGTTCTGCTGATCATCCTTTAGTTGGAACATCTACGGAAGAAGGCCTGTCAAGACGGACAAGGGTCAGTAGGATGGCCTACAAATATTGTTTGAATTCATGATAGATTTGCGAGTTTGGGGCATCTATTACCCTAGGGTCGTACCGCATTTCTTGGCTCTTCTCTTGCCAAACAATACCATTTACGATAGATGCATGAAAACTCCACTCTCTTCACCGCAAAATCTCCGCTTCATGGAAGCGAATACAAGTCTTGCCGTTCTTCTCACACCAGGTATGCGGTCTGGTCCCAACGTGGGATAGCCTTGTTGTCCCCCGGGCTCCCACAAGGCCCTAAATGAGAAAACAAAGCGAGCAAACAACAGCGTCAATTTTCAAAGTGCGTTTTTGCTCCAATAATGAGTGCCAGCTACAATTTCAGTACTTTGGACCTGCCGCCAGAATATTGCGTTGTGGCGAGTTCCAACAGAACTAAGGGCTAGGATTGGCCGTTGGCATCCCGACCGTATGAGCCTGCCGCATGGCTGCTCAACGGCCCTCATTTGTTATCACACAGGAGGGATCCAACAATTTTTGTCACATACATTGACAAGGCCTCGCTTAGGCAGGCTTGCATGCGTCAACTGCCCTGGCTTTTGAAATGAGGGGTAGGATGCTTTGAATGAAATGCTGCACATTCTGATGCCACCTTCTCCTATAATTGCACGACCAACGACTAGCAGCAAGAACACTGCAACCGCTGCTAAAATCGCATTTGTTGACTCTCTGTGCATCTCCCCACCATGTCAGCTCCTGAAGCTGCTGGTGGAGCCCCTTTAGGGACTTCCACATCCCACCCCGACAACATTGTGGACCACATAGTCACGATTGAGGCCGACGATGAGGTGCGAATAATGTTCTGGGCATGGGGACAACTTAGTGGCTAAACGATCCACCTAGGGATACGGGGCGTCTTCGGTTGCAAATGTGAGTCCCTGCGACTGTCTATTGCTCTCATTCATGCAACAGGCTCATATGCATGACACGCAGCAAAGCTTGCATTCCCCGACAGGGAGTGTGACTGAATCTATCCTCGATTATAGGATAGAAAATGGCAGAACGTACCACAAGTACAAGGACGGCAGTAGGTTAATCCTCTTGAAGGAGCCACAGACTCTGACGTGGATCTCCGCATAGAATATAATCTGCCCAACGATGATAGGGAAAACGAGAGACTCGGTATCAACTCCAAAATAATTAGGCCTATTGTTATTGAATGCTGATATTTATTCCAGATATGCAACATACCATGTTTTTGCTCACTTTCAACGACAGGCTGGGAAATGCACCTCCAAATAACCCCGAGGCCAAAGTTGGCCGCGTCCTTGACGTTGGCGCTGGTACAGGAATTTGGGCGATCGATTTCGCCGACGAGCACCCCGAAGCAGAAGTTCGCGGCATCGACTTATCTGTAGCATTCCCGGAATTGTAAGTTGACTGTATACTTGGAATTTGTAGGTACTAACTCCGAGAGTGTCCCGTCCAATGTCAAATTCGAGATTGCGGATTTAGAAGAACCTTGGACCTTTTCCAGGCCCTTCGACTACATCCACAGCAGGATGCTGAACTCGTCTATTGGAAATTGGACGGAATATGTTCAAGAATGCTATGAGTCAGTCTATAGCTGTGAGGTATCTTAGCCATCCACGCTGATGAGAACGTAGCAATCTTAGTCCCGGTGGCTATTTGGAACTTAATGAGATCGACCTGATGCCCCTCTCCGATGATGGTACCTTGAAGTCAGACCATACCGTCCTAAACACATGCCGCTTGATTCAAGAGGCCATGCAGATCGTTGGTCGTCCATACCAAGATATCAAGGAGCTCAAGTCTATGATGGCTGATATTGGGTTCGTCGATATTATCTTACAGCAGTATAAGTGGCCCACTAATAGCTGGCCGAGGGAGAAGCGCCACAAGGAGCTGGGCGTTTGGATGAACGAGAACATTCATGAAGGCTGGGAGTCCATATGCATGGCTCCACTGACGAGAGTCATGGGCTGGACAAAGAAGGAGGTGATGGAGCTCATCGCACAGAATAGTAAGGAACATGATGACCGGAGCATTCACGCATATTATTCAATGTAGGTTCAGCATCTCTCAAGCTGAGGGGAGAAGAATTTTCTGACAATACCTCTCAAGCTGGTCCATCTACGGCAAGAAGCCAGAGAAGACGGGTTTTGTATAACGCAGAAGGCATTCCTCGTCAAAAGTGCTCATGGAGGTTTGGCGCGGCGATGGTATTGATTGTTACATTTAACCAGTTTCTCCTATGTTTTGATGCAAGGTATATGAGAGTCGTTTAGGTGGATAATGTACCCCTATTTGCGCAAAAGGCACAGCACCAGTGAGTGCGAGGTTGGGTCAGCGGTCTTAGTCGTGATTTTAAATGAAACTATGTAAGAGTTTCATCCCACATCCTCTCTCTTGGCAGCTTATACATGTTGAATTCCCGTCAGAAGTTGACGATGTCTGTCAGACTTTCCAAGTCATGATGCCTGAATATCCTCCTCGTCCCAGCCCACCATGGGGGAAGTCCCTCACAACCAAGCGCCCAAACTCGGACCTATGGTAATGAGAAGGGTTAAAGAGCCTCAGAACGATGTTGCGTTCGAGCTGCGAGCGGTATCTGTGTACCGAAAGGCCAACCTCCGATTATTGAGCAGAGTAAAAATACGGGTTCGACATTGTGTTTCAAGATCCTCCAGCAATTTCCCTGTCTGGTGCAGGCTGACTCCATCAATCAGTCGAGACTTTCAAGAAATTGACTAAAGACTTTTGTGCCTGCAGAGGGGTTCGAACGCCGGCATGACCTGCCACACATCTCAAGCCTGCGTCTGCATCCTGTTCTTCCGCCCTCGAACTATTCCATACGAAATAATTTGCTTCAAAAAATCAAGCTTCTGGGATTCCTCAAAACGAGCTTAGGTTTAATTTCCTGAAGCTTCCCTAGATGATTTCAACCCTCTTACCTTTCGTGGGCTTCACAGGCATCGCAGTTCTCCTAACATCTTACTTACTTCGCAGCTATTCTTCCTTATCATCGCTACCAAAGGAGTATTGCCCAGGGCGTTCCCGGGGTATTTGTACACCTCACTAAGTCGAATCACTTGGTAGAATACCCGAAGTATGTGAAGATACAGGTAGCACAATCAGAGTCAGAACGCAAGTTCCAGGAGCCCAATGCTTTTCATTGTCCTCTTACAGAAAGAAATATCAAACTGGTTCAACTATTTATTTGAAGTTATTTTAGTCTCTTTTACCGCCAAACAGCCTATTTCCTGATACGGCTCGGTATATAAACTCGTTTCCGCTGCATCTCATGAGATTTTCAAGCAATGGACTCGTTGGCAGGTCTAGAGTTATGCAGCGCGAGATTGTGGCGTCTACTGCAACAAATGTTCCGGTGTCCACTGCCCAGCCTACCTGGCTGGTAGCCATCACACGAAACACTCACGTTGCTCGCTATTGTACCTCGTTCCCGTTGTGTGAGTTTACGAGAGCCATGCAATGTATTAAACATGTTCGTCGGCACATATTGAAACAGGACCAACCAAATTCGTCCGACACCGCCCAAGCCGTGGGTCAACCCCCAAAGCCCAATTCGGAGCAGCAGTCACACACATACATGGATGATTTTCGTGTATGGACAGGAGAAAGACCAGCACCACAAGACGGATATTTATAATACGTACAGTAATATCTTGGCTGGTCAAGACTGTAGTATGGGCACCGACATGGAGCCAACGGTCTCAGCTGCTCAGTTTCTCGCCGTCCTGGACCATAAGCATTGGCAACAAGCTACTTGAGGACATGAGTATATATAGATTGCCCTTGAAAATGTCCAGACTGACATTTGATTAAGCAATACAAATCGATTTGTAGTGGGTCAAGTTGGGGCATCTTCGTGCAATGGCTGATGTTAACAAGTTTTGTCTGTCCTTTTTCTTCCTTTAATAACTGGTATCTATGCAAAAGCTCCTCGTTTGTTCATACCGACATCCCTCACTTCCACTGTCATGTTGCGAGTATTCTTAATAGGATATGGAGTCTTGTCAGACTTCGGAGTCAAACCCTGGGAGGCGTATTTCGTTGCGGTCTTGTGGTATCCATTGCTACACGACACACACAATTCACATAGTAGAATCATGTCCAGCCCTTGATTGATTATACATACCTTTCAATGCTACGTCATAGTTGAAAGACTGTCTCATGTGTTCTCACCCCAATACATGTTCTGCCAGCGCACAGACTGGGGGTCCTTCCGAAAGAAGTCATGGTGAGATGGTGACCTTTCAGGGACTGCAACAATCTGGAAAGTGCCAACTATTTAAAACCACCAAGAATGCATCATTTGATTTCTCAAGACCAATTAAAAGATTTGTGCTTATCTGTTGCGGCACAATTCAAAACAAGGGAATATGCTCCCAACGCAAAGCGATGAAACCCAGGCTCTTCAACTTCACTGCTACCCATACCGCCATCTCTCCGATCCAGGGACTGCCAAAGCTATGTCGACTTTGGTCCTCATCTCTACTCAATACTCCCTCGCATATATTCGTTACGTATACTCCCGGACCTTCTCACTCGACGCCGCCCTATGCAAGGACAGCACCAAAGACGAAGACCGAAAAAGGGTTGTGGTGAGTTTTCAAGACCGTTCCTGCGAATGGAATAACACCCGGCCATATTGCATGCTGCTGGACACAACTGGAGAGTCACACAGTCGGGCTTTATATGCTTCATCACCCACTACGTCCCAGCTCCGAAAACATCTCACCAGCGCCAGATATGAATAAATTCAACGCAGGACGGACTCATCTCCAAGCCCAGACGAAATGGGTGATCATCATCGCACTAGGTTTCAAGGAATCTAACACCCTACCGATCACATCCCCAACCAGCGAGGCAACGAACCCACCCGCTCCCACGGCATCCAAGCCTCACCGACCTTGGGCCTCTCTTCCTCATCCCTGAGTGCTACTTCTGGATTATTTCTAGGACTATTTCTATCAATCACTGAAAACAAACCTGAAGAACTGCAAAATGACATACACCCTTCGCCAGAAGAGGATGCGTGAGAGGTTCCTCCTAGGCTGTCACGAGTGTGTCCAATCGCTTTTGCCGCGACATGCCACAAAGGTTGAGCATGCAATCATTTGGTCGCTTCAACCCCAAGTTGCATGCCCGAAATCAATTTAGACGCCCGACAATTAGAGTCTTCCAACTTGGGGCGTGATATGCATAAGGGGAACTAAATGTCAGATTCTTCACGGACAGGCCATCAGCTCACGCTTTCTTAGGGATCACAGACATCACAGCCACCACGAGAACATCAAAATGAACGGCAACCACATGTCTTGCGTTATCTAGTACACAGCGAAGCCGCACGCGACCCCGCTCAAACACGTACACGTCCATCGCCGGACCCCTCATTGGGGACCCCACCAACCACCACCACCAGCATTGCCTGCACGCATGCCCGCAATCACAGGGAAAAATCAAGGGAAAAAAAGTCTATCATCACCGCCCTTGAGTCGTTTGCGGTAAGGCACACACCGTCCCCAGCGCCGCCATCCTTTGATTACTGAACCAAGAACCTGTTCTGCGGGATCTCCATTCGCCATGCCACTTTGTTGAAGGTTGTAGCGACAAGGTAGGGAAATGGGCCGGGCAGGTAAGCATCGGCAAAAGAGTTGTAAGACAACAACACAGTAGAAGATAGAGTTGTTACATGCCCTCGAAGTCGCCACCGAGGTCGTCCTCATCCAGGTCGCCCTCCTGTATCTCCTTCGCCATCTCACGTTCGCGTTCGCGTGCTTCTTGGGCGTTCTTGAGCTCGAGGCGGTGCTGGTTCATGGGGAATCGCATAGCCTGAAAAGATTGCGTTAGTAAACTGCCAGAAAAAGAGAAGGTAATCAGCATACCTTGACGCTCTCGTCGTGCAGAGCCAAGCACGCGCGAATTCTGTCATGGAAGGCTTCACCGGGCTCCCGCGTAGCGTAGACGTCGCCGACCTCCTTGCTCTTCATGTATCCGTGCTCGCGGTCCAGAGTGGCCTCAATGACACCGTCGCGGATGGCCTTGGCGACAATATACTCGGCTGACTCCTCGCTGCCGAGATCGAGGCGAATGCAGATGTCGCGCAGGGAGATGCGAGAGTATGACAGAGACATCATGCGGATGCCGGTCTTGATGACGTTCTGGCGGAGACGGAGGATCAGGCTGTATGTGCCGTCGCGGCGGAAGGTATCGGCGTGGTCGGCGATGATCGTCTCGAAGTTCTGCACCTTGCCGACGCGAACGGCCTGGACGAGGAGGAAGTAGGGGTGCAGAGCCAGCTCGAGGGTAGGCTGGCGGAAGGTTGAGCGCTCGGGGATGTCGCCCATCAGCAGCTCGACGACAAGCAGCAGCTTGGTCGCAGTCTGGGAGAAGCCGACAGCGGCGGCGCTTGAGGGGGCCTTACGGGTCGCGGCCGTAAGGTGCTCGTGTGCCTCAGTGTATCTGAGCTGGATAGCGCGGATGCGTCCGAGGTAGTACAGGAAACGGGCAACCTGGTTGTTGGCAGCGTTCTCGGGGAACTGGGTGTGGGAGACGAGAAGATCGGCTTGCGCGATGTGGGACGTCAGCAAGTAGCTGCGAAGCAGCAACACGATAACCGAAGCTTGCGTATCAATGTCCTTGCGGAGGACAGCAGTACGCAGAGCAGCGAGCAGGGTTGGCCTGATGGCAACGATCGGGGACTGGGGAGACGAAGGCTGAGGTGCAAGGTTCTCGCAGAACATTGAGTAGTAGAAGTAGACCTTGGCGGAGAGGGAGTCTAATGTGCGGCGGTTGAGGTTGTGGATGCGGTCGGTGAGCTGCTTGGAGAAGTCGGCTCCCAGCTGGAACTGCTTCGAGTCGTAGAGGTGGACCTGGATCAGAATGCCGAGGAAGATGTCAATCTCCGGGATGATCTCCTTTGCCTCCTTCTTCTGGCCGTTCTTGGCCGTCTTCGCGGGCTCGCTGTCGACTTCCATCTCGGGACCGCTAGAGCGACCCAGGGGAACGTTCTCGCGGCCGATGGCAATCAGAAGCTGCTTGGCAACATTTCCGGAGGCGACGGTCGCGGGGAAGGTCTCGACGATGGCCTGGGCAATGATGTCGGGAGTCAGGCGCTTGCGGATGGTCGAGATTGACCGCAGAGCT